CCCGAGTTCCGGTTGAACGCTCTAAAAAAATTAGGCATAAACCCCGGCTCTCGATCAGGACAAATCGCTCATTGGCACCAAGCTACAAAACATATTTCTTGTAATTTCTGCAATTACTTGTGCGGTCCAGGACAAGATTGCCTTCTCAATCACATACCCAGAGAATAGATCGGCCTACAGCAATAAATCCGTATTCCATTTGTGCGATCGTGGTAACGACGGGATAAATGATCCATGGCAATTATCTGAAATGGTACGTTGCTTAAACATTTCCAGGAAGTTTACCACGGATCGCGGGACACCCTTTTCCAGTTTCACAATTCACGCATTCGACCACATACAGTTGTACATTGCAATATAAACTCGTCAATGGAAGTTAGATCGGATCCTTTGATAGGTCCTACCAATTCCTCGGTGGCTACCTTCCAAATAGAGCGGTAATGGTGTAAGAATCGCGTTGCAATAATACTGGCACCACCAAGCGAAACAATTCACTCGATCTTCCGAGTTGGCAGCCGATCGAGGGTAGAAAAACAAGAATCCACTTTCATCCACTTCATAATCTGGCGCGATTAGAGAAATTGATTTTGCCGACTCAGCATCCAGCGTTGCCACGTCCCAATCAGAAACGTCTTCAAGTTGGCAATCCATCTTTCTTCATCTTGCGCTTGTTTAATTTGCTCGATTCGAAGTTGGTGAGCGATCTCTTCTCGCAGTACTTAAGATTGACGACGTCTTCTTACAGCCGATCGGGTGATCGCGGCCATCTTGACTACTCGGTCGGTTCCCTTTGCTGTTGGAAGCTCGTCCAATCTATTGAGGGTCGTCAGATTTTAAATTTTTTGATCCAAAAAGACAGTAGCGCCTGATTCCCGATGTAAGGTTTTGCTCGCTAGCCGAACAGCACTTTGGTTCCGATCTCGTTTCATATGTCGACATTCGTAGATTGGCCACGATTGAAGTCTTTTCATAGTCCTTTCATATGCCGTTGGCGTAAAAGATGTAATCCAGGTGCCTTGCAATCAATCCCTCCGCGCATCTGCCGGATCACTAAGTTGGAAATACCACAGATGATCACCCGTCCCTTCATCTGATACGTAAGCTTATCGGAGGCTAACAGCAGAATCCGGTATTCAACCTCATTCGCAAACAAATTTACTGTATACTCCGAGGCTGTGGCTATAATTTTCCACTGATACACGATCGCACTGTAATATCTACCTTTTCACTTGATCCGCTTATCAGACAAAACTGACCACCAGTAGGCTATCACCTTTCGCCACTGTAGGTGGAGGCATGCTGATGGTATTCCTCGGCTGCTTCTGTAGGCGATTGCGATCAGCACTTGATCCACTTCTTTGCGAGGGGTTATATTTGACGCAAAACACCCAGTATCTCATCTTCCCCTTTCACACATCTGCTGACCTCTGACGTCCAGTTCAATAGTAGCTCAGCCCATCTTCCCAGTCTACCATTGAGTCCAGAGGATTGTACCAGCCATGGTAACGTAGAATATCGCGTGAACACCTTCATCGCTTGTGATACTAACATAGTATATCCAATATCCAACATACGAAGGAAAGCCAATAGTTTTTCTCCACCATTCCATAATTAGCTTCATTGGGTCTAAACGTACGGTTTGTAAAACTACTGGCCAATGCACGCCTTTATGCCCCTGAAGTAGGGATGCTGATACCGCTCATTACTTGCATATACCACGATCATTGGAGTTCGATCCGGATCAAAATGTTTGAGGATCGGTAGTATCAATCTTGACCTTCAGCATAGTGAGAGCAACTGTGGCCTTCTCCCAACGATTTCTGCATTTGGGATCAATCACAATAGTCCCCTGTCATGGGGTCCGGATCGCGAATGCATACATTTGATTCCGGATCGTGGATGTATCCATCTTGACCCGGATCGCGGTTATACCCATCTTGATCTGGATCGTGATTGTCTCCAGTACCAAGTAAGACTGGATCTATTCGATCAGTGCGACTCATTTCATGGAAATCTACCTCCCTTAGTTCAGATAAATATGAAGCATCTATCGCAAAGTCTTCAATAAAACGGGTGTAGTCTTTCAAACTACAGACACGATTGCATCGATCGCAACGTTCTAGTAAATAAGGGATATTCACAAGTGGCCCCAAATCCTTTGAGTAAGCTTCCAAACCGGCAAGTGACACTGATGGTCGAGATATCCCGCCTTTCGACGCCCAGAAACCCTTGGCTAGGCTGATCGATACATTCCACTGATCGCATGCTTCCGAATAACTTCTCATATTTTTTCTAAAGAGAAGTCCACGTGATCCTCGGTGGACTTCGAGAGATTTTACCCTTAATTTCGACCCAAGGAGGCAAGCAGTACGGTACCGGAGGTTCATATGGACACTGGAAACGTACCAGGAGGTCAATCTGACACCGAATCTCTGCTTTGAGAACGCTTAATCGTCGCTAAGCGATCAAAGGTCTTAGGGCGATAATGCTCGAAGTATCGATGGTTTCGATCGACACGGTCATATAGCGATGACAGGTAGGGTGTCACCTATCCAAGAGCATTACACTCCAGGATTGTCAGGCGACTCTCGATCTTAAAGAGATCATGGGTCCACGAGGTACCGACCTCCGCCGACGCTGATTTATGAACTGGGTTATCAACAGTTCCCTATCGAGCGTCTCTTGGTGCGCTTGGATAACCTTCAAGGTAAAGCCTAACTGCTGACCACGCTTCCACAGCACTTAGTGCTTGGAAGCGTTCGACGACTGCCCTCGCCGCTCTGATCTTCCCTATCGAAAGCTCCAACGACGTCCGGGTTGTCTTGCCTGAGGAGCGCCTCGTACACCCACAACTGGGGTCAATACCCTAACTTCACCGATCTAAATTGCTTCACTGCGATGAGGTCGATCATTTCCAATTGAGATGAAGCTTTCGGTTTTGAAGCAGATTGCCCATAGTGACTGTTAATGTGCTAAACCCCAATAAAATACAAGATACTTTCACTACCTATCCAACATTGCTTGCTACAAACGAAAACCATCATCTGTCTGGACTCAGTGTCGAAGCTAGCACATCGCGTGATGGTCAAATGATGAGTGTTTTTGTGTTTACTTGTGTCAACACAATAACACTCATCATTTGACCATCCACAAAAGCGTAAGTAAGCGTCCGTGTATTTTACAACTAAATTGTGTGCCATGTGATGGGCCAAATTCATAAACAAGCTATAACTAGTATGTCACTTAGGTGGTGACGGCTACTGTTTGAGAAAGGATTGGTGCAGACTGACAAAGTAAAACGGTGAACTGGTTTACGTCTACAGCTGCGGTCCGTTAGAGTTGCTGTTTTCGACCCTGTATTCCATATTAGAAGTACAAGTGATGCATAAATACAGAAACATGGCCAAGACGAGAGGAAAGAAAAATATATTACTTTGAATGGTGCAGAATATGGAGAAGATTCATGATTATATATACTATCCACGAGGTCACTGCAGCCGCCAAGGTAAGCCCAATACCTATTTCAGCAACCCATTGTCCAAGCGTCTTTGTGGCCTTTTCATCGTCCATTTAATCGAACTAGTAGCCTTTTCATCGTCCTTCTTAGTCGAACTAGTAGCTCTTTTAAAGCTTTTCACACAAGTCTGTTTACTCGTTCCTCCTAGCTCTCCTGCTCTTTCAAGGTAATCGGCAGTATACCTCGCCGCGATGTCGATCTGCGTATCCTTTTTTCCCATCAAACTAGCCGTCCCGCTTTTGATAGCGTCGTCCGCTTTATTGTTGCCTTAGCTCCGCGACTGGCTTTGTCTCCCAGTTGACCGCTGACTTGAGCGGACCCTATATCAAATAGAAATTCACTTCTCTCTCGACGCTGACAAGATTGAAACAGCTTATGGATAAAATGGTCAATATCACAACGAGAAATACAAAGCGCTGACGTGTGATGAGAGACTTGCACAGGAAGAATTTCATGAGTGAGAAATTCGAAAGTGGAATTATAGAAATGTAGGTGTGACAAATGCCGTGCTTTAGTCTCGCTGCCAATTTGCTCGTTGCATCGCTGCTGTTGTAGCGATGTTCTTTTACAAAAAAAATCGAAGGGGCTATTCTTTGACATGCTTGCTTCTACACTTACAGTGGATCAAGCGCGTGATTTGTCGCTCATGAGCTGACGAATGGCGCTTTAGACAACGTAAAGAAAGCCACATACACCCAACGCTTCATTTCGGCAACAACATGGACCTGACGATCCTTTCGACGTCGTCTGCAGACTCGTCGTAATCTCAAATGCATACTGGTTGGTGTACCTGCAAGGCTGCACTCTTGTATAATTGCTTGGTATGGCTATTTATCTATGTTGGCCCTAATAGGCCTTTCCATTTAATAAACACAATCAAGTAGTGCCATTGTGCCTCAAGGTTTCAGCATTTGCTTTCCATCGCAACCCCTCCGTCGTTTGTTGGTACTGCACAAAGCGCTTGGAAGGGAAGCTTTGTGCTTGAAATTGTAGAAGCCATCAGTTAGAACAAGGAATAGAATGTAAAAGCGTTTTCTGCTACGAACCAACGCTGTCTCTAGCGACAAAGCGTATGACTCCTTCCTGTAATCAACGTTCTGCAGGACAAGAGAGTGCACAACCGAAGAAAGCCTTGGGAGACCGTCTCTTTGTGCGTGTGAAACAATTATTTCAAGATTTACGACCTTGTCGTACGTGTGACCAAACGATGTTTCTTCTTCCAAGTGTTTTGTTAGCTACCATTTTCTGTCATTCATTCTATCACAACTTCATGCTGCTTTTCTTCTTGAACGTAATCCTAATGCAGCGCAATACGTTGCTCGAAAACCCGCAAAGCAGAAAGTAACCAGATGAATTGGCAATGTTAAACTTGATCTATCGCAAGACTTGACAGCTAGACATTACAGTAAACAACTTGAATCTGACGGTGGGTGATGTAAGTGATATCAGTGCTGTACCTGTTGTTTCCATTTTACCTTCCTTGCTACATGAGTCCTGGATGAGCCGTCTCGCACATCAGGCGCTCAACAGTTTCGAGAAGCCATGCAAACTTGTGTTGTTGCGCAATGCGCATCACTAGGCGCAGCGTCTCCATCAGCGATTCACGCACCCCAGGTATCAATGCATACGTCCCTGAACATGGGCAGTACTCGCGCATTTGGTGCTCAGCTGGCAAATGGCACTTACGGCAGTACAAATCCTGCAATTGGTACGCCACCGACTGCGCCTGTATCATCTCTACGAGTCGCAGTTCAAATGCGGTCTTGTCGTACAACGCAAAGCATCGAGGACAGTGCCAAGCTGAGGAAGTGTCCGCATCCTCTTCATGTTCTTCGCCTCCGTCATCATCATCTGAGCGTGATGCGCTACGCTTATACAGCTGAGGGTCACGGCATAAATCAATGGACCGACACAAGTTGCAGCAGAGGCAGATGACGTCCTGTACTGTGAATGACAGCGACGGGTTGCGAAACTGCGCCTCGTCAGAAAATTCGCTTATGCGCAACAACTTCAGCAGGGTGCGTCTCATCTTGCCAACTTGGGTCTCTACGCTCGGCTCCAGCACAAACACTGAAGTCACAAACTTCACGAGCTCCAAAGCGGGTGACTCCATGACGAGATGCGATCCAGCAAACACGGGAAAGCTGTCTCGGTCCATGTTGTATGATAGTATTTCTGGAACCAATCGCAGCATCTTCTCCGAGAAATACGACGACACAAGCCGTTGTGAGTACTTGGCAAGTGGAGACAATTGCTTCTCATCCTCATCTAGAGGCTTCTCGTCTGCATCCTCAGCAGGGTTGAGCTTGTAATCGTCACCTTTACTGAGTCGTCGATGCTCACGGTACTGAAATTCTGCTCGCCGACGGATGAATTGACCTACTAAGATAAGAAAATATTCGTCAACTCCGCGGGGCAAATAATTCGCAATGTTCCAATGAGACACAATTTCCAAAGGCTTCTTCTTGTCACTGCCTTCCACATCGTGTTCACTTTCCTTCTCTTGTTCCTCCTCTAGTACCACGTTCTTCAGTAAAATGCAGCCGTAGTTTTCCGCATCCAAAAAGAACAAATTCGAGTAATACTTCTTCGGCGTAAAATTGAGCACCTGGAAAAGCTCGTTGGACCGCACAGTTTGCAAGACAAAGTCAAGGTAGGTCTGCGCGTCACGTACTAACTTCTTCTTTGTGCACACAATAATTTTGCTAAAGTCAGCGTACACGATCTGAGACCCCAGACGACGAAGCTCTGCAAGTAGTTGTAGGAACAATTTTTCCATTAACCGCTTCACCATTGCTTGCAGCGCCGGGTCAAAGCTCAGCGAGTTTGGTGAACAGAGCCAGCGATAGAACTGCTGCAGCACATGATCAGCAAACTTGTTGCGGCTGGTCAGGAAATCCTTAAAGAGCGTCGTCACCATGATACGGAGCAACCGAAACGCTTCATGACAGCTCTCTTCAGCATCACCTTCTGCTACTGCAGAGGTGGAACCACCAGTACCGTCAAAATCGATCTCCATCTGGTGCGCAACTCCTAAACCTTCGATGCTGTGAATTTGAGACGCAACGAGAATCGCATTGATAGCAAGACCATCCAGCTCGAGCTCAACGCACACATCGACGTATGATCCTTTCTTGCACACGACGATAGATGTGTCAATCCGGTCGTGTGAAACTGCTTCGCTCTTTTGTTGCACTGAATGCTGTGCCGGTATGAGCAGTGATTGGCTGAAAAGCTGCTGGAACTGCTGTTCCTGCTCCTTACCACCAAGATCTGGCAGGGACGTTGGCGAATGCCACCAGAGATGTTTGTGTTTGGTTAAAATGCGTGAATAAAGAGTGTCCAAAATAGCAATTGAGTGGTCCCCCGTGAAGTTGCCAACAGGCAAGTGTGCATACCGCGCACAGTCAAGCACATCCAAGTAGTATTGTATCATTTCACAACACCGGGTAAGCATCTTTTCTCCCATTATCTTACGCCATGTGAGAGCTGGAAATAACGTGTCTTCTTCGTTCCACGGCAGCATGGCAACAGGAAAACTGTGAAGGCCCTGTATTTTCTCGCGGAGTCGCTTGCTGGAGGGAATACATGTTTGCGCCACTACGATCGTCGGTTTAGGAGCTAGCTGTTTATTTGAGGCCAATTGCGCAAGGGCAGCATTCACACCTGAAAAAGCTTCATGCGCCGTCTTCACAACGTGTGTCTTGAATGAGCAGCTTTGAATGGGAGCTATGTTACCTTCATCTTGACACTCTAAAAGCAACTCCTCGAAAAAATGCTTCAAATCGGAGCCTCGGGACTTGACGTTGGAGAACGGGTCGACGTACCAGACATTTGCATCACCCTCGTTGCCTAAGATCTCTGCACTAGCGTCATCATCACTCTCTCTCAGCACGACCAAACCCAATATGGCGCGTTTCTTCTGCTGAGCAAAGTAAAGCAAAACTCGTCGCATCAGCGAAGACGAAGGTGATGATGCAACTTCATTTGGAGCTAATGGGTGCCGGAGATTGAAGAGATATGGTGCCTGAGCCGTAGATTGAAACTGCAAATCACTCAACTCGTACTCTTGCTTCGTAATAGAAACGTGCGGGTTGACAACCTTGGCCACGCAGCCAAGTGCACAAACGGCTCGCGTTATAGCTGACACTTGTAGCTCGTAGACACCACGCACATGCGGATCGCCAAGAATTTGGCTGATTTCCTTCTGATACTGCTGGTACTGCCGCTCGCTCAACATTACCTCTAATACTGATTGGGGCTTCGACGAACAGTGAGGCACAATCCGAGAGACCCGCCGTGAGCCTGGAAGCGATGACAACAGATTTTCATGATCCGATTCCTCGCAAGTAATGTAGAACACGCGAGGCATCTTTAGCGTAATGCGCTGAAGCATTTGTGAATGTGCAGTAAGAATCCAGCAGGTGAATATTCCACCATGCTCTTGCTGAATTTCCACAATCTGCCAATATTCTCGCTGCAGTGCACTTGCTGCGTTAAAGACAAAGTTTTCCATACCAACACCGTTGCTCTTTGGATCCAGTGCACTGTTTGGTCCGCTCTGAAAGCGTTTCGTGCTGCCGTGTCCACCGCTCGCCATGCCAAATTCTCCAGCGCCGCTATAATTTCGCAAGCGATCTTTCCGTTCCCGTCTCCGCTTTCCGAGCATATTCTTCCACTTCTTCTTTCTAGTCATCAACCAATTAGTAAACGGTACGTCTCCAAGCTTTACTTTTACTGCAGGCACGCCTTCCGCATCCTTATCATCATTTTTTTCGATTAGACTTGTGCGGCTATCGCCACCGCCACTTGCTTTCTTACCCTGCTTATGCGGCAGAAGTTTTTGTGAGTGCAAAAGCTGATTTCCTTTCATCAAATCCTCCATATCAATCATTTCGGCAACGTAGTCTCCATTGTCAGTGTCCTTGGTTGCAGCCTTGTAATACTGCTTCATGTTGCCCTGCTGGTGCTTGGCATTTTTTTCGCGAACTTGTTTTCTCATCCAGTCTGGCAGCTCAATGCGAGGCACAGGATTCCGCACATTCTGGAAAGCAGCCGGAAGTGAAATAATCTTTTGCACTGTCGACGCAAAACGCGTACGGTAGTAATCCCAGTCAAGAAGCGTCCGAATGTCATAATCCTGCAAGTGTGGGTCTTTCAACCATTTCTTCAAGAAATGTCGTTTGACAGCGTCTTCTGTTGCAAAGATAGCAGTCGGAATAGCCCGCTCCGTCACCTTCTCACCATAAGGACGTGCAGCGATGATCATTTTACAGGTGAGACCCTTGTCCTTAATCATTTCTTCTCCTAAAAACTCCCCCAACCGCCGAGCTGTAGTAATAGATGTAGACTTCTGTCCTTCGTACTCATCCAACTTACCAGACATGCTTTTCTTCTCCGTAATCAGCGCCATCAACTCTTCATCATCCATCGACTTGCCTCGAGTATCGATCACATCCAGCCAGCGATTCGCACATTTAGCAACGGAGGCGTAACACTCTTCCAGGCTTTTGCCGTCAAGAAAACGCTCAAACACTTGAGACTGAAATGCCTTAATCAACTGCAACTCACCACGTCGCTTGAGTTCGAACCCCTTAAGCTCAGCAAGCGAATTGTCAAAGTTAAAAACTGCATAACGCTTTTTTAATAGTTTTCCCTCTTCTGTAGAAGCAGGAAGAACCATTGCCTTGTACGGGCCATCCACTTCAAACATAATTGAGCACTCCTTGTGTGAGTTATACTTCCCTGAAGACGGGTCAAGCTCGTGATATTGCGAATTCGTAAACTTGGCGTGCACATCTGCATTCAGCATCACACACGGATACGAAATGCTCCTACTTCCACCATCCTTAAGCTTGAAAGAAAAGGTTTCAGGAAACGATTTAGGAAGGATGGCCCAAATGCCATCGGTATCCAGCTCTAACGGTCGTCCAATTTGCTCTACCAGCTCACGAGCACCAGTGATAATGTTAGAACCTGTATGCGTCACGATGCCGGCCATCTCCATTGAGTGCCATCGCGCGCCCTTGCGCATGACATAACCGTAGAACGAGTTCAAAATACACTTGTGCGCGAGTTGAAGGGAGTCGTACACAAGACACTTGTTTTGAGCATCAATTTTTGCCAAAAGATCCTTTGCGACGGCGGCTTCTGACACCTTTTTCTTCCAGACCTTCGTCAGTCCCTTGTAATCGTAGCGACGATCTCGAAATGCACGCACAGTATTAACATAAAATGGGTTTTCACGCATGCAAACGGTTGCAGATCGTTGTTGCTCCTCCGTTACCTTTGTTTTCTTGTACACACTAGAACAATAGGATTTGAATCGATGTTTCAGGAGTTGTTCTTGTTTGTCAAGAGGAAGTTGAGCAAATGGCACTGTGTAACCGGCATCGTTGGTCCTCTTAGCTGGGTCCTGGTTCATCACGACTCCTTTGTTCATCCCGACTCCTTTTTTTTTCAAAGAAAAGCTTTCATATTCAATCTGTGTCTTGATCGAATAGTACTCCGGTCGTGTGGCAGGATAGAAATCACCGCGCCATACCCAATCCATTTCACGCTGACAAGATGCATCTTTTTCTTTGATGGCTGCTCGGCCACACTCGGTATTATACGTACACGCGGCGCAGTCCGCCTCGTTTACAATTGCGCACGGTTGCAACCGGTTCGTAAGAATAATATTTGGGTACATGGCAGCCACGTCTAAATGATAAATCAGCGGCTGTTCCTTCCGATTCGGCCGCTCACGAAGCGCAGCAAGGCGGTCCACAATATCCTTTCTTACATCTTCATAATTCGTGACACGGTCAAGTGGAACATTCATCTCAACCTCCAAAGAAAACTCGAGATCTCGGTCAATATTGTCAATTAACTGCTGGAATGCAGTTGGCACCAACTGGAAGTCATACAAGAAGTCTGCACGAAAAACGCCCGATTCTAAACACTCCACGTGCCCACCTACGTAAGTCTCACTTTCGACAAGGTGCCCCTTGTAGAATTTTTTCTTCTCGGGCCAAGCTTTGCTTATTAGGACAAATGATGTTGCCTTTAAAAGCTTCAACCATCAGCAAGGCTTCGCAAAGTGTTCCGGAACCTTTTCGAAGCACATCTTCGGATCCTAGAGGAATGATTGTGCACAACGAAAACACAAACAGATGCACGTACTTATCATAAAGATAAAACGTTGCCACAGCATCGGAAACCGAATACGACGCCATCTTTAAGGGTTCGTCACGGGCCAATGCAACCATATCTTCTGCGTCTACCTCCACTGGATCATATCCCAACTTGTACTTTGTAACGGCTTTTAAGCCCTGACTTCCCTGTGGCAGATATGAGTCTCGTTTTACCCAGCAAAACGCATCCATGTGGACACTGCAACGTCCACGGTACTCTCCACTCCGCTCGTCAAGAGAAACGCCGATTTCGCGCGCCATATTAATTCCGTGAACTTGTGCACGCGCCTCAATAAACGGCCAATCGAAAAAGTCGCCATTATACGTCACGAAAATATGCGGCTGCTCTTCTATCACATGTTCAAAAAACCGCTTCAATAACTGTTCTTCATTCTCTTCGTTAAACACAATGAAAGGTCCAGGGTAGGCCACCTTGGGCGTATACTCAAAATCTTGAATATCCTCCGACACAAACTCTCGATTCACAATCAAATATCCTTGTTTATCAATCATATACGAGATCATGTAAATCTGGTCCACTTGTGCATCTGGAAATTTTAATGGTGCTTTGGTACACTCAATATCAAAAGCACACACTACCGGTTCCGCTTTATCTACCATTTCTTTTTGTCGTCTCACATGTGACGGTGAATACGGCGCTGTCGGATCATAATTCACGACATACCACGCACCTACTCGAATATCAAGATCAATAGCCACTCGCATTGAATACGGAACGTCATATTCCCTCATCTCTAGCAATGAGGTTTCACTTTCATCAGTTATAACTCCTTTTGCGATATCTCCATCAGCTCCAAAGATCAAATCATTCTCGTTTACTTGCTCTTTTATTTGTCCCTGCATCTCATAAGCTTGTCTGATCTGCAATCTTTCTTGATTCCTAGCAATAATCGGAGCTAATTCTCTTTTTACTATCATTAAATCTGTCACAACATCAAAGCTCAGCTTCACATATAATGCTTTCTTGCCGTTTAAATGGTCAGCCATGTCCAAATCTTCTCGAAATACGCGCTCTGCTTTGACCACAAATCCTTCAAACCTCCGAAGACAGTATGCAATCACTTCCTGTGACCTATTAGTCTCAGGACGTATATATAAATAAGGTCGATAGATAATTCTCGTCTTAAATGCTTTTCCATCTTGCTCTAAGAAGTACAACTCGAGGCCACTCACTTCGTTCTTGCCTTCAATCGGGTCAAGCAGTGTACATTCACGTAAATTTAGCAGCCAGCCAAGCTTAGTGCGATCTTCAGCTTCCATCAGAGTGTTGGTCATTTTACGTGCTTCTTCCTCTTGTTCCAGTATCTCGGATAATAGATAAAACCCAAACTTACGATCCAATTCATCCCCTTTCTTGAGTGCATATGCTTTAGACTCTGTCATACCACGACCAGAACGTAAGCGTGCAGCATTTGCACGTGCACCTTGTGAGCTACGAGCCCATGCAGATCCATTACCACGACTATATGGATTGCGGAAGTTTCCTTTGCTTTTGCCGCGCTGCGTTGCCATCAGTGCGGAATCAAGGGGTTGGGTTTCTTGTAATTGTTTCCCGCGCTCTATTTGTACCTGTAAGATCTTATAACCTACATGTGCAAATATTTTTGCTTACAAAATTTAATGAATCGGTTTGGTGCATCTAATTTCTGTACCTATTGCTTGTTTCGAGGAGAAAGATTGATGTGTCCCTTCTTAGAGTGATAAACACTTTTTTTTTGTTTCAGAATACGTTTGTATAGCCATTAAACCGTGCATACCTTTTTCCACACAGTTTTTTTGAAAGTTTATTTCAATTTAAGCTGGAATATCCTCTACCTTACGCTTCTTTGAAGACTCGTCGATCGTCTCAAAGTACTTAAGCGAGTCCTTCGAGTTGGCAATCATACTCTTACTGCCCTTTTTCCAATTGGCAGGGCACACATCACCGTGTTCCTCGTGAAATTGAAAGGCCTCAATAAGACGCAAGACCTCGTCCACATTGCGGCCTGAGGCAGATCCTTAACCGTAATATGTCTAATGAATACCCCTCTTAACAATAATAAAAAGGCCACGAAACGCCACACCCACCTCATCACCGTCCTCGACCATTACTTGGTATTTAGTACACAAGTCCTTGGTCACGTCCGCCACAAGTGGAATGTTCATCTTGCCGAGTCCACCCTTTTTACGAGGTGTATTTATCCATGCCAGGTGTGAAAATTTAGAGTCAGTAGAAGCACCAATCACTTGTGTATTGAGCTTTTCAAAGTCTTCCACACGGTCGCTAAAAGCGCAAATCTCGGTCGGGCACACAAATGTAAAATCCATGGGGTAAAAGAAAAGTACTACGTATTGTCCAATATAATCTGATAGTGTGATCTTCTTGAACTTACCATGAACAACAGCATCAGATATAAAGTTTGGAGCAGGCTTGCGAATAGTAAGAACCATGGCTGTAGTAGTAGAGGTAGTCCTTGGTAGTAATGTAAATTACCGACTGGCTGGACTATAATTAGTGGGGTTGTATCGATTTATAGAGGGATGGTCTATCCGACGTTGGCCAAATTAACATTGTCAAATTGAATAATTAGTGTGCATACATTATATACGACAGGTATTAATAAGGTGTGGTACACTGAAGAAGTTTTAGTGACCGTAAAGAGAAGTGTTCTCATTTCAGCATGTCGTTTAGCAGCTTCTACTCGGTAGTAAACGTTATTAAGGACAAGTCGGCAGAAGCTTTGACCACACTAAGCTCAGATTTACAGGAATTTAAGTCTATTGTACAAGAAGACGTGGCAGAATTGTCGAAGAATGTGCGACAGAATATACACGATGGTCAATTTGGTGTTGAACGCAAGGAATCAGATCAAGAAGAGACCATAGAGAATCAGAACCACGACCCAGATCAGCACCAAGACTTGGATGAAAATCAGGTTAAAAACCCGGATTATGATCGAGACATTAACAATAAAACGTTGCCGACAGTGACGAAGGCTGAGGAGGGTCCGGATCTGGACCCGTTGATATTTCTTAAGAACTCACTTATGTCCTTTAATATGGGTAGTACATTGGAATCACTTAATTCAGTGGGTAGTACGATGCAAGGCTCACTTAATTCAGTACAAAGTTCTTTTACGTCAGTAGGTAATAAAATGACATTACAGAACGTGACGAATAGTTTGGAATCGCTGGAAATGATGGGGTCGAAGCTGCTAAATTCGGCCGACGAGTTTATTGGTACATTGGCTGGAGATGCACCATATGAGAGGGAAGAAAAAGAAGAGCTGAGCGAGAGGGATCTAAGTGCCAGGAAATTTCGAATGTTGGCGCTTCAAGAAGACTCGGAAACGTACACAAAGCCACCAATAGACCTCGGGGCGTTTGACGAGTGGAAACTTGCGACATCCACGGAGGAGCTAGCGGACATCGAACGTGAATTACTTGAAAATTATCCGACGGTAGGCGCTAAATTTGCAGAGTTGGTGCCGTCTGTAGTTGAGGCAGACGTATTCTGGACACATTATATTTACAAGGCGTCGCTGCTGGCTGCACAGGAGAAACGCGGAGCGGATTTGTTGGAACACGGTGCGTATGTTAGAGTCAAAAAAGGTTGGTCTTTTTGAGTTGTTGCTGATTGTATCTGTGGTGACCATTGCCAGCACTGAACGATGATGAAGAAGAGATTGGCTGGGAAATTGACTCACCGAAAGCCAAGGACGAAGACGGCAAGCCAATTTTTCTTGCTGATGAGTTTAAGGAGGAAGAGAAGGTGTCGTCGACAGCGATCACCAACGCCCCAACGTCGTCAAGTGATGGTGAGAGCTGGATTGAGCTGGATGAACGGAAGGGATCGACGTCTTCTGGTGCGTCGTCGAGTCTCAAAGAGCCGAGCTGTGCCCTGGCTGATTTAACACTTGACGAGGGCATCGAAGCGGCCGAAGCGCTTGATTGGGGTGATGACGATAATCTCTTAGTGCCAGAAGCAACGATTGTAGCCGCATCGGATACCAAGGTGCCTGAGGCGACCCCTGTATCGCACGAGGACAGCAGCAAGCATGGAGAGGATTGGGGCGAGTGGGATTAACTTACGCGAAGGACGAGAGTGACGCTCGCAAACCATTATTTTCGATTCATGCAGCTTTTCTTGCATCATGCATGTGTTTGTGGAGCTTGATATATGAGTAGTTGATTGCGTTTCTACTGTCCTTTATTTGCCATGTGTCAGAGATCTTGTAAGCTTGTGCTAACGAACTGACACTGACGGACGATAGGACTAGCAAAAGTTGCTGCTAATCGTGTCAATATGCGGCAACACAAAACTTGTAAATTTTTTGCATGATTTACTCGATGAAACTCCAATTTTGATTGCTTGAACAACCAGCTTCACGTAAAAGGTAGGTCTGCTGTCCTCGTCGGTTGGTGTCACAATTTGTCTGACACTTCTGATGCAATGCACACTCAAGCTCGAACTCTGTCCGTCATGATAAGGTCGAGAATTTTGTGATTGCTAAAGTATCTGGAAAAGGCTTTAGAGATGATTGCATGTGAAACTAGCAGCGTTGAGACTTGGTCACAACAATTCGCTTGCTACACGCAGAGACAAAAACATGGACTCTTTGAATTAGTGCGTAAACCTGACCGCAAATTCCTGGACAGCATGTACAAAAGACAGCCTGCAGTTTACTGCAGATTTTGAAAAGACGAATGGCGACTTAATGATTCAGTTTTTGTGCCCCTCCGCGTGGTATCGACAAGTATCACCAGAATTACACTCAATGGAGGCACACATTTACGTTGCTGACCTTTCTCGTGGTTGGACTGGTTGTCTAAGCTGAACGAAGATGCGATGGTGGCTCAGGTAGCATCTCACGTATTGGAAACACAGGGCAAGAGGTTGAAGCCGTTAGGAATGAATAGTCGGATTAGGAAAGGAAAACGTGGGAAAAGAGCGGGACAGGAGAACGAAGCGACAGGACGAGTAGATCTAGAAAGACTGTGGCAAGGACTGTTGCGATGTCCCCAAAGCCCTTAAGAACGGGGCACCTTTTAAACCAAGGACTGTTGCGATTAGTTACGATGTTTGTGAGTTTGTTGTAGTGCTGTTCTGATAAAAACAAAAATAATTTTTAAAAAAACTAAATGTAATAAATTCTAAAATATATTTTTTTTCTATAAAAAAAAGAATATTTATTATATTTTAGGTGAGCAAAAACCTTGAAAACCCTTCTGAAAACATGTCTCGCAGGTCAACGTCAAAATGCCATCGTGGCAGATCGTTTAAGGCCGACGAGTTTGCCGCTTTGGGTGTGCTAGACTGAAAAAGTTTGCTACGATCATAGACATTGCAGTAGCGTAGTCTCAATGGCTGGCTTGAATGTCATGGTTGGTGTGCCGAAACGCTTCCTCACTTGTAAACTGCGTAGAACCGTGGAATGTTAGACCATGTTCTACCGTCCATCATTTAATTACCACATTGCTGTTTCCATCAGTCAGCCGGAGACGCCATGCGAAAATAGCTGAAGTTCGGTCCGACATTCTTTATCTTCTTTTTGACCACTTGTTGTTGCTGACGACTTCTAGCTGAACCTGATGACAGCGCGACGTCATCGTCGACACAAGGACAGTCAGCTACTACTCTTTTTCGATCTTGATCAACACAACTCTGTTTAAAATTGATACTGGGCGCTCTACTTTCATTCTGGCATCGCCGGCATAGGACGATAGTAGTTGCTCAATATTTTGACCGATTTTAGACATTGTGTCGAAGATTGCTGTTAAATGCAGCGTCTTTGACAACGTAGCACTACTTTGGTTGGGTTTAGCACTGGATACCGTGGGTACCGGTTTAAGCTTTGCAATCTTGTTTTTCTAAGTCTATTTTAAGCATATTGACTCTCGACAGAATTAAAAACGTCCTATACGAAATTAATTAGCAAGGGTCGTGTATTCCGAATGTATTTAGCGCTATCTACAGTCCATAGTACCACTGTTAGTTGAGCAGCCTCAACAACAGCAAATATGACCATCACTCTTAAGTTGAAGTGCGACATGTTGTGAAAAGTCCGCACTCAACTTCATTCCGCAATTTGCCTTCAAGGCCTGACAAAAGTGTCCAAAGAAAGCAAGAGAGCTGCCAAGTATGAACTGGATGACTAGCGGAAGACATCGTGCACTGTATTCACAACGTGGACGACGTCGACAGATGCACTTTCCTTCACAAGTTCAACGCGAGCGTATAAAGCCCACGAGCCCTCCTGAAAGCTCGTACCCAGTAAGAAACGCACGTGACTCGTCAACACCATGGTACATTGTTTCAGTTGGAGATGAGAATGAGTCACAAGGTTGAGATAAAGAGTGTGCTTGAGCTCTTATGCTTGATACGAATGACAAAGGAATGGCTTTGACGTACAGATATCCGTGTGTTGACGCTGGAACGGAAGGGGGCGATGAACGACACTGAAATTACGGCTCAAGACAAGGCCAATGAGGCGAACCTTGCCACGAAGGACTGTACAAGCGAAGATGCGGTACGATCGAGCCCGAGTCGGACGAGAAGCTGTGGACAAAATGAACAAGATGTTCATGACGGAAGAAATGAAAGCAAGTGTATCTTTACTCCTGTGAAGAAGGCTAGGAAGTATGAGGTACCGCTGGATGCTGTTCTACGAATACGAGAGGCACGTAGTGAAAGACCACCATCATCGATTGCCTCTGGTGTCGACATGCTCTTTTTTAAGTGAGTGATTCGTAGGGAAAGGTTGTTATCGTAAGATGAATTCAAGCTCATTGTTGAACACAATACATAGTGACGGTGAAGAGCTACCACTCAAGACAAGAGGTCAACATGTAAAGCACGCATCTATGGACCCAGGTTCGTCAGAAACACGCAAAAGAAGCTCATTCTCGCAGCAGTTCAATGGAAATGGGACTCAAGATTGCCTCAGAGACATGCACCAGGTACTTTTGCCAACTGTCCAGGTAGTGTTTGTAACAAGTACTGATGTTTGGCTACTGGACACGCAGCTGCAGCTCCAACAAGGCGGTATAGACGAAGACTTTGACAACAAAGGAGTCTTCAATCGACAAGGATGCGATGACGAGCAGCAATTCTTTGACAGCGTACATGACCAGCCAGCATTTTTTGACGACACGAGTGAAACAAGTTCGCGAGAGTTTCAACGTTGGAAGGTCGATTCCAATTCGTATGCAGACTTTGGTCCAGTCTTGGTGAGTACGATCTCGATCCGCACGTCTATGGCTGAGATATATGACATTGTTATTGGGTTCTGTGCTAGCCATTCGATCGCAAGGACAGCACGTCATTCATGAGCACTAGCGAACGGTAAGACGCTTGTCTGTGAACAAAGCTCAGGCCAACACTGTCTATATGCGTGAAGTAGTCGTGAAAAAGTGCATGGCACGCCGCCATCAAGTCCAGTTGACGTCTCGCCGTTATCATTTAGAATGAGTCGAGCAGAAGGTTTGTGGTTCCTTTTGGTGCAGTCATTGTTCAGCTTACTCACGCGTGTGATATTATTCAGTGTTGCAGTCCCAACTCTCTACCACAGCTCACAATGCGGTGGGTAAATTTCTATCTGTATACAAGCCACTGAGTCTACCTGGCTAACACCTGCGGTTTGGCTAGACTCACGATCCCGTCAAACATGAGATGACCTGCACATCGGTTCTGCACCCGTCGCCATCTCCATCAACATCGGCATCGTCGCAGGGCAGCATTGTGCTTGACCGTCCTCCGCTTGGCTGGCAAAAGAAGATGATGCTGTCAGTGAGAGAAGATGAAACCGAGCAGCCGGAGCATGGTCTCGGTAGACAAGATTCATTATCGACAGAAACGAGTACCTCATCTCCTACAAAGGTTGTCGGTCAAAATCAGAACAATCGTGAGTGCCTTGCAAATGATCTTTTCTGTCTGGTCTGTAAGTTGATTCATTGGCATTGCACTTCATTTTCATTCTGCTTACAACCCAGGCGGCCCGCAAAGACTTCCGTTCAAATCATCGCCTTCACCAATAAGCTCGACAGGAAGCGACAGCGAAAACTCGCTCTTGTCCGCAGTAGTCCCGGCCAATGCAAAAGAGCACATCATGGCGGCTGCAGCTTCGCAGCAACTTTCTCCACATTCAAGAATGTGGTGCCAGCGACCAGCCAAAACAAGTACGTCACGTACTGTCATAATCCAGCCCGCATCGTACTTATGCCACTCTCACACATGGTCGTCTGTAACACTTCTGTGCGATGCTTGCCAGAGCTCGGCAAAAGAAATAGCGCAGATGATGTTTTCAGCGGGAAGAGCATGACATTCCAGCAGGCATGGGTCATGTCGTCGCGCACGAAGACCATCCTGGATGCGGTCTCATCGTTAAATGATCCGTCTATGGAAAATGCGACGGAAGAGCCCAAGACCAAATATCAAGAAATGGAAAGCGTTGCAGTCTATATGTACACTCTGGTGCAGTGCTACAAGATTGACGAGAGCTTTCGGTGTGTTTGCATGCTGTCACGTGCATGTTACAGACACCATATTCATATATTGTATTGCAGTGCTGACAGACCCAAGTTGCCAGTTGTTGAGCACGCTTATCTTAGATGCAAAGCTTCTTCACCACCCGCTTCCATTACTCGGACGAATCAATCAGCCTGTCGACGAGAGATCATCATCTCACCAAAGCATGCGGATTAGCAAGCACACGTCGAGCTAGCAGCTAAGCTAAGCCTTTTCCAAGTAGGCCTTCGCTAGCGCTTTTTTGTTCACCTTTCCCATTGCATTTTTTGGAATCTCATGAACGAAAAAGTACTTGCGCGGCACACGATAGCTTGCAAGGTGCTCCTTTGAAAACTCTACAAGAGGCGGTGAAAAAAACTCCGGATTAACCTTTTCATCTTCAATTTTCGAGTGAATTACAACTGCCACAATTTCACCCCATGTTTCGTCAGGTAGCCCAAAGACAGCACACTCGAGGATTTGTGGATGTGTCGACAGCACGCGTTCAACGTCCAATGCAGACACCTTGTAGCCTGCGGTTTTGAGAATGTCGGCACTCGCTCGTCCACGGATGCGAAAACTTTTGAACTCATTGTTGTATTGAACAATGTCACCCGTCTTGAACCACCCGCCTGCATCAAAAACCTTTGCGGTGGCCTCAGGCTTCTTCCAGTATTCGCTAAAAACGGATGGTCCTTTAACGTAAAGTTCGCCCTCCTTCTCCTCGTGCTGTGGTAGTACAATGTCGGTATCAGGATCCACAATGCGAACGGATATACTAGGCAAAGCATTTCCTACATATCCAAGGTGGCGATCGCCGTGCAGTGGGTTAGTAAGAACCATTCCCAATTCCGTCATACCGTAGCGCTCAAGCAGGCGCTGCCCCGTCAAAGTCTCCCAACGGTTCAAAATTGACATCGGACAAGCCATTGATCCGCTGATAGCTACACGCAATCTGCGTGCACCTGCCAATGCGCTTTGAGTCTTCAAGTCGTTCAAAGGCTGTTTTTCCATCTCTTCAAGGAGCTTCATGTATATCGTAGGCACTGCCATTAGCATTGAAACCGGGCGCTTTGTATTCACAGCCTCACTAAGCTTGGACCAAATAAGCGACGGCTTTGCAAATGGAAGAAGCTCTACAGATCCACCTACGTACATGACACAGAGCAAATTGTTCAAGATACCGTGTATGTGGTGCAACGGCAAAAAGTGGATCAGGTGATCTTCATTTGTCATCTCCCACGTTGTCACCAAGTCGCTGATCTGTGCTATAAGTGCACTATGTGTAGTCACTACCCCTTTCGGACGACCAGTAGTCCCACTCGTGTATATCATATACGCTCCCATCTTGTTAAAGTCGGTCGTCTTCACCCATTCGTTCACTTCTTTCTCTTGATCGGCCAATAGCTTTTCCTCATCTCCACTCTCAACATCATCAGAGAACACAATCACTTCCACCTGCATCCTTATCGAAAGCTCAGTCACATATTTCATCAACGTTGTGTCTCGTGCAATCAACGACTTGCTAACAATCAGCAAAGCCGTTCCTGAGTCTGAAACAACATAGTCCATCTCATCCGCCGGATGTGCTGGATGCAAGGGAACTGCAATGCCTACAGCTAGCCAAATGGCCCACTGAATGATCAAATACGAAGCATTACGAGCTGCAAGAAGCGCCACACGAGGTTGCTCATTGTTTTTCGATAATTTACTCAATATCTCATCCCGCATCATAAGCGCCCGACGTAACAACGCTGCATACGTCCACTTACAAACATTATGATCATTTAAAGAGATGATAGCAACAGAATTCTGATGTTCCAGTAGCTTTTCAACGATATGCGGGGCAAGAAAATCCATTGAAAAGGAGCAAGAAATTGTAACGTGATCTTATTCCAGATTAAGATACACAGAAGCTGTCTCTTTTTTTTTGACAAGATTATCAGTAATTGAAAAATCCCACAAGCTTTTTAACCTCGTAAATTCAATAATACCCATATGTTTTCAGATTGTTTCGACTGGATCACGAATTGTATTGGAAAGTCCTACCAAAATTTTCTTATCTTGCGCTGGACGCTACGGCTCATCCAATGAAGCTGCGTATCTTTCGTTAATTTGCTCAGCTCTTGAACGTACTCAAAAAGTAATTGCAACTTCGATTGCTATGCCAACAGCTACGCAAATGGTCGTCCATTTGTTGCGCTCTTTTGAGCACAGTCTAGTGACAAATGCTGGACTTGGTGCAAATTTAACTGAAGAAGGGCGTGTAGAATGCGAAATTACTATCGTATGTGGCCGAACGAATTTGGTAGGTTGCTGTGGGACTGTGAGTGGAGTTAAGGAGCCAAGTGCATTGGCGTTGAAATTATTGGAACAAGCTGAAAAAGTGAACGACGGCAGTGACTTGAGTGGTAAATTTGTATTTGGTCGCCAGCCTCCTCTAGTGATTGCAGGGAAATATGTTCAAAAACTGGCAAAAGTTTTTGGCTTAAATACGAAATACGGCAAAGGAACATGCTGAACGATTGGAAAGTATCAAGTTACGACAAGGACTCGCGAGCATTGGGAAAAGTGGCATCGACGATTTCAAGAAGCTGTAAAGATACAGACTGAAGGAGAGGAAGATGAACAATTAGACACTGTCGGGTCTGTTTGTATGGATTCAATAGGGAGCGTAGCGGCTGCATTGTCAAGTGGCGGTGTAGCATACAAAGTGCCCGGCCGTATGGGGCTTGCTGGGTGTCCTCGGATGGGTTGCAATGCTGCTAATGCCGTGGCAATGATGAACCGAAAACGTAAACGAAAGCGGATTAAGTGAAGACAAATGAGAAATGCCTTTGCTGTGGCGTGTACTGGCCGAGGTGAACATTTCATTCGGAGTAATTTTGCGGGCGCTTTAAGTCGGAGATTATTCATGTCAATCGATTTGGAGCGAGGATTTCGAAAAGTGTTTGCCGACTCGAGTCATAATAATGGTGGGGTTGGTAGTGTGTTGGCCCTTGTATGTACGCCACTTGAGAACGAAGACGACAAAAAGGCATTACGGCGTGTGCAACTAGGTGCAGCATTCACAACACTTGTATGGGTGTGGGTTACTTGCAATGTCGTGCTAATGCTACGTCAGAAGCACAAGTACAGCTGTTACGTCGGCCACACTCACCGCCAGGAGATGTTAGCAACAAGCTCGCCATTCATGTGCCACTTCTTCGTCTTGACGCAACTCATGACGAACAATCAAATTCTTGAGTAGTAGGACGGCGATATCGAATCGCCATTTTGTCGTTAAGTGTCATTATGCGTTCTAACACCGAAGCAATTGTGATGTTTTATATAATATATCGCGTACTTTTTCGTTCATGAGATTCCAAAAAATGCAATGGGAAAGGTGAACAAAAAAGCGCTAGCGAAGGCCTACTTGGAAAAGGCTTAGCTTAGCTGCTAGCTCGACGTGTGCTTGCTAATCCGCATGCTTTGGTGAGATGATGATCTCTCGTCGACAGGCTGATTGATTCGTCCGAGTAATGGAAGCGGGTGGTGAAGAAGCTTTGCATCTAAGATAAGCGTGCTCAACAACTGGCAACTTGGGTCTGTCAGCACTGCAATACAATATATGAATATGGTGTCTGTAACATGCACGTGACAGCATGCAAACACACCGAAAGCTCTCGTCAATCTTGTAGCACTGCACCAGAGTGTACATATAGACTGCAACGCTTTCCATTTCTTGATATTTGGTCTTGGGCTCTTCCGTCGCATTTTCCATAGACGGATCATTTAACGATGAGACCGCATCCAGGATGGTCTTCGTGCGCGACGACATGACCCATGCCTGCTGGAATGTCATGCTCTTCCCGCTGAAAACATCATCTGCGCTATTTCTTTTGCCGAGCTCTGGCAAGCATCGCACAGAAGTGTTACAGACGACCATGTGTGAGAGTGGCATAAGTACGATGCGGGCTGGATTATGACAGTACGTGACGTACTTGTTTTGGCTGGTCGCTGGCACCACATTCTTGAATGTGGAGAAAGTTGCTGCGAAGCTGCAGCCGCCATGATGTGCTCTTTTGCATTGGCCGGGACTACTGCGGACAAGAGCGAGTTTTCGCTGTCGCTTCCTGTCGAGCTTATTGGTGAAGGCGATGATTTGAACGGAAGTCTTTGCGGGCCGCCTGGGTTGTAAGCAGAATGAAAATGAAGTGCAATGCCAATGAATCAACTTACAGACCAGACAGAAAAGATCATTTGCAAGGCACTCACGATTGTTCTGATTTTGACCGACAACCTTTGTAGGAGATGAGGTACTCGTTTCTGTCGATAATGAATCTTGTCTACCGAGACCATGCTCCGGCTGCTCGGTTTCATCTTCTCTCACTGACAGCATCATCTTCTTTTGCCAGCCAAGCGGAGGACGGTCAAGCACAATGCTGCCCTGCGACGATGCCGATGTTGATGGAGATGGCGACGGGTGCAGAACCGATGTGCAGGTCATCTCATGTTTGACGGGATCGTGAGTCTAGCCAAACCGCAGGTGTTAGCCAGGTAGACTCAGTGGCTTGTATACAGATAGAAATTTACCCACCGCATTGTGAGCTGTGGTAGAGAGTTGGGACTGCAACACTGAATAATATCACACGCGTGAGTAAGCTGAACAATGACTGCACCAAAAGGAACCACAAACCTTCTGCTCGACTCATTCTAAATGATAACGGCGAGACGTCAACTGGACTTGATGGCGGCGTGCCATGCACTTTTTCACGACTACTTCACGCATATAGACAGTGTTGGCCTGAGCTTTGTTCACAGACAAGCGTCTTACCGTTCGCTAGTGCTCATGAATGACGTGCTGTCCTTGCGATCGAATGGCTAGCACAGAACCCAATAACAATGTCATATATCTCAGCCATAGACGTGCGGATCGAGATCGTACTCACCAAGACTGGACCAAAGTCTGCATACGAATTGGAATCGACCTTCCAACGTTGAAACTCTCGCGAACTTGTTTCACTCGTGTCGTCAAAAAATGCTGGCTGGTCATGTACGCTGTCAAAGAATTGCTGCTCGTCATCGCATCCTTGTCGATTGAAGACTCCTTTGTTGTCAAAGTCTTCGTCTATACCGCCTTGTTGGAGCTGCAGCTGCGTGTCCAGTAGCCAAACATCAGTACTTGTTACAAACACTACCTGGACAGTTGGCAAAAGTACCTGGTGCATGTCTCTGAGGCAATCTTGAGTCCCATTTCCATTGAACTGCTGCGAGAATGAGCTTCTTTTGCGTGTTTCTGACGAACCTGGGTCCATAGATGCGTGCTTTACATGTTGACCTCTTGTCTTGAGTGGTAGCTCTTCACCGTCACTATGTATTGTGTTCAACAATGAGCTTGAATTCATCTTACGATAACAACCTTTCCCTACGAATCACTCACTTAAAAAAGAGCATGTCGACACCAGAGGCAATCGATGATGGTGGTCTTTCACTACGTGCCTCTCGTATTCGTAGAACAGCATCCAGCGGTACCTCATACTTCCTAGCCTTCTTCACAGGAGTAAAGATACACTTGCTTTCATTTCTTCCGTCATGAACATCTTGTTCATTTTGTCCACAGCTTCTCGTCCGACTCGGGCTCGATCGTACCGCATCTTCGCTTGTACAGTCCTTCGTGGCAAGGTTCGCCTCATTGGCCTTGTCTTGAGCCGTAATTTCAGTGTCGTTCATCGCCCCCTTCCGTTCCAGCGTCAACACACGGATATCTGTACGTCAAAGCCATTCCTTTGTCATTCGTATCAAGCATAAAAGCTCAAGCACACTCTTTATCTCAACCTTGTGACTCATTCTCATCTCCAACTGAAACAATGTACCATGGTGTTGACGAGTCACGTGCGTTTCTTACTGGGTACGAGCTTTCAGGAGGGCTCGTGGGCTTTATACGCTCGCGTTGAACTTGTGAAGGAAAGTGCATCTGTCGACGTCGTCCACGTTGTGAATACAGTGCACGATGTCTTCCGCTAGTCATCCAGTTCATACTTGGCAGCTCTCTTTCTTTCTTTGGACACTTTTGTCAGGCCTTGAAGGCAAATTGCGGAATGAAGTTGAGTGCGGACTTTTCACAACATGTCGCACTTCAACTTAAGAGTGATGGTCATATTTGCTGTTGTTGAGGCTGCTCAACTAACAGTGGTACTATGGACTGTAGATAACGTTTAGTACATTGTCTACTCGTAACAAACAGCTATATAAAAAGCTGTGGAGAAGTGTTTAGTTGGAACCGCATTATGATGTTGGTCCGTGCCAGTGTCTATGAATGCTTTGCTGACTTGAGAAGACAAGGGTGTCGATAAATTGTATTGCGAGATTGATGATCAGAGTTAGAGCATCAACCACATTGCCTTTTACGAACAAGTACCTGACGTAGTTATTAAATAGTCCTTGAGTAGATAATTACATTCTCTTGCTCGCGCAATTCAAACACTTACTTAATTATCGACTAAAAGTTTTTGACTCAAGGCCTTCACGGTCGACGCCATCATCAACGAAGACTCTAAGACGCGTATCTACCGGACACTAAGGAGCCCAAACCTTGAGTATTTATATGAGCAAATTAATGCTTAGGCTTGGTCAAGGATTCGCACTGAACTACAATTTCGTAGAGGCAGATGTGGTCTCTGATGTAAAACCTGCGCCATACATTAAACACAATAATCAGCCTCGTCTGTGTGGCAGCACGATCAGCTGATTAACAATCGCAGCAGCTGTCCTTGACGTATTTTTACATTAAGCTGGACAGGGTGGACAAAAGTCAGTACATTTGCAGCATTTATTAATAAAACAGCGTCAAAGGCACAATACCATGTAGCCAAAAATCTGATTCCTTGTTAAGCTTCATTAGTACAATTGTATTTCTTCCTGTAATGGCTTATTTCAGCCAATAGTTGCTGTCCAAAAGCCTCGTTTCAGCCAATAGTTGTCATTCAGCAGCTCAGTTCAGCCTATGGCTGTTGTCCAGCAGCCGTTCAGCCTATGGCTGTTGTCCAGCAGCCGCCTTCGCTTCATTTTCGAATTTGTATCGTAAGACTCAGATCTAAGTAGACATTATCAATGGTTCTTAAACTTCGCCACGATGCTCCTGCCTTTACCGCTGACGCTGTTGTAGATGGAGAATTCAAGACTATATCGCTATCAGATTACAAGGGCAAGTATGTTGTACTATTCTTTTATCCCATGGACTTCACCTTTGTGTGTCCAACGGAGATCATCGCGTTTAGTGAAAAAGCTGCGGCGTTTCGCAAGCTTGGGTGCGAGGTTTTGGGCTGTAGTGTCGATTCAAAGTTCTCGCACTTGGCATGGATCAATACGCCTCGCAAACAGGGCGGTCTAGGCGAGCTGAACATCCCTCTCCTTGCCGACTTTAACAAAACGATTGCACAAGCTTACGACGTTTTGATTGATGTCGGCGAGGAAACTGGTGCAACTTTTCGTGGTCTATTCATTATTGATGGGCAGGGCAAACTGCGTCAGAGCACAGTGAATGACTGCCCCGTCGGCCGCAATGTGGACGAGATTCTGCGTCTGGTAGAAGCTTTTCAGTTCACAGACGAGCATGGTGAGGTGTGTCCTGCTGGCTGGAAGAAGGGTGGCAAGACAATCAAGCCAACGGTGGCGGAGTCAAAGGAATATTTTGGCGCTTCTCATTAAACAAGTGTGAAAGCTTTTGCTTGGAGGTGTTTCCGATAAAGCTAGTGGCAAGCAGCCATCCATCATACGTAGTTTGTTAGTGGTGGTTGATATTCATCAACTCAGGATATAAACAACCACGTGCGAATCTTGACACTTTCCAACGTAAATTGGAGCAAAACGAAGTACATTTGTGAGCTGTTTTGTAGTTTTTAACTCAATTGAAGCTTCGACAATGACTTTATCTCTCTCTACATGCTAAGGTGTTCATGAGCATAGTTAATGGTTTTGAAGAAGTAGACGGTGGTAGCAGCACCAAGGCATAGATAGCAACGAGAGATTGCTGACATCAAGAATGGGTTGCACCCGTAAGCAAAAGACACATAAGTTACTTGAGTTTATTACGCAAATCCTGACACTGATAAGGACTGGCAACCTTAGCTATCCATGTAAGTCCATTGCCAGTTATTTTTAGGTAGTCAGTGCTTTTCCATCGATGAGCGCGCGAGTTCTCGAACGCTCAATAGTCGTTGAAGCAACGGTTTCTCAACATGTTTGCCTCATTCGAACATAGCAACCTGTTGGGGTGAGACTGTCAACACACCATAAAGCACAGCACTAAGACAGGCTCTTCATGACGTTAGCAAGACACGTTTCAAGCAGCTCTTTGATAGATTTGATTGATGTTTTGTCTTTGTCTGGTGTATGTGGTCCTATTCATTGGGCTTTAAGAAGGTGGCAAAACTTGTAGGTAATCTGCAGTATTCGACTCGGATCCACGGATCTCCAAAATCGGTACAGTTTCTTCATTGCTGCATTCAATCATCTGACAGTCACGTGTCTCCACACCAAACTTCATTTGGAATGGGATCAATTCTTTACATGTTTGACTTCTGGCGTTGATACTCAAAGCTGATAATCCAGAAAAGAGTGTAGATAGTTTCTCATTCCTCTTCGCACCGTAGAAAGCACAAGACACCGTCGTAAGCTGCTTACTTTGAGTAGAATAACTGTGACGTCCGTCGTGAGACTTTATGTGTTTCGCGTTGGTCAATGCATCACTCTCGCAATTGTAGTCAATGCAACTATCGTCTTCAGCCTTGTTATATGGCTTTGCAAACACAACTCCGGGCTCACTAAGCAGTGCTTGTTCCATGGATGACTTGTCGAGAAGCTTTTTAAGTACCTGAAACCAACGAATCCACTCTGTTGATATTGTAACTCGAAATTCCACACGTCGAGGTGCATTTCCAGAGTCCACGCCAATTATATGAAACGAATTATTCTTATCGGTGAGCACAACTCGTAAGACTTGGTACCGCTCTTCCAGTCGACCATTCACTGTGTCCTCGCTCGCATACAGACAAAGGCTGTCGTCGCTTTTCCAGAGACAATAATACTTTTTCCAACGCTTCAGAACAAGACCTTTTCGCTTTTGCATCCAACCACGCATGACTACTGCTGTCATCGCTTTTTTCTTGGCCATTAAAAAACCAGCCGACGCTGCAGTTGAGCTCGTCCGGAATGCATTCCGGCTAGGAACAACTTCAGTTGAACGACGTTGAATTCTTGAATTAAATGAGTATTGTCGCTGTCGTTGAGACATTGCCAAATCTTCGGTGCTATTTGTTGTCATGACACTGCTCATGCTCGAGCTAAGTGGGTTAAAATTGGAGTAGTCGTCATAATACACTGCACAATCTGCAGTAGGATACGGCTTTCCATCGCGATCAATACTATCGACATGTGAAACACAAGAGTTTCGATGGTCATCCATTCTCGCTGTATTTTTTTCAACCTTTCTCTTCTTTCCACGCAACGATGCCAACGTAAATCCGTCAAAGTCAAACTCTACCAAATTCAAATCATTCTCTACATTCTCGTCCTGGTCTTCAGCATTGACACAAAGTGGCGTATTGCCAACAGCGTCAATTGTACTCCACTTAAAGTGATCGACACGTTGAGACAACAATGTCCTTTTTGACGTTACGCTTTCAATTGATTGTTGCAGCGTTGGTGACAAAAGCTGAAGTCCCGTTGGCAGCATGGTAGTATCTACAGCTACTTCTGGTGACAAGAACTTGGTCTGATGCTTCTTATGCATGACAGAAATGCTATTGCAAAGTGCTCAAGACGGAGGTTTGCACACTTCTTCTTGTTAGATAAACTGCACTACCAAGACCGATCTCACTATCACAAGTGCGTTGTAAAAGACCCTTAGAGCTAATGTCTGCAAATAAATGTCAACAAATGTAGTTAGGTAGATTCTGTATTGAAGACGACTCTGTTTCGTTTCAACTAATCTCTTCGGATTTCAAACTTAATGATATCGAGAACTTGGAACGAATCCGGTAAGATTTAAAGACTATGTATGAGCTATAGTAAGAAACAGATGAAGGTTGACATTCTACAATGACTTGTGTGAGTTGCCAGCTGATCTAGTTACTCTACATTTAGAAAGTGAATGGGTGATAATGTAATGTGTTGCAGCACATATGTGTGCTTTCCTTGTGTCTTGTAATACTTTTCGTGGCATTGCTTAGCTTTTACAACTGGCTTAAATCAATGGCCTTATGCGATGCAAAACATCTGTATGATTTTACGCAGTATAAGTTCAACAAAACCTACGAAATAATTGCATCATCCTTAAGTGCTTATCCTATTTATTATCCATATGAACAATCGAAATATCAACCATAAAGTGACATATTTGAGGTTGTAAATTATGTATCCTACCTTAAACACACACAATTCACTAATTTATGTTGATTACACGATTGCTTTAGTCTTCGATGGACGCGTTTGACTTCCTGGAGACGCTCCCACCAGCTACGCTAGAACGTCTGTATGCGGATCCATGGGCATGTCAGGCTATCTTTCAAGCGCTACCTCCTCTTTCACAGCAATTTGTCATGCGTTTACTTCCTACGAATATTACAGCACCTTGTGCACTATTGGAACAATGGGTTATTCCTGAACCTGGCAATGGAAAGCGTATGCCACCTCAATTTCACGTTGCATTACACAAACTAGAAGGACTTCGGGTATTTATAAAGCAGAATGATGGATATAAACCGCATCCGATATTCCAAAAGCAGCTGATGGTAAGGAAAAAAGGAGTTTTGATTCAATATGATTGTGCCAGTTTGTAAGGACTAATTCTCTTTTGGATGTATGTTTTGGTGATTCTTTCATAGTATGCACTGAGTAATCTGGGTGGATCACCTTGGGAGCGTGGTCGACTTCATCTTTCAAAGGATTTGGAAAACACGTTTGCTGCGGCGGATTTAGAGCGATATGCTCGAGCAAGATGGGACTCGGTGCTTCACTATATGGTAGGATCGACGGCTGTTCAGGAGCCGCCACAGTCGGTGGTGGATATTTTGCTTCGTACTAGACTGCTTCAATCTAGTGGGGCCGACTCAAGAGCACTTCATATAACCGATACGGGCTATGAGTTTATGCTGAAGGACATTCACGTGCAGATGTGGATCTTTATGTTAGAGTACATCCGGACACTGGATAACACGGGCACGCTGAAACAGGAAGATATTTTACAGTTTTTATTCCAGATCAGCTATTGCCAAACGGGAGAATACTATGCAGTGGCTGATCTTACGGAGACACAACGACTATTATTAGGTGATTTTATTGACTTTGGGCTGCTATATCGTAAAAGCTTGAACTCAGATCGCTTTTATACGACGAGTTTAGCTGTAAATTTAATTTTCGGTGGATCTACAGGTCAAAAACGTAGCCATGTAAGCCTCACGACCTCATTTGCTGGTGTTCGTGCTGGAATGAAGTCGCAGATGGCAGATCTACGCCGAGCTCCAGCAGTTGATCATGGTGCCCAGTTACTTGTGGTGGCGGAGACAAACTTTAAAATTTATGCGTACACTACGTCAACCCTTCACGTCGCCATGCTCAGTGTCTTTGTCGATATCGTGGCCAGACTGCCAAATTTGGCAATTGGCTTTATCACTCGCGAAAGTTTGCGCTCAGCTCTCATCCACGGCATCTCGGCGCAACAAATTTACGATTTTTTGATGAAACATGCGCATCCAAAGATGCGCCACAACACTCCTGTCATTCCAGAGAACATTGCGGATCAGATTTATTTGTGGGAACGTGAGCGCAATCGTGTGCAGTTTATTGGAGGAATTCTATTTGACGGGTTTAATACCAAAGAAGACTATGAAAGTGTCCGGGACTATGCGAAAGGCCTCAAGGTGCTTACATGGTCGGATCCAATTCACTTTAGGATGTCGATTGCGAGTGCAGGCATTGACGATGTACGTCATTATATCCAGAGTCAGCTTTCTTTGTAAGGATAGTAGACAAGACGTTTGATGGCATTGACGTGGACGACATACATAAAAGCAGTGGTCAAGATGGAGTAACTTACTAATGTAGCACTTAGTTAATAGTTAGTGGCTTCACGGTGCCTAGTCGATCCACCATGCCTCTTTTGCGTCCCAATGCGCATAGCGGCGGATAATGGTGGCTTATATCTATGCTAGGCATTCTTTCTCTTTATTCGAGCTGTCATCGGAGTAGTGACTATACGGAGTTGATAGAAGTGATGAGGCCGACGACGTAGATGCCGTTGAGTCGAAGAGACGCTTGTAGATGGAACCGCAGAGCATCAGCACTGTAATTGGACATAAAAAAGTAAATTAGCATCGCTTTCTTGTTCTGATCGCATGCATGCAATAACAAATTACCTTTTGTTGATGTCAATCCAATTGGCTTTTTGCCATAGAGAGCTGGTAAATTCAATATCAACAAAGACGACAAAATTAGTACTTCGCACGAGATGATGCACACATCTTGTTAATAACGTACTTGATTCCTCTATCACTTCATGGTGGATTGTCGAGTGACCACATGCACAGCCGCATAAATTTGCTTGCGAAAGCTCATGGTCTTCCTGCGGGCACGGCTCCATCTTCTGCATTCGGTAAACACAGCATCTGCCTGGTCGACAGAGTTTGCACTTCCCCAGAAGTCGCCCATCCAGATCGCGCTTGAATACTACATGATCAATGAGATCTTGTGGAACGCCCTTGAATGTCGTTGTCTCGAGCACCGTATCCAAATTCGCTCGAACGTAGTCAGCACAGATTTCCAGCAGCGATGGTGGTGTAAGAGCTCCAATATCGATCGAGTACAAATCCTGCAATCGGTCAGTTCCATCGTATCCGCCTAACACGTACATTTTACTGCCCACGACCACTGCTCGGTGAAAAGTGCGGCTACTCGGAACGCTTCCAGTTGTACAAACTTCGCTCCACGTGTTAGTCAATAAGTCAAGACGCTGCAAGTCATTAAAACGACTGTGTGTCTTATCAACTCCGCCAAAGACAAACATATTGTCTCCAAATATCACAGCTGTATGGCGGTATCGGTGAGGCGGGCTAACACCGTGCGACTCAAGTTGTCTCCACTGGTTTAAAACAAAGTTATACTCGTACAGATCATTAAGTGTGTCACGTCCATCCCATCCTCCAAAAATAATCAGTCGATTAGTCTCAGTATGGACAACACCACTGTGTCCGAATCGTCTGGATGGAACAGCGCCAGATGCCTCCAGTTGGGTCCAACATTGAGCTTGAATGTCATACCCACACAAGTCGTTAAAGCGACTCGAGCCATTATACCCACCAAAAATATAGATAGTAGACGAATGCAGCACCATAATGTGATCGGTGCGGGCTTCTGGTCGCTCCTCTAGTACGCTAGGCATCTGACTCCATCGCTGGTCATTAAAATTAAAGTAATACAGGTCATTAAAGTAGTTGCCATCACGGCCGTCATATCCACCAAAAATGAACATGTCGCTCTCATGAACAACACCAAGTGCTCCAGAACGTCTTGGTGGAAGTGTCCCACGTGTCTGTACTTGTGACCATGTGCCTGATTCCAAGTCCAATTGATACAAATCCTGTTGTCGACGTCTACGATCTGTGCCACCAAAGACATACACTCTGTCATCTAACATAAAACAAACAACAGTACAATTAGTTCAACCTTGACTCATTGTATCCTCCCCCTTCTCATCTTGCTTCTTCTACTCATAGTTATTGCTTACTTTGGCTAGTGACTGTGTGACCTGTGCGTGGACTATAAACGTCTCCGTGCGGGTATAGCTTCTCCCACAAACGTACTTCAAAGCGACTGCTAGTAGAAAGACTACCACATGTTGTCATAACTTCCTTCATGTTACTATAGTCTTCTCTCTTGATAATCGTTACAGGAGAAATCGCCATGCTTGATCAAAAGTCGCTCTGTAAATGAGATACAACCCAGTACAAAAGGGTGTCGGGTCAAGTCTACGCAGCTTTCGCTCGATTCGTAGAATGCCAAGACAAATCCCAACGCCTCCGTAGTACACACACACCCGTAGGGAGTTTCTCGAGCCGTTTCCTGCAGCTTCAAGTGCACTTAATGTCACCTCGTCGAGTGCGAAGGTCGTTTCTAAGCGTGCGCACGAATGCGGAATGCAAGAATGAAGGTCACGAAGGTTTCCTTTTTCTTAAAAGAGCCGGACAATCAAGTGCGCACTCACTGCGCGCTTAGAATAGCAAATCCCACACTAAAAGTGACTTTTGTGCGCGCTCAGTGCGGTCACACTTGGTTGTTGCCTTAGCTTCCGTTTTTTCTTCCGTAATTCTAAGTTGACCACTTGGCTTTACTATACCCCCCCCTCCCACTTGAAGTCGTTGTGTCGGTGTGTACACATCTTTCACTTTTTGTCACGTCTGTGGCGTGGTGTATACAGGCCCACATTGAAAGAAAGTCGGCTCAGGTTTGGAACATTATGAGCGTTGCATGGCGCTGGCCATGTGTAACTGCTTCCATCCAGAATAAACCCTGGGACGGAGGCATGCTGCGATACTGTAAAGCGTCTGAACTCATTATCGCTGGCAGCAGCCAGTAAGAGGATCATCTTTAGTCTTGCAAGTTCAGATGATACAAAACGCTGGCAACGGTCATAACGGATTTTGGAATAAAATTAGCTCTGATTGGTCCCTGCGATCTTACTGACAAGCGAAACGTGGTCAGTGAAGAATTGCTGCTTCAGTTTAAGGAACGTTACGCAACTTGAGTAAAGGAGAAAAAAAAGAACAAGCATCAGAAACGAGACTCAACGGTTTGCATCAGGCAAAGACAGCTGAACTGCGATATTAATCTATCGATTGCGTACGCTTCTCGATATCAGTTTATATTGAATAAAGTAGGCAGACTTTGTGCAGCTAGTAGTGTCAATGCACGCAAGAAATGACTTGCGCTATCATTAGCAGAGACACTACAACCAATCAAGATCTCATTGTTGTCCAGAAAAAGATGCGCACTTTATGAGCACACTGGGCAGTTGTTTGTTTCTATGGCGTTTGAACCTACCAATTGTGTGCATTTGTTCCCAATGATACTCTTGATGCCAGTTACAACTTGAATACAAGTCAAATCTGCTGTCGACATTGGCAGTGTTGATTGTTCTACTATCAATTCTGTTGTAACATGTTGTTTTGTTATAATTGCATCACCTTTGGGCAAGTAAAGGGGACGATTTGGCTGCGACGTATCATTTGGGATTAACCTGCGATGCACCCAGCAGGTGCATGGCCATGTTATGTGGTTTTATATTGTGATACATGTGGATGATGGTGCATCATATACTGAGCTCAATGGTGACTACGCTACTGCATGCCTCTTTTTTTGCCGAAACTTTGAGGTGGAGGTCGTACGTACAATGACATTGACTTGCAAAATAAATTGATTGATATTTTGCTGCAAGTGTTGGCCTTCTTAACGCCACCTGTTTGTGACTAAGCGGCTGCCTTCACATCTCAAGGAGACTGTGACCGTCTCTCGCCCTTTCAATAAGCACCAGCTCACAAAATGCTTTGAAACAATACATCTCACGTCAGTCGTGATTGTCGCAGTGAAGAAGACGGGTATGTATTTCTATTTCACTAGAGTATTTGTATGGAATCCGACGTTGAGACGATACTGACGTGAGGTCTACGGTTTGTGAGTGAGTGTGATAGATCATGATAAGTCATAGTGCAAATGATTGTTGAGAGTTGGACACTATGTTACTAGCTCAATGCAATAACGCACTCCAGCTTTGTCACTAGATTTTTACGTATATATTTGTGCAGAGCTGCTGAAAATCCTGACAAAGTGTTAGTGTAGCACCATATAATTGAGAAGCATCCGAGATATTGCCATAAAAAAAGAGAAGGATATGATGGACGTTTAGTGTTCAGACATGAGTTTAACCCCTTTTAGTTCCTACGTAATACGTTTGACTATAGAAATGTAGTGCTACTTCATACAGATTACAAGCAACAGCTTGGAAGCTTATGCTTCTTGAGAGGATTGTCTAGCGCACGGTAAAAATTTCAGCCACTAAAAAATCCAGTAGACAAAGTCAATCGAAAAGAGCCCCGCTGCACTTCTGTCCTTAAGACATACAAAAGAGCAGTGAAAAACACAGGTCTCTCCCATCCTCTCACAACGACAGCCTCTTTCTTTGATAGACAGTCGCAAAAGAACGTCAAGACACGGAACCGCAAGCGACAAAGGCAAAAAAGTCGTCGCAGTTGCGAATACTCTTTTTGTCTTGCGGTAGGGTAGAAGGAATAAATCACACATCTATAGAATAGCAAGATGAGAATCCGTACATTTGGTGTATTCCTAGTGATGCTTGGTATCATGACGATAACGTTTGTTTCAGCCAACAACATGGCGATTGTTAACAATGGTAATGTGAGCTCCAGTAGTGATAACGAGACGGTAGCACAGCTTCTATCGAATGTACAGGTGGCTGTGGCAGACGACCCGGCACTTGCTCACATGTTTAACATTTCCGACGCCAGTCAAATGAGCGAAGAGGAGCTCACGACGCTATTACAGGGCATTTTAACTGCAAGTTTAAGCGGTAGCTTGAACTCAATGAACCCGGAGAAATGGACGGAGGACGCGTCAGGAGCAGGTGCGACGGTTTCTGGTTCATCGTCGATTTCGTGTACGATGGCAATGGCGGTCTTGACGACTGTAGTTGCACTCGTTGCCGTCCTATAGAGTGCTATTAGTATCACAGGAATGGCAAAAATTTGGGGAAAAGCTAGGCAGATACTTGGGGAGATCCAAGGCAAAAGGTGTTACCAAACTGCAGTGTCAAGCATTATGTTAGTAGCTGGACCTGGCTGGAATTTTACTCATCGACACACACACACAGAAGACAAAACAACTCATCATCATATGTAGCAACATTCCAGAATTCCTCGACGGCTGTAAAAGTTCTCATGTTATATGTATTTTTATCATTTACAGCTTGCTAGTGATGAGGCGTGGGGAAAGACGATTTGGGGAACTGATTACAGGGCGGTTTATACCTTTTCGGTATAAACATGAGGAACATGCAGCACTTTAACGCAAAAGAAAACCATTGACGGTTGACAGCTACTTATGAGTATTGAATCCTGCTAATTGTAGCACATAAATTTCACCACAGATCCATTGCAGTTGAACAAAAGTCACAGTTATAATTGTATCGCGCATCGTGCAGTAACGTTGTGTCATTCGAAGCGATTGAAAAGCAAGGGCAGCATGAATTTAGATCCAATTTCTAGGACACCTGCTGAACGAGATCAATACTATGTAATTTCTGTATTCTAAAAGTCTCTAACGCAAACTGACTGGACATTTGACTAAAGATAATAGAAAAATTAAGTGAAATAAAAGTATTCCTTTAGTGATAGTATAAGTCACTTTGTTAGGATTGTTGGTATATCTACAGTAATATATATATATATTGAACAATACATGTATGCTTGAGCGAATCAGATGCGAGTCTAGCTGCGTCTTTTGTTGACATGACCCAACACCACGATCGTTTCTCTGCGGTGCAACCACGTGACGTACTGTTGTGATAGATACCCTTGAATACTATTCATTCGTTAGATGGTCAAAACTCTTTATCGGCTGCAGAAATTGATCCGGCTCGTTTATTGTTGCGCTGATAGAATCTGCTTGTTGTGGCTTGGACATATATATAATTGCTGTGTTAATCATGGCTAAAGATAGTTTATAGAATTACATAAATAGCTATATGTTGTAGGATTATCTCTTAAATGCTGACAAAAATTATAACTGCACCTCTCGTAATACAATGTATTTCTGCTTGTCGTCATTTAACAAAAAGTAGTTAATTAATTAATATAATTTTATGCATTGTTTTTGAAATGCCACATCTTTGTAACTCAGACAAGAGCAAAAAAATCTCAGTATAAATAGCCAATTTTTGGTTAATTCACTGATCGTGATGACAAAAGTGTATTCCATTCATTCTAAACATGACACATGTAATAGTTCTACGAACAACAAAGTTATCAAAATGTCATAAACCATTGTACATTAATGCTGTCATGGCGATCGCTTTTCGTTTCGTTGTTAGATGTATTCCAAATCGTAGCAATCGAGATAGTGAACACGACAAGTCGGTTAGGTAGTAGGTTGGCTATTGAGTGCGTTGAATGCATATCAGAGCCAATGAGGTTCCGGCTTGTAGCTCCATTACGGGTGTCCATTGTCACTGTTATTGAGGTATTCCGGCGCAGACATTGTCCGACATGAAGACGGAGACGTTATTCATCCAACTGTCGTGACGAGCGTAAATGATATAGCCCAAGTACCGACCAAAGTTATGTCAAGAGCATAGAGATACTTTTATGTTGAAGACGGTTTCTCGAACAGGACAGACAGACTCACTATTTCATCAAAGTACGCTACGAGACAAGCTACTTTAACGACGATCACTTCCAATCGACCAGAAGCTGTCGGGACTCTAGCCCTTGATTACATTGCAGGACGAATCTGATTTTTTCCATCCGAGTTCAAAGAGGTGTCAACTATACAGAGTCTACTAAACGGAAGACAAGGACATATGGAGACGGACACACCCTACTATTGAAAACGGTCACCGAACAATAGACAGGAAGGGATACTATGACCAACGTCGTCTAAATCTCTACTTTTCAGGCTCAGAGTAATTGTCCTTGAACCTGTATAAGCGAAGTCTTTCGATCTCTTCAGCGTTATTTCAGCACCAACTACTCCTATAACGTTGCTCTTCACTTGTCTGAGAACATGCATTGGGCTTAGCATGATTACAAAAGGTCTTATACGTCTGCCCAGATCCGTGGACATCTCAAACTTTTTCGAAATATGCAACGAACCATGACAAATACTACTAATCTCTAATGAAGACGGACATCTGCACTTTACTAGGACCGCGCCCTCCTCAGCGAACGTCTCTGACACCCAATGTTGATAAACCACATAAACTGCAGACATTCTTCATATCCCTCAACGGTGAAAGCAGTAATCGCTTACCATTCACACCGAATCCCTACTTACTCCCATCACAAAAGAAGAGATTGAAAGAGTTCACTCTTTCGTTCCAGCTCACTTTTAAAATATAGGTTAGTATTCTGTCAAGACAACGGCCAGACCTTTTATGGCAGTAATGTGAGAATCCTGCCGTATGTCGATATCATGATCCTCCGTTGGACCGCGGAGGAGCACTGGACACATGTGATTGACAAGAGCGAACAGCGCAACCATTCAAAGTACTGATAAGTTGGAGATGGAGCAAGTTACCACGAGTTGATTGTATAGGAAGCCTTGTTATCAAAGACAACACCTCTGCAGCAACTGCTTGTCCTGTCACCGAAAAGACTACGAAGCATCATTTTGGAATTCATTAAAACGAACGCATGACGATTTATCTCTCTCACTTATCACCCATACTTTCCCCGATCTAGATCTGTGTGGGATGTCGTATGTGTGACGAAAAATGATCTCTGATCATGTGTGGTGATGTCAGTATTCGTGTGAGTCGGGGAATTCTGTCATAGTTGGCGCGGTCAGTTCTTCGGTGTGTCGTCTGGGGGATGCTTTGATAATATATTGCTTCTACCTCGGTTGACGGTTGCCCTTCGTTACAGTCGCATCGTTTGCACTTAGTTGGAGAGGGATAATTACTTGTCAACAAGCCCTTTGCTGAGCCGGAATACGTCAAGCAAGCCTTTTACGATGCATTGGAAAGTGAACAGAGGAAAAGTTGTTATGATGATAGCGAGCGTGCGTCCAAAAATGAAGCAGAGAGTACAAAGATCATTCCGTATGCTCGGAGTCAAGTGTCATCCGCCTCTCTGGCAAGGTCTCTTATGAAGTCATCCTCTGGCAAGCTTCATCAGAATGCTCATCTCTTCACTGCGCTCAGTTTCAGGTCTTCTTACGTAGCAATCAACTTCATCGAACATAGCTCCCCATATGGCAACTGCGTCAGGACTTCCCGATATCTCCGTCTTGGCTATGTCTGTGAAAACATGCAATGGACCATAAAAATACTTTCAGGAACGGACCTGATATCTTTTCAGCTTGAACCGGTCTCGCATGTCGAAAGAACCAAGCTTTTTCTGTCGTCTTTCAGAATGTCTATGCAGGATTTTTAGTTGAGGTAGCGGAACGCGTATGACACCAGCATCCTAAGCTAGATACGAGATGAATGAGGTTCTTCTGTGCTTAGCGCTCTCCTTCTTCTGAGAATCTTGTCTCTGATAATCTTGTCTTCCTTTGTGAGCTCGTATGAAAGAACACCGGAATAAGGGAACCCTATCTTTGCGAGCATGCCTCCATTTTCATTTCTTAAGTCCATTTCAATGTCTAGTTATCGTTCATACTCTAACTATAAGGTCAGGCGGAAAGACAGGAAGATGACCGAGTTAGGGAGAAAGGATCTAGGGCAAAATAGGAATCAATGACGGGTAGGTAGCGTTATTGTTGGGTGACTGTCTTTCAGGCAGACAAGTATGATCATGGAGTCTTGTGTCAGAATAATGCCTGCATGTGACCTGAGAAAAGATAAGTCTTCTATCCTCGAGCTGCCTGAAGTCTTAAACAGTCTTAGCCTCATATTTTGAAGGTAGAAAGTAGATAAATGAATATCTAACTTGCCGTTCCAGCTCACTTTTAAGACATCCAAGTTCTTTCGGCTTCTCTTGCGGGCCTAACATGCACTTTAACGGTACCAGAGATCCTGCTCCTCTTCCATGACTGTTTACACCTGTCCAGGTGGGATCCCATTCCTCGTTGAGCAGCTTTTCATAGAGATCCATTTCAGAGTGTGACTTCAAGAGATTGTTCCTTTCACCGGTATAATGCTCGAGGTAGAGGAAAGAGAAGGAGCATATGTGATCAGAGTACCTGATGAAAGCTTGCGGTGTCAACTCTACGTTCCGACAAGTTCAAATCTCCAGTTTTCCCGATCTGTGGTGCCTTCTTACCACGGCCTAGATCGCCTTATGAATGCATGACTAGTAGACAATAGCAAACAAGGATTGAAGCCATGTTCGATCGCGTACGACCCGTGTACATTCTCAATTTTCGATCAGTAGTGGTTGGTGAGCTGCATGGTGCCTAGACAACATTCTTCCACAAGCTTCTGAGTGTGAGCAAACACGGGACTGCGACTGGAGGTTGGGAACATGCGGAAGCCTCGTGGCCTCACGCAAGCGCTATCAAGCTTATTACAGTTGAGAGGTCGTTTTTAATACTGTCTGTTGAGCAGGTTACGTGTCAAGCAAGTCACCCTCGCAATCGAATAGGTAGTACTGCCGAAACGACGTTGAAAGCCGCTTTCGGATGATGTCGTCAGCAAAGTCCAGCGTTTTGTGTCCCCTCACATTGTGATGGCCTTCGTGTTGCTGCATTGAAACTAACTTACGTTGCCAGCTTTTCGGCGAGTACAAGTTAGCGCTGAATAAAGTTGTGTTGTGTCGTAGAGACCTGTCGAACGTAGGGAATCAGGCTCTCGCATGTTGCGTTCACTGCGCACATGGTCTACAGCAACCCAATGCAGCAGTGGAATACGGCTCTGCACGGAACAGGTCAAATCTGCGCATAGCGCGACATTGTCTTCATTGATCACTTTGCCACACCGTATCACCTTTCAGTGGAGTCTTAGCTTGTTCATGTTGAGCGGCGACTATGTTATACTACAACGCAGTAATAGCAATAGAAAGTTAAAAATAGCGCCGGTTAGCACTTCTCCATATCCTTTTGAAAATGGATGCATCGTCACCACAGTCTTGTGCTTATATTAAAGCAGCTCCTTGTTAGTTATACAAGACAGCACTGATAACGACTTATTGCTGAGCTTCTGTATATCTGTGGCGTAGCTTGGCGTGGTGAGTATGCATGGGAGACTACTCCTTCAGCTGCTAATTCTATGTATTTAGACAGCCACACGGATTACGACCTGCTTGTCGACTCGTAATCGGTGTGGCTGACCATTCCAATCAGCGCTAAATCCGCAAGCAAAATTGCTCCGGAACACGCGCTGCTTCTTAATCCAATCGGCACTATGCAGAATGGATAATGCGTTTCATGGCGGCTAGCCCATCAACAAGTCGATTACTCGTACACCAGTCCCAGTTTAATGAGTTTTACAGAACACCTCGTTCAGACAGGCTGGAAGGGTAAGAACAATAATAAGGCGCAGACGGATTGTGACTCGCACGTCTTGTGTTTAGATAAGGCGAAGCTCGTCCATTTATTTAACGAAAACTTATTGTCACAAGCTCGCAAACCAATGTCTCCACGAATTTAACGACTGTGTCGTCATTTGCCACCACGGTATTGCTTGGTAGGGACTCTTGTTTTAGCTTCCAGCTACGCCACTTATTCATTCTGATGGTTGGTTAGTGCTTTCCCCCCCGTTCAACATCATTTCTAGGGTACCGAGCGGTGATGAACTCGTCGTCATAAGGTTTACGAAAGGCACGAAAGTGACTTTATGAGCCCGAAAACAGTGTGAGCGACGACATGAGGCATAGTCTGTGTTCTGACTGCAATTGAATACAATGATCTACTACAGCGTATTCAGCTTCTCAATCTCTTAATGCATTGTAAAATCAAGAGCTACTTGCAACTATCAGTGTAAACAGCCTCATCGTCGAGGTTGGACCAAATGTCCGGGCAACATGGCAATTCTAGCACATCTCTCATGGAGTAACGGTGCGTCTGTCATGGTCTCCTCGTGTAGGAGCCTATGCGAGCATCTGCTGAAGAACCATGGGTTTCACAATGTACTAAGACCAAAAATATGGTCTGAATCATGGGGGCTAGCTCCAGTAAGATTTTGTCGCTCATACGTCACACTGACAACGCTAACTCATTGTTCGATACGAGACTATAGACAGAGCCAAATGCTAATGAGTGTCAAGTTGTATGCTAAAAATCATAATTCAATGGATTGCTGTTCTTAGACTTTACTCAATAGATACGATACTATAACCAATGGTCAATCTCGAACGATTCATTGCGTTATTGAGCTTCCCTAAAAGCATAGATCAATCCAACGGTGATAAGAGCAAGTATCATTAAAACAACGAACGGTATGAAACCCAATGTAAATAGCTTTCCTGACTCGTCCATCTCCTTCTTAATCTTCTTTGCGATTCGTTTCATCAATCCCCTTGACTTTGGATTGGCCATGAGTTCTTTTAGTTTTCCAGAATCCTTGAACTTTTTGATAGAAGCTTCTAGCTTTGTGGCTTGAGCATCGTTGATAGTCTTGTCTCTTTCTCTGACTGCACTACCTTTGAATTTGTCTTTTTTTCCTCCCGTTACAGGCTGACTTGCCTGCATTAGTGATTGACGAGAAATCAAGTTCTGTCTTAGCGTTGGCAAGATTATTGCAGCTCAAGGATAGAGTGACTAATGTCACCACAAAGAATAGGCTCATACGCATGGCGAGACTTGGACACGAGGAATTTCTTGGTTTGTGAGAGAGTCGAAAATGAAGTGATGAATCGATGGACGAATGTTGTGCTGGCGGTTTTTATTTGCCGATCTTTTGCATCAATGCTGTTTAGTCTTTATCTTACAAACTAACAAATAGAAATACCTCTACCGACTTCTTGAGGTTTCAATCAAGCCGAAATCCCGGACTTTCTATCAACAACTTGGTTGTGGAGGCGTCTTCATTATCATTGGAATTGCTACATGTACACTCCGACCCACAAAGTACTACTTAGTACGTCTACATAGAGATGCATTACTTAATGACAGCTGTATTTGTTGATTCCGCTTGTGCGCTCTACCCGTGATGACTCCCTTAATTTTTGCATTCATATGCACTGCCACATTAGTTTTGCTTCTTGCTTTCTGGTTGGGGCGTTGGTTTCAATCTAGTCTTTGTCTTGCTGGATGCACTGTTGACTACTTTTTGTGTACGTCCTTGATCACGGAAACACCTTATTGAATCTTGTGACTTTTGTTATTATTCGTTCGAGACAACACCAAACATTACTACTTTTCTAGCCATTAGCTTCATGCCCAAGAGCTTTTTACGCATGTTTGACGTGCAGATATCTCTTTTGTCAAGCCCCTTGTAGATTAAAAGATATTCTGCGGTGGTCATGAATTATCTTCCGTATTTGTTGGTACCATGAATGACCCACATTTACGAATCGCATCGGCGACGATCGCATTGAGGCCAACTGAATGTCGCCTTAATTTGCGTCAGGTTTTGGTTGACGCTGATGCTGGGACCGATTGCGGCGTTGATAACAAAGCACATTATGAACTTGTCTGCCCGCCATACGCGTCGATGTAGGGTCTCCTATACACTCAAACCAATGTTAGAACGAAATCCTAGAATTGCACCAAATGAACATTGGGCATCGGTGTGCTTCAGCAAAGCACTACATGCAATAACGATGATCAAAAAACAGCGTGTCATTGTTCGAGGCGTACCTATGCTATGTCCACCACGTGTCCGGGCCAGCTCAGTCCTTTCTCCTCTTCTTCTTCTTCTTCTCCAGGTTTTAATAGAAGTCTAAAATTTGTTGCATCCGGAAGTAATCGAGCTAAACACTTGCAAAGTTTGTGGCTTTCTTCGCATCTTTGTTCTAGCGCTGCAAGTTTGGTCTGAACAATGTTCCAGTCTTTGCGTCCAGGGTCCTGGTCGTGTTCCGGGTCGTGTGGAGATCCAAAAGCTCCCTCGAGCTGCTGCAGCCACTCCTCTTGCTGCGCTAGCTGAGACCGAACACGAGCTTCAAGTGCTGCACGCTGCCTTGCTTCCTCCGCTAGGAGTCCCTCAAACGATTCACTAAGGCTTGCTAAAGACGCCTCATGTTCGCCCGCTAACGCCGCAAGAATCGCATTCAAAGACACCCCATCCTTCCCCTTGTCTCCCACTGCAAAATCTCCCAGCGCAGTCCTCATATCCGCGATCAAATCTATTCGCGCCTCCTGCATCTTCGCATCTACTTCATCACGCAGCGTCTGCACCAAATGCTTTACCGGAATATGTTTTCCCGGTTTTCCAGCCGGTATTCCCAATACTTTTGCAATCTGTGCCAATTGCGACTGGAATGCACTCTGTCGTCCTTCTAATGTCGAGATCCTGTCACTCAATACCGTCGCCGTCGACTGATCCATAGTCGAAGCATGTAGCGGCAGAGTCGACAAAGAAGGTTGCTTGTACTGCTGCTGTTTTGGCACAAAAGGTGGTGCAGTAGCACTCCAACTGTTATTATTACTAGCTCTGCCGACCTCACTAGCTGTCGGAATTGTGTTTTTGGTCAGCTCCAGCACCTGGTTCTGTAGCGTTTGCACCTTTCTCTCCATCTCCTGCATCTTTATTTGCATAGCACTACAAGAGCACGTGCATTTGATCGGTGCATTGCCCATTGTAGTCTCGTTAACATGCCGTTGGACTGAATCAAGCACAAGATGCTCCAGAGCTTGTGCTAGCTCCGAACTCTTGCAAGTCACTTGGTTTACTTCAGGCGTAGCAAGTACACGTTGTGATAGTTGATAAGAAGGTGTTGAAAGATCTGAAATGCTACGCTTTGGTGTGTAAAAATCTCCGGACGGTGCTACACTTGACACGAATGTTGTAGACGTTGTAGACGCTGAATGGAATGCCGGTTGTACGTATGAAAGATAAGAAGGCAAAGCTTCTTCCTCTCTTTCTTCTTCAGCTAATTCCATTCGGTTCCAAAGTGCGCGTGAGCCCGAAACGCCAATGGATCCATGGGAAGCACTTTGACTGGAGCTAGCAAAGCCCCATACGCCATCATGTGTAGTGATACCGTCGTTGTCTGCTGTGAGCTCCCGAGTGTTTAACCACATAGAATAGATATAGAAAGTTGCTATGAAACGTATTGCAAGAGCGCAAGAACGTGCTGCGTAGGACGACCTTAATATTGACGAGACGGTTTTAGTATGGAGAATAATGGTGATGATTGGTTTTCATATTCAATAGTAAGATTAAGTGAACCATAATAAACGCAAGAGAAAGAACGACGGTGTATCGGTGAATGAAGCATGGTGAATTTGAAATGGCTAAACGTCTCGTCACATGTGTACAATGGCTACAGAAAAGAATACCTCAATAGAACAGTCTTCGTTGGAAGCACAACAAAACGTGACTTTGGGTATGACAATACGATGTGGTGCTTGTCACTACTTGTGGGGTGGATGTGCGGGTGATGAATGTAATGCTTATACACTTTGACACGTCGATGAACAAAAATTCCGTTCAATATGTCTTCTACATCTAACATTGCACGGTGACGACCCGAACAGCATGGAAGTAACCATATCGGATACGTGGGCGTTGTTCATCTCTGTTATGCTGAACTAAATATTTCACCATGAAAAGCGTTCCGTGCTAGCGATTTCGATATTGTAGCAGAAACAGAATCCATGCTCGGACACATGTCAAATCAGAACTGAGACTATGTCATACGCACTCAACCACAAACATACGAGTTCAGAACTTTGATAGAGGAATCTTTATTGGAAAGCATGATTGCACCACTTATCTATATCCAGGCGTCGTGGTCTCGGGAAACGGACCGATAGAAGCTGAAGCAGCTACAGCAGGTGGTATAACGTAACTTGGTCGTTGACAGCTTTCCCAACACAAAGGATTAAAGAGAGAGCTAACTAGAGTCTCTACTCGTGGAGTCTGGCATGAACCCAGTGTCTTATAATTCCATCAGCTACTACCGGTTCGAGCTTGACTTTACTTAATATTTTCATGTGAGCTTGTGCTGGTTTGACCTGCTACCGCGACAGCAGCAGTCTACGAATTTGTTTGCTAACTCGCTTTACCACCCAACGCGGGTCATAATTTAATGGCCTGGTGCCATGACAATTCATGTTATTAGCTAGCAGCTAATGCAGCAGCATCTGGCGTGTCGCCATTCGTGTAATCGTACAGATTGTCTGTAGCTGTACTTGTGGCACGCTTTGTCATGATGTCCAGCTCGACTTGAGTTACGAGCAGGTTTGTTTGCCACTCGTTGTCTTCAAATCTAAATCATAACACGAAGTCACCTTCTGCAACGCATACAGTGTTTTCAACATATTCTCGATTCTTTCAACATCCGTTGCTCTCTAGTGAAAAACGCGTCGATCTTGTACCGACAAGCACCTCTCCCCTCGAAAGACCGAGAGTGGAGATAAAAATGATGCAAAGCACCACCAATTTGAAATGGCCACAATGTTCTAGATCTATGGATCTTGATCATCCTCGTCATTTGTCTCAGCATTTGCTTTGGCCATGACTTCTTTTTGTTGTGCAGACTCCTCTACTGTTTTGAAAGTAGTTTTCACTGCAGCACGATTGATAGTGACTGCATTTGCTTTGAGAGTAGCTGCCCCCCGCTATCCACTTCAAGGCTGATGATGTCTTTCACCAACCGAGAAATTTTCGGTCTGTCCAAGTCTCACCATGCGTACAAGCCTATTCGTTGTGGTAATATTCGTCACTTGATCCTTGAGCTGCTTAATCTTGCCAACGCCAAGACAGAATGCCTCGTCGATGCGACGCTTTTGTCGTGCCAAGTAGAACGAGACAGTGAATATCGTGTCGCAGCGTGGAGGAATCAAGAATGGGGCGGGATATCGTAGCTTACGGAGAAAGTGGCAAATGGGTCGAAGCATGACAAGAATACGGCACATAGTTTTGCGCTTTGCGTGGCGGTCATTCGACATGCGTTGGGGCTTCGAAGCGGTCTAACAAGCCAATTTTAACAGCTTACACGTCGACGTTGATAACACTCTAAGCAGCATTAACTCCTACTTTGTCAGGAAACTTTGGGGTATACACAACCTGGTAGTCGTGGGGGTCGAGCTGCGCTCGTAGCGCACCTTCATCTAAGTGCAATACGGTTGCACAGCTACTACTGTGTATACGACTGCATAGTCGCCCATTATTATACGCTTCTGAAGTGCTCAGACGAGCAGAGCTCTTTGACCGTTGGCAGCTTATCTTGGACAACTCAGAATCACTACGATAAACTGAAGAAGTTCGTGGAGATGGCGTCAGCGGTGCCAGTGTTCGACGGAGATGCAGCGGTAAAGCATTTAACGCTGTTGGGTACACGATGGACATGTTAGTCGCAGTACTTGGATAATCCATTACAAGGCCGCCTGATAGTCGTCCAACCCCGGCCAAAGTATAGCAGCTACTTCTGTCACATGAATAGTAAGGATGATGCTGTGTTGAGACAGCACGAGCCACCAGTTCCGTCTTCCTTTCAATCGGCTTGATGCTTCGCTTCGGAGACATCAGAATATTGGCAAAGGGTTCTTTTTGCGTTGGAGTATGGCTGGAAAACGTGACGGCGCTCCTTTCCAACGAAGCCAGCATCGTGCTTAAAGTGCGATTGGATTCGATCAATTGGGCATTGCGCTGGTTCTGGAGCTGAAGCTGTGCGAACGAGATACTGTCCCGGTTGTCTCGCCTGGGTAGGGCAGCTGCATCATAGATTAGCTCCTTGACCACTCGTTGCTGGAAACGATCGGCGTACTGTCGCGGATTCGCCACCGATATTCCATGTCGATCTTGTAGTAGTAAATACACTCGGATAAAGTACTCGACACGCTTGCGAAAATTCCATTGTTGGAGAATATCAATGAGTCCGAGATAATAAAGGCCGGGTCCATGAACCTCATCCACACTCATGCCCTCATGAGCAAGGTAATGGAGTGGCTTCTTTGCTCCATTCGTACCAGAGGAGCAATTGCATCCTCGACTATTTGGGATACCACCGCTACTACTGCGATTGCGGGTGAAACTTGAGCTGTGGGACTCGCTGCTGTTGCTCCGACCATTTCGATTGGAAACATGAAATTGACTAGTCATGCTGCAGCAATTGTCATGATGAATAAATGCCGGTGAATCACAATCGCCAGAGGAATAGTGCGAGACGTTGAAGCTGCGGTGATGAATACCGACAAGCAAACTATAGTCAATGCAATTGATGCTGCAAAGAAATTCTGAATCAGTGGTCAGCTGAATTGCAACTGCACGTGCTGTGACATAAGGTAGAGCCATGTGGCGATTCCAGTTGAGATCTTTGCCGACTTGGTCGTACTGATGATTCATATTACCTTCTCCGCGGACATTGCAGCGCTGATCGTGACTACCACCTACCGTGTACTCGACATTGCAGAATTTACAGATAGCGATTGTACCCGTAGGTTTACGACCCTCGAGCCGACCAACCCACGACCCTTTCAGGTCGAAGCGCTCGTGGATTGGGAGTGATGTGGCAAACACGCTTTGCATGACCACGAAAAAGACAGTCTTGCCGTACATGGTGAGCCCATGGCAGCCATAAAACCGTGTCATAAATGTATCGGGGAATCTCTTCATAAAGGTGTAGTAACGCGGCAGGATGCTTAGCAAAAATTTGAGCTCTTCGTTTGTAAGTGTCTTCACAACGTATTTGCGGTCTTCAGTAAAGTAGAAAAAAGCTCCACTCTTGCCCTCGCTCACTCGTTCCTTCGTCGTTTGCTGTAACGAGTTGCGGTAGCTTGCACTTGAGACCTTTGCTTCCTCTCGAAGACGGCGAAATACGTGGGGTGCAAAATCCTTGAAGACCACGCCTTCAGTTCGTGAGCCAAGTGCCCGATTGTCGTTACGATTTTCGAGTATCAGCTCTTCGATCTGTGTGTAACTTTCTTTTCGATCACAATAGTCATCAAAGTAGTGTATGGCTCCTTCTTCAAGCGACAATCCAGACACAGATCGAACCGATAACTCGGCAGACGCGCGCGCTTGTTGTTCGGCCCGATCAACGCTCTGACAAATTCCTTTGGTGGTGTTGGTGAGGATTTCTAGCCGAAGCGCCCAATTAATGTTATCATCATGATTTCCGTCATGTGCTGGTAGATTGATGGTTCCGTCCGTCCGAAGCTGCTTAATAATTCGGAGGATGTTGGACGTACGCGTCCATATTAATGCATGTACCATTCCTTTCGCGAGTAGAAGGCAATACAGAAGATGCCACGCTCGACAGCGTATACCTCCTGTGTTGTCAGTCTCTGAACGCGGCAGCAAGCTGAATATCGTATAACATGCCAGCACCAGCGTCCAGTATCCGAAATAGCAGCCCACATAGTACTTGAGGTGTCGCTGAATGCGTTTTCGAGTTCGAAATGTATCAGAAAGTCCTTTGACAAACGTGTTCCACGTGCGCACAATTGCGATCAGCGATGTGAAATACACGACGATGATGTACAATGCAAAGAAAACGCCAGGTGTGAGTGGGCTGTTTGCAGCTTCAGTAGCATCTACGCCGCGTGAGCGATCGAAATCGTCTCCACTCGAGCTCATCCAACAGAATCCAAACGGCGCATACCGAGTATCAAAGTGGGATATGACAGCACATACCAAACTCCAAAGCCCGCCAAAGATGTGATATTTTGTCATTTGTCCTTTCGCAGCTGAAAACGGATTCTTTAGCACAAGAAGCAAGTCGATGGCAAAGATAAGCATGTACGTCTCTTGGCCTGTGAGAAAGAAGTCGACAATGATGCCAATATCCGCGCACTGCACGGAGGTAGACATCTGGTCGAGCAAATACAAGAATTGATAGATTGCGCCATACAAACTCATGCCAAACATAATCCCAGCCGGCTGTTGTCGTAGTGCCAGTACTCGCCAATAAGTAGCAACAACGTAAAAGCACCCAATGAGTGAAGCTACAGATGTCAGCACTGGAAGCACCATACTAGGAGTCGGACAGTTTGCTCCTTCATTGGATGATATTTCCTCGTCCGCCATTATAAAGCTTCTAACGTGGTCGGTGCTGAATACGAATGAATGTGCGTCAATTTGTTGCAGTTCCTCCGGACGCAATTATGATGGCAAGTGGACGACAAAACACAAGAGGATAAGTTATGGTACCCTGCAGCAGTATAAGCAAGACGTGTTAGGACTAATCAACACAAACAGTAACCATATGATGACGATGACGTACGGGTCAGTCGCAAAAAAAACAAATTCTTAAGTAGCTTACTAGCTGCCCAGGACGCACACTCAGTCGCGTGACTTTGCGAGGGTAAAACTCTCCCTCTCGCTTCTCGGTGGTTCCTTTTGAGATGAATGCATAGAGACCGTATGTGCTTTTCTCATCGTACGTAGCTTCTTTTTTCCGAACGAACGATAAACCGTTACAAAGCTCATGACTCTTGATGCTGCTTTTTTCTACGGTTTATTCGTTTCTTTGCTAGCATTGCACGTCAAGGTGCAGTGCTAACACCGACTCGATCTCGACCCTTTACTATCTCATATAGAAAGTATAGATGTTTCAAATGGTTTGGCATACTTACTTACTTGTCATCATCGAACATGATGTTTATCGTTTCACCAATTTCAAGAAAATTGTGGAAGACTCTTACCACTACAAGTGGTTTATAGGCTAGAAGTACAACTATGTCATCGACTCATCAAAGTTGGAGCGATATTGATACTTTCGTATGCATTTCGTACAGACGATCTGCCCGTTTCAAACGTTTCTCTCGAAACTCGCCGTTTTTGCGAGATATTAAATTTGTTTTTCTTTATTATCTTGCTCGAAGACCTACCTACGAGGTATATGATCTAACGACCAACACCTTCAGTCATGCATCATACACTTGGCGTCACTAAAATAGGTACTCTATGAAACCTCATGAAGAAGACCGGTTTTGAAAAAGATCTCGACACGATGGATCCGAATGTTCTTCGTTTGAATCATTGCTTTCGGATGCTAATGGCGCTATTTACAGTCTTTATCTGACTATTGCTCTCCTTTCTACGGTGTACCGGCTTGGTTACACTGTACTACATTATGACTTTGACGCTCTGTGCACAAATTTTTGAGCTTAACATTTAGTAACACTTTTCAATGCGAGGAAAAATGTGACGAGCAGCAATATGGCAAGCATTACGCCTCTAGAAACGATGTCTCGTTCCTCTTACGTCAACCTTTTACCTCACATTTCTCGTCTTCAAGACAATTTTGAATCGCTTGGCGACTCTTTGCCTCGAACGCAACGTGATTGAAACTAAAGTCTTGTAGGTGTTTAAGAGAAGTTTACGCAACATAAGATATGATTTCTGCTGCCTATGGGTGGGTAGAGCTTCAACATCTGTCATTTGTATCTTACCAGTCGTGGCAGACCTTATATCCGGACATTCAAAAAAAGGTACATTGACCCTATTTTTTCTAATTCGATACCTAAATCTTCAAACGTTGTCATCAAATGACTGCCACATCAAAATATGATTGAAGTAACTAGACTTAGCAATCATCTCAGTACACACGTTGTCTTTTCATCTATTTCAACTGGTCTTCACTTTTCAATTGACCAAGATCTTGACAAGACCATCACTCCTGTGTCTTGTTTTATTTGCAAAGAATGACGCCCTTGAAGATTGTCGTGTCCGGAGCTGCTGGTCAAATCGCATACTCGCTCCTGCCTCTCAGTACGTTTGCCCGTAAATACATTTCTCTAGATGCACGTCATTACACTCTCTGACTCGCTTTGCCTGGTTAGTCTGTATTGGTCACGTGTTTGGCCCAACCAAGCGTGTAGATCTGCGTCTTCTCGACATTCCACCGGCTCAAGAGGCACTAGAAGGTGTTAAAATGGAGCTGCAGGACTGTGGATTTAATCTTGTCGATACTATCACTTCTACCTCGGATCTAGAAACTGCGTTTCAGGATGCAGAGATTGCAATTCTCGTTGGTGGGTTTCCACGTAAACAAGGCATGCAACGTAAGGACTTGATTGAAAAGAATGTGGCTATCTTTAAAGCACAAGGTGAAGCAATTGATAAGTATGCTAGTCGCAATATTAAGGTCCTTGTGGTGGCTAATCCAGCTAATACGAACTGCCTGATTGCCATGGAGAATGCACCTAGCATTCCACGCACGAACTTCTCGGCCCTTACGCGTCTTGATCACGAACGTTTGCGCTCGTTCCTTGTGGAGAAGATTAATGAAACTCAGGCTAGTAACAAAATTACGTCAAAGGATGTGAAAAAGGTCATTATTTGGGGCAATCACTCGAGTACCCAAGTGCCGGACGTTACCCATGCTGAGATTAGGCTATCCGGTGCAAGCACAAACAAACCACTTGACAAGATTGTTTCAGACAAGGACTGGGTTGAGAATAAACTTGTGAAGGACGTACAGGAGCGTGGCGCGGCCATCATTAAGGCCCGCAAACTCTCAAGCGCCATGTCGGCTGCTGCAGCGATTGGTGCGCACCTACGTGACTGGCTCAACGGCTCGAAGGAATGCGAGTTTGTGTCTATGGCTATCTGTTCGGACGGGAACACGTACGGTGTGCCCGAGGGTCTTATCTACTCGTTTCCGGTCAAGTGCATGGGCAACGGCACGGTCGAGGTTGTCAAAGGACTCGCTATATCGTCTCGTATCGATGCTATGATGAAAGCTACTGCCAAGGAGCTAATTGAGGAGAAGGCCGATGCTGTGGAGATTCTTTCACGCTAGTGACGGAAAAGCAAAGAAGGTTATGCTATGGTGCTGCCAGCACCGATGCATTTTGCAAGAAGCCTGCGTAATTATTCTCACAAGCAGCGAACATCGTCTATCAGCCAATTGAATGTTAAAAACAAAGTTGTCGGGGACGATTGTTTACTTGTTTGTTTATTCTATCTAGACAAACAATATTACTGTGTCAAGCTTACAATTTTGAATTGGATCACAAATAGGAGGTTTGTGATTGCGTCAGCAAGTCTTTCCAATATTGATGTGAAGGATAAATGTGTTTGTATTTTAAGGATATCGTTCCGATCTGCAGCTGTATATTACAGTCAAGACGACAACTTTAAAAACGCATACCGTCATAGCGTCCGTAAAAAATTCCGTTTTTCCCTAATGCGATAAAATACGGTTCGTCTTCTGGTCAGTTAGTTGTACGATGACATGCGTACAACTGCAAAACACCTGTCATAATGTGATACATGATCGTACCGTTTCTTATTTCTCAACCACCTCTCTTTATTATTGTTTCCTGCATAAGCTGTTAATCTTCATCTTTAATGTAATACACACCATTCATCCACCAACAATATGGTCAAAAATTCCAAACGATTGGCCATAAAGACTACCTGTTATTTACGATATCGTCTATGGCCATACCCCTCGTATCTCTGATATTCTCAGTACTAAACCACACCAAACGTCTTTCAAATATTCCGTAAAACCCATAAAACCTCGTACTTCTTAATTCTTTTCATCCTACACTTTTATTAATTTCCCCAGGTTTCAACCATTCCGACCAAATGTCACGTTCCTCACGGTCGACTTCAATGCGTTGCTGGCAATGGCTTCTAGGCGCTGAACGGGCTCTGACATCGATAATAACGTATATATCACCGTATGAAGCTATCTCTCTTCTTGTATATGCATTGGATACAGAGTATGAACCACTCGTGCGTTTTTTATATGCTCATTCGCATTTATTATCCTTTGGAACTGCTTCTCAACGTTTTACAAACGTTCTTCACTGTGCTGCAGCTCATGGATGTGTTCATGTTATTCAACGTCTCTTACGCTTTCGATTGAGCCATCGATCGCTCTTGAACGTTGAGAAACAAGTGAATTATAACGTCTGGAAGCCAGAAATAGCGACCCCACGAGGTACAATCTTGGCTTGGTGTTTACGCAATACAGCGTACGAATTTCCAGCTGAGGTCATGTATGAAGCATCTAGACAGGGGGATGATGACGTGATCAAGTGGTTAGATTGCTGTTGTCACTATCAAAGACATACGGCGATGGAATATGCAGCTTCTTGTGGAAAACTAGAGATTGTCATGTGGCTCTATGAGCAAGAGATAGAAAGACAGGAGAAGGGCATGAACAGTAGAGAGATGAAGGAAGTGATTGTACATATGGTACAACCACTAGAGAATCAGCTACAGGTGCTCAATTGGGTTGCAGTGTTTCCTAGAGAGAAATACTTTCGAGAAGGGTTTGCATCAAGAGCAGGTCTTTTAGCTGCCATCTATGATCAACGTGATCCTTTACTACCATGGAATGATATGGAAGCATTGAATACACTATTTGAAAGAAGAAGGTATCGAGCTTTGGATACAGCTGCTGCTCAAGGTGATTTGACAATGGTCACGAAATTACATGAAGATGGAAGATGGCCTTGTACTAGTTTTGCAATGGACATGGCTGCTGCAAATGGACATTTGGAAGTTGTCAAGTTTCTGCATGAACATCGTAGAGAAGGAGGAACTGCAGTTGGAATGTGCAGTGCGGCAGGTAATGGACATTTACCAGTCGTGCAGTGGCTCTATGAGAATCGAAGTAGCGATGGATGCCGCCCGATGGTCTTGGATCTAGCAGCTACTAATGGTCATATTGAGGTACTGCGCTGGTTGGCGCCTCGCTTCACGCAGTTCTCATGCTCGCCTGCGTTTTTACCAAGCGTCGCAACTCATGGCAACATTAAGACGTTGCAATATCTCCATGAAGAAATGGAAATGCCACTGGACCAACGTACTCTCGAAGCTGCTATTGGATCGGGGCATTTTGAGCTTGTGAAATATGTTTCTGATCGGATTTCGGCTGAAGCGAAGCACACATTGTCTCCTACAACTACTGAAAAGGCGGCTGCAAGTGGCAACCTCGAAGTGTTGGCATTCGTCGTTGAGCGGCTTGGCCTTTGGTCGCCACGAGTATTGATTGCTGCAGCTTCTACAGGAAATGTTGAGATGGCGGAATGGATTGTCAAGCGAATGGACGGTTTTCTAGCAGAACCACAGGAGGTAGTCTTGGTGCGGGAGCGGCGAGACCGCGCTGCCACATCTATCGTCATCGATACAGCGCTATTGGATCCGTCTTCTGCTTTGACCAAACGGCGAGTGTCTTATGATAACATCACATCAGCTGACTGTGCGTGGCCGCTGAACATCGTGGACGGCAGCACACTATATCGCTGTGCATCGCTTCGTCACTTTAACATGGTTGAGTGGTTACTTAAACACAGATTGACTTCACCGAGCTTTTCAATATTTATGAAAGAATCCGAAATTAGCATGCGCTCCGTAGCTAAGCGAGGTACTACCGACGACGAGTCATTTGATGCAGTTGAATTGTTTGGCGGTTGCAATGGTGATACGAGTGCTGGTATAACGGATACATCTACTGCAATGCCAATTGCAACGGCAAACCGCAGCGATATTGGACTGAATGGGAATGGTGGTGCGAATCGCATTGCCGGTGCCCGATCAACCATTGATGGCAAGCAGTCTGAACTCGAGCCTTTTGCTTGGGCTCTTCCCGCAAAGACAAATCCATATTGGCAAACCAAGCTCGTGCATCTTGTTGTACAGTATTGTCCGGAGTCATCGTTGAAGCTGGAATGGCTGCCGTTGTGGGCGGCTCAGCGTGGTGACTTGTTTGTGCTGAAGCAGCTCTATTCTGTAAAGCACCCACAACTGTTCACACAGCAGACATTTACAGCTATTATGCGCTACACGAAAGCTGGAGATGCTCTGCAATGGTTTCAAACGCACAGCCCAATTCTCATGGGCGACCCATCCATTGTGGAATGGGGCGTGAAATATCGTCAGTTTGTATACCTCACGTACGTGTTCCTCGATTTCCAGCCCGTACGAACTGAAGAGCGATTTCGTCAGCATGGCGTCGAGTATGCCCTCCACGTGGCGAGTGCTTTGGGTCACCTTGACGTCGTGACATGGATATGTGGGAACTGCGAGATCTTTTTGAAAGTTCCAGCAGCGGAGCTTCATGCAAAGTTAGGAAGACTCACGATCTGGAAGGACGCACTGCTTGCTGCTGCGCGTTGTGGGCAGATCGGTATTCTAGCATGGCTGCACGAAAAGTTTACATTTTTCCGCAAGGTACCTGACAGTCCTCGTAAAATGGCAGTCGTCAGGTCTATGGCCGATGCCGCCGCTGGATACGGCCAATTGCGTGTCCTGCGCTGGCTTCGATCGACAGTTTGCCCTCAAATGGTATCTCACAAGGACAAGTGTGCTACGCCTGACGATTTAGCAGCCACTGATGCATCGACAAGGGTGAAAACTAGCTTTGTTTCAACTAGTGGGCTCCTGGAGGCCATGGTAAATTGTCACGTGGATGTGGTGCAATGGGTTTGTGCTGTTGATGTTGAACTAGTGAGCCAGCAAACTCCAAATCGTCGTGGAGAGCTTGCAACTTTTCTTCGAGAAGAGGCTGACGGATTTGTATCGTCCAAGTTAGGATTTGTTTTCCCACCACTTTGAAGCAGATGCAAGTGACGACTGTTTTGGCATGTTGATTTGTGCTGAAATGCATATGACCATTCAACGCTTGACGGCGTTACTCATGTTCATGAATATATCCTTCAACGAATCTCGAGTTTCCCGTTCACCCGAGTTGCAATTCTTCCATGCTACATGGTAGATATGTACGACGCACGTCAGAAGGATGTCATTATTCCTCGCGTATTCACCATGAACTTGATGTTATTCAGGTGAACTCATATGCAAGAGCATTTTGTTCGACACGCGTCTCTGTTCCAGTATCTGCTGGAAAAAAAGGATTGAGGTCAAATCTGAGATCACTTCGACTACATATCGATGTTATGCTCGTCAAAGAAGTGGAAAACTGGAAAATTTTTACTGCAAGTTCAGAGAAATCAGCGGATTGAAGAGTGACACAGTGGAATGTATGGATTAGGTAAGTATCATAAGAGATGTACATGTATATCATCAGTATATGACTCTTTGTTTGCTAAAGAGGTGTCTAAGTGATACGTGTCTTCTTTTTATAATGTGTTGTTGATCTAGATAACCTTGAAGAGCAGGTCAATCAATGGTTACGAGATATGGACAAACCAACGACACCATTTGTCATGATGGGGAGTGACCTTTTTGATCGATTCTTGTCATACGCATAGCCTCGTTTAGCTTCGTTCGAATTCCTCACAATCTCTTACACGCGTCCATGCCGAATTTTCACATCAAGAACAAGCCACACAGCAAGTTCTTCCTACGTCTCACACTCATTTTCGCTTGCACCACGAACGTTACAAGTCTCACGTTGTAGTCTACTTGTCTTTCATTGCATATAGACGCAGCACCTCTAGTACAATAACACCTCGTATCAGTATCTCCAAGTATGCCTCATCGTAGCCCCTCGTTGACGACCAGCTACACATCAAATGCATGCACCACCATGTCGTCACTACGAAACCCATCGCGCAAAGTTTTAGTGGACGAGGAAGAGCTTCTTACTCGAGTCCGTGAAGTGACGTGTGCTGTTGCATTGAAGAATGCTATAACCGACCCAGTCAAGTCTTGGGATTCAACGAAACACACGTCGTGTATTCGTCTTGGTTCTGGCCTTGGACGTGAAACTTTTGAGCTCTCATCTCGTGCGTCAGGTGTTCATGGTGAAGGCTATGAAGTGATGGCGGTCGGCTGTATTGCATGCAGTCCTCAAGAACTGGTCTCCATACTGAGTCCACCCGACGAAACCGAATACAATGCGGCTATGAAGGGACTATACGGCCGTAAATTCATTTATGGCTCGGTCGTGCAGACACTGAATGTAGATCAGTTGAAAGGTGTGATGCCTGACGGTGATCAGATTACAGTGAGGACAGGATGCTTTGCACGATCAAGGATACTGGCGCATAACGAGCAGTGGTGTTATCTCGAGCACTTCCAACGTACAAGCGAATCTGTGACACACTCCGTGTCTTCGTCCGACACCTTTCAAGGGTTTTCTGTTACTCTCCTATCATTGTCGGAACGGGAGCTTGCAATGGGGAAAGCCATTGGAGGCCGTGTGGATCAAATTGACGGTATCACGGCGTTGGTGGTTGTTGATACTGTACCTGCAGTATCCAAGGACGTAAGCGACGGCAAGTCGACCAAACTACGCGTGATATTTCACGCATTGTACACAGGACACAAAGAGCTTGTTGCCGGTCATGCAAGCGACAAGATGGCACGTGCTAGACTAATCGCTTTGGCTGAGGGTATGCCTCGCCTCCCGGCTGTTGTGCGACGGCGACGCTTGGGCGTGCAAGTGTTTGCCAAACAATCTGTGGATGTACCTATGCCCAAGGCCAAAGCTAAGAACTGGCGCTGCATCTCGTGCACGAAAGGTCTTCGTTTGAATGCATTACTACGCTGCACCCGCCGATGTCAGCTTTGCGCATACAATGTGTGCAAGGCGTGCTGGTCTCGCGAAAACATCGAGACCAACAACGGTATTGTCGTGACAAGGGGTGTCTGCAATCGCTGTCTCGAGTGGGTAGACCGCTGTAACTACTCTTACATTCATGGTGGCCACCGTGGAACAGTGCAGATTATCGACGACCCAAAACCGAGTGAAGCCTCATCAATGCGACCACCTGTCGGTCGAAGTTTACGCGAAGATCTTGCAGTTGAGAGCACGAAAGCAGCTGCGGTGACAGTGATCAATATGCTCTTGAGCTACTCAAAGCCTACAGCAAATGCCACTTACACCGAAAGGACTGCAGTTGATGCAGAGGACGAGAAAGATTACATGTCAGCCGTGGAAGAATACTTCCAGAGACGAGCGAGCGAGGCACCAGCTGCTGCAGACTGCGTGCTGGCAAATGCCATGCAGCGGACGTATCCGTTGCACCCGACGGACGCAGGATCTCCTTCCGCTCCAATCCCCGAAAATGAAGCTGCACGATTGAAGTGCATTGACACATTCAAGCTCATGGACATCAAGGACCCAATGCCCGAGTTGGACATCATTTGCTCCTTCTTGAGTAAAGAGCTTGGATTTTTCTGTACAATGATCACAATCGTGGGCGCGACACACCAGTTGGTGTTGAGCTGCACGATGCTTGAGCTTGTGCAAGCCATGCTGCCTCGTGAACATACCTTTTGCCAGCACCTGCTCATGGGTGACGCACCCTTTATTATTCGAAACCCCGAAGCAGATATTCGATTTTACAATCTAAACCCCGTGACGCTCCAAGGCGTCAAATATTACTGCGGCATCCCGATCATGGGATTGAATGGAATGATGATAGGCTCTATTTGCTGTGTACACAGTTCGGCCATGGATATCACACGTTCACAGTACGATACGCTGGTGCGATTCGGTGAAATTGCATCGAAGATTATTCGAGTGAAGGCTGAGGCCAACCTGCAGAGTTTGTAGTCAGGAGCAAGAAGCAGTGACAGTGTAAGCAGTTCATCTAGATGTTCTTTATGTTACATGTATCCTGTAGCAATCAATGAAATCGTTTTCAAACTTGGTTGAAAGTTGATCCATGGCTGAAACTTACGCTGTAATGATCTCTCACCATGACGAAGACGTTCACCATTGATCTCTTTGTATCAATCAGAATGATCTGAAGCATTGCGTTTGCATAAATTACTGATCCACAAGACACGATTCACTTCCAAAGCTTTGACGGCGTTCGTGTCAAAGCAAATGGCCACAAACTATTTTTTCAAAAACATGTGCGGTCATGAAGCGCATTTTGACTGGCGATCTCAGGTTAGTTCAAAATTTTCTATCGACAACATCTCAGTTCATCCATGTTCGATGCTGCAGACGAGTTGTAAACAGGTGCATGCATACTCACTGTGTGCTTTCTGACCCAAGTCTTCAAGCTAAACGGTACTTCAGTATTCTTTTGATGATGGGCATTGAGGCGTGTTACGCCTGTGCTGTCGAGTCGGACGTTGCAACCCATGCGAAATATAGTCGGTAACGATTCGCCTGTATGTAGGTCGGCTCGATCGTGGGGCTGTCGTAGCTGCGACAACAAATAAATCAGCATACAAGTCAACACAATATGCAAAATCATGCATGAAGAAGCCTTAGGATGTTACGAATGTCAAGTGTTGTAAGACCTTTCCTTCCTTCCAGATAAACTTCCTAACTCAGTTTCTGACGATCCAACGCTCGATCGAAAGTCCAGCTTGACGTGCCCTAAGTGTGGGACAGTCGAGTTCATGCTCGAAATTAGACGACTGGTAGCCTTGAGCATCAAGGCATAGGTGCTCTCTAAGCGACTTTACTGAACGCATATCAACTGACGATCCCTTAATGTACGTACAGTCAAACAATAATCACCTTCATCTCGCTGCAACTTCCTTCTGCACTTGCATGAAAATGCATAATACAATTTGCCATTCATCTCCAAGTCTGTGGTTCCATTAGAAGAACTGTAGTATTCCCTATGCCTCAGCAGCTCCACTCATTTTTATCAAGCCGGAAACGACCGACATCGAACAATGGACATACCGACGACCGGAATCTAAACCTTCGAGATCAAAACCAAGAAATCCTAGGAAATCTTGGTGAATCTTGTTGTTATTTAGACCTGCTAGGACCTTCGTCTCGGCCACCTTTAAACAGCTCGGCTCGAACGGTTCCTACAGATCGGCCATCTCCAGTCATGTCGTCATTGCACGGTTTTCAATCGGACGGGAATTTGCCAACGTCCCGCAAAGTGCAGGTCTCAGACGCCGAGTTGATTCATCGTGCTTGTCAAGCGAGTCTGGCAAGTCGTAAAGGAAGATTGCTTCGCGTACCTTCCGTGATGTGGGATTGCAAAGATATCTCGGGTTTCGCAATGCTTTCTCGACGAGTGGGTGAAGATTTTGAAGTACTGACAACGGGAGAAGTCGCTTGTGAGCCATGTGATATTGAGCCATTGCTACGCCCTCGAACGGAAAGTGAATACAACGTCGTGTCTCGTGAGTTTCATGGCGACCAATTCATCTATGGATCGATCGTTCATGAAGTACAACCTCGAGGTTTTGGTAATGACTTGGAAGATGAGAGTGACGAAAAAACACGGGAAGAATTCACTTTGGATGCTGAAGACCACGCAGCAGTACGAACAGCCTGTTTTGCTCACTCGCGTAGCTTTGCACGGAATGAAGAATGGTGCTTCCTCGAACATTTTCGACCTCGCACGGTCATACCGATCAGTCCTTTCACGACCAACGGCTCGACTAATTCTTCAACGTCATCGGTAAATATTGACGATCCTACGGGGTTTACAATTGTCATGAGCTCCATGCCTGAAAGCGAGCTGGCCGCTGGAAAAATGAAGAAAGAAAGAGTGATCCAGTTGCACGGTATAACTGCAACATACCTTGTAGAACCTGTGCCCCAAACTGCACGATGCCGTGGTCCTCGGTCTCGTGTGAGCTTCCATGCCAAATTCACTGCTCCAAAAAGTGTTCCAGAAGGATGGGCGGACTCGGAAACGGTGCGATCACGGCTAGTGTCACTCGCAAAGAGTCTGCACCGTCTTCCTGATCTAGTCTTACAACGAAAGCAGCAAGCTAGTCGTTTCAGTATGCACGGCAGCTTTAGCAGTCGATCTGGACAAGAGCATCGTGACAACGAAGAGGCAAATAACTCACGATGTGTGGCATGTACCAAAAGACTTCGGATGAAGCTGTTAAATGCTCCAACGCGCAGGTCAAAACGCTGCGAGATTTGCATGTATCGTGCGTGTGCTTCGTGTTGGTCAAAAGAGAACGTTGAAACCTTTAGTGGTCCTACTACTAGTGTCGTCATCTGTCGCCGCTGCCACGAAAATTTTGGCAGCAGCAACTATTCCCATATCCAGCTGACGTAAGAAATGTGAGCTCCATGTATTGAATGGAAACGTAGAGCTAGATAAAAGAGTGGTAATATAATGTACGCGTAACCAAGCATGTAATGCACGTTCAAAATAACCGTTCATCATTCAACACAGTCACAGTGTTTTGCTTTCAAGATTTGTACATCTTTGTCTTGACAACAGCAAGCTTTGAATGGAAAATCTGTGTGATCGAGACTGATGGTATTGTCTTTTGCAAAGCTCTGGTTATCCTCAAATTATTCTCGATCAGGCTGTGCTCTACAACAGTTTACATACTTCACCCGCACGTTCGGGTACCTTCGACGCATCGTCAACGTGGTAGCTCTTGGTTTAGCATTACGTCCTGTGTGGTCTTTGTATCAAACAAATCATGTCGACAAAGCAGCCGCAACGAGGATACATTGACTGGTTTGTGACCTATGCGCTCGTATTCTCCTGCAACAATAACCAAGCGGTCCCGACATGCCTTAACTGACAATGAACAGGCAAACTATCGCGCACATAATGTGCATTCATCCAGCACGAAACTTCAGCAGTTCCATTGATCGGATGACACAACGTTAGCTTCTAACGCTACATCCAACATTGTGACGTTGCGGATCAAGAGCAAGTCATAGGTGCGTCGCGTCAACGTGTTTGTGAGACTATCTACGCAATTGATGTAGCTGTCCCTGCATCTCGTTGAGGCAGCGCAGGCTACAACATTCATTGAATGGGTGCTCAACATCAGCAGTCGACAACTGATACAAATGGCACCTCAACCCGGTAAACTTGCAGCATCAATGCAGGCATGAGTTGGTATGAACACAATTGAAATCCACGGTCATACGTAGCAGACGCTTTCGTAGACTTGGAGACTAGCTCATGATAAAACGCACCGTCTTTCCATCATCAATGTGCTAGAATTGCTATGTTGTCCGGTAGATGCTACTTGCTATTCATCCTGCCGTGTACTGAGAACGAGAAGCAGAGAGAGATAAATTACATAGCCATCTATAGGACCATATATTCCATGTTACGTCTTTGGTTTTGTCAGCTAATGATGTTATTCGTTTGCTTTCAAAGAAGTCCTCAATTGCTTCGTCCTCCATTTTACGCTTGATGAATATATGAGTACAGTCAAGAAGCCGATGGTGCATTCTGACAGACTTGCCGTTGAAGTTGTTGCCCCTTGAGCTGAATAAGTCTCGATGCTGCATCAGATAGCCGCTTCATGGTTGCGTACTGAGACCGTGTGAGCTCGGCACGCGCAGTTGAATCAATACAGCACAAAGTGCCCACGGCTATCTCAGTTTCAAGATCCTCGCTTTCGTCATGCATCCACACTGTCACCGGAAATCCAACGTAATAACGAATTGGTACTATCTGAACAGCTTCCATTTTGTGAAAACGCACATCAGCTTCTGGATGTGTTACCAGAAAAGGTTTTGTAGTCATAATAGCGTGCTGACAGATACTTTGTTCACGAGAGACGACAGTTTGACGGAAACATGGAGCCGAAGAAGCCAGAACGTGGTTGTGTTTCACACCCATAACTGTTACACATGCATCGGCACATCCTGTTGCACGCACTGCCAGTTGGCAAAGCAAGTCAAGGTCACGAACGTCGCACATGTTGTCAACATTTCCAGCGGGCTGCAAAGGTGCTAACTCGTTTGCAAGCAGCAACAACCCCTTTTCAGCAGCAACTTTAAGACGGGAGGTATCATGGCACGGAATCACACTGGACGGAACCATGGTTACCGGATCGTCCGGCAAATCAATTACATAGTTACGCTTCTCCGCGTTAGCCACCACGCAGGACTCCAAAGCTGGTAACTGGTTCTCGTCGCTCAAAAAATTCCCGAGGTCCTTTACGGTGGCGTCACAGTCACTAACTTGGTCATACAGACTGTCACTCTCATCTACGTTGGTAGCTTTGCTTTGTTGAAGAAGTGATCGAACAACGGAGACAATGATATCGCGATCATTCTTGTCTGCGGACGCATTCATTAACGAAGCTTCGAGGAATGCCGTCAGCAGAGGCGCTACAGAATCATTAGACTTGTCTTCAACAACTTTCACGGGACCGAGGTGGTTGGAATTGTTATCGGGCGAGCAAACTTCCGAGTAATCGCATGCTTGAACACAAGCATGGCATCTCGTACAGACCACAATGGCCGCGACACGCCCAACAGTACTGTCCATATACTCTGCACGCCAGCAGGAGTTACACACGAGATACCCGCAGAGGTAACATCTCCTCGTGTCTATCTTTAGTGACCGAAAATTTCTCTTAGAGATAGCCGAGACTGCTATCGATAACGACAATTTGACTGAAGCCAAGCTGTGCGTGCAACATGGACAACGTTTGTTAGCTACATGAACAGCGTCGTGGTCTGCAGGCACTTGGATTCCAAAGCGACGATTACGGATTAGTTGTGGAAGTTTGGCGATGCCACGAGCAAGGCTCAGTAGCCGCCGCAATCGGGCTTTGTCATTCATTGTTTCGCCATCCATTGAGCTTAAAGATGTCGAACTTAACAAGTCACTCCATCCAGACCCACGTCGTCGTCCCCTCTTTCGACTCAATAGACTCTTATAGCTACTGGCAGTCGACTCTTTCGTGTTCGTATAATCCTCAAACCATGCATTAAATACCACACGAAGACCTTCTCGATTTGGTAGTTGGTCAACCAAATATGATGCATTCAATCCATGCAGCTGATCAACATGAGCGGTACTTTCAGTGACTCGACCAGAAGTAAACTCCATCGGTCGTAATGCACACTGGGAAATCGTAAATCCATCTCGCTCTGGTTTTCGCTGGAAAAAGTCCAAGAAACACCATTGCTCATTTCGACCAAAGATATTCGACCGCGTAAGGCTCATGGTCTTCACACTGAGCTGTTCACTTGTATCGGAATCCGAATCGTCTTCATTTTGCTGACATTTGTTCTTCGAGCATGGAATCGCACGGTCGAAGGATCCAAAGATAAAGCTTTTTGGATAAAAGCCCTGCATTGTGTGCGCAATGTCGGCTTCAGATCTCGTCCGGAGAACACTGGCTACCTCCTCAAGGCTAGCGTCAAGTCGTCCTGCGCACATTACATCAAGACCAGGAACACGATAGTCATTGGCGTCCGCAGAAGACGGATGTTGAAATATAACGAACCGATCCGAAGCCTCTACACGCTGCCACGGACCGCCCTTCTCCGGACCAGCTGAAAGTGCTGCAAAATCAATATTCAAATGCACCGCTCGAGCTCGTTTCAGCATCTCACTATCGGACGGGCATTTAAAAGTACTGACCAAGTCGTCATCGGCGCCAAAGTTTCCACTGTTCTGCGTTGAAACAGATCGTACGGAGCTATGATCACTTGAGCTGCACCGGGAATTGCTCCATTCACGAGGATGACGTTTGTTCACCTTTTCGACCATACTTTCACACCTGGTAAATCACACGAATCGAAACGCTTGCCTTCAGATGCAAGTTTGATACTGGGACGTTGGAAACAAGCACACAACGGTGGTAAATTGATACTGTGGACATGCAAGTATGGACAGTGCAAACAAAGATGACGTTACGCTCCAACTGGGTTCAAAACGAGTGCTTGGGTTTAACTTACTAACATTCTTGCATGTTTTTCGCATGTACGCAGCTAAGTTTTAAAAATAGTTTACTGTTTTGCTGGTTTTCGAGCTGTTGAGCTCATTTTGTTATCGTAGATAGTTTGGTCACCTCAACGGATCGTTTGCCGCACAGATATGAATGACTCGGTAGTGGGTTTACAATACCAACATACTTGATACGAGCAGTGATGCCAATGTTGAAGTAAACTAGCGACACAGTGTGGCCGAGCATGAAGTAGGTAGTGCTTGTTGCAAGCTGAAAATGTTTGGGGATGAGATTGCAAGCTGAAACCGCATCCACGATGTAGTCTAGAGTCCTCTTGCGTGAGTGCGTGAGTTAAATGAGCTTCTGGGCTAACATAGCTCAGTGGCTTTATATTTTGCGGATCTTTGGAATTGTTGAGTGAACTCGCAGCAGTCGATTAAATAGAAGCGTGATGGCGCCAAGTTTTTGATAACTCACGTCTGCATCTTGACCTCGTACTCATGAGCGCTATGAAGTTGTGATAATGTGGAAAAGACTGGGATGAAAGCTGGTCGAAGTAGATAGAATGAGGATCATGAATGGTCGGGCAGGTCGTATGTATATAAGAGCACATTGAACCGATAGTTTGTGCTTAGCACGACATCCTAGCGCAGCTGCAATGAACATCCCACGCGAAGCATCACTGACGTAGAGATACATTTGCTCGACCTACATGTGGTTTTTCCTAGTGGCGTAGCTTGGATGTAATCCTTATGATGATGCTAGAAACGCTTTGAAGATCCATAACCACAACACAACGCGTGCTGGCAATTCTACAGTTATCTTGCATCAGGATCACACAAGTTTCAGCATTCAAAGCATTCACAACATTGCTTTTGTGTCACATCTTGAACTTCAACGCACTGATCTCAAACAAATTTAGGCTTTCATCATCTAACAACATTTGGATGATTCTTCAACCGTCGACTGTAGCTAGTGCGAGTCACAAAGCCTTTGGACAGTTTGCATTGACGGTTGGCGATCGAGTGAGAGTTTTATAAGCAAGTGAGTTTGCGATGTAGCAATAGCAGACCAACACACTGGCTGTCATTGGTTTTATCGTTGGCTAGTCTGGAGCATCGTAGCACAACAAAATGATATGCTCCAGGTAGCAATAGTCAAGTAGGTTGCAAACGTGTTCACTAACATGATAAATGACAAGTGTCGACAGCTTGTAATTGCTACGTGCTCTCGATTTGAAAAAATAAATATAGCTGCCAGTTTCCATCACGAAGGACGGTACGTCAACAAAACGTTTGTACGTTAACCGTGTGCGTCAAGAAATACCTGACTTATACACATGTAGCAATTCAATGAAAGATTTCATTGGTTTGTTGACGTGAAAGGATTTAGACATTGTTGATCAACTAACCTTGTTGCAATGGTTATCAATATCTCTTGATAGTGATGCCAATATGGAAATCTTGACTTGCAATATCGATCTTTGTCATACCTCTCGGGAAGGGTTGCTGTCTGTCACCGAGTAGCGACAGCAACGCGTACGGGAGTCGTTGGTATTACTCAGGTCTACTTAGTCAAAACGAGTTCGGCGTTTACGAGAGCAAGTATCTAGATATTACGTATGAAAAGAGGAGGTGCAACGCTCGTGGCTTGTCCAGAAAAGTTTACTGTGTCGAAGCGGTTCAACTTTGCTAGAATTCGGGTACGATTGATGTATTCTCGTTCCGAATGGTCCAACGATCTTTGAAAGCAAGCATTACGGCTATGAACAGCGTGACCTTGTCCAAGTATGTTTCGGTTGTTGCCAAAACGATCACGGCAAACTGAGTCCACGAGTATCATTTGTCAAACGACAGCATGTACGACCTTTAGTGGTCGCTTACCATATCAAGTTACATTAAAGGCAGGATCTCTAGAGGTCTCAGAAAGCCGCATAACTCTCCTTAGCACGCAAGGTCACATTGGGCAGATGATGCTCGGTCAGTAGCGCGATGGAACTAGTAAAGTCAGTGCTGTACACTCAAATACCACCAGCTCAAGAAAGCTTGCAAAGGCATTACGTTGTCACTAACCTCCCAACTTCTCCCTTCAGTCACAGATACTTGATGCAGCAGTCATGGCATATTCAATGCCCTCAGCACCTGTCCATGTCCATGACATTTTCACTTATGTTCAGGCATGCGTCCAGGAAGAGCAAAGTACATCTTCCAATAGAAGGTCTTCAAGCACAAAATGACAAGTGCCCTCGATATGATTGTCAGCTTCTCCTCACGAGCAAGGCTGTATTACAAGCTCGTTCCTACCTAAACAATGAAGATCTAGCATGGCTTGTCTTGCGATTGCAAGACGCTGCAGTTGCAGTGTGAAGACTGTCGAGGTTCAAATTGTCATTGTAATGCACACAAGAAATGGGTAGAGTGAAACCTACATGGATGCATGTGATAAACTTAACCTCGATCAGAAGTCACTGAACCATTTGCAACCTTACAGCAAGAGCAATTGATCTATCTTCATTCACACGCGTAGCTCATAAACACTTCGTCACCAGTCTGCAATTTACTAGCTTGGCGATATGTCTATCTGCGAATGATGTACAGATCACTCGTGCATATCTTAGGTGGTGACAGCAAACAGGGTAATCTTCAGTACGCGGGCAAGTGCTGTGGTCTACAGGCTTTGGCAAAGATGAAATTCATTCACTCGACTACCAACATGTAGTGTACCAGCAATACTTGCTGAAGAATTGGCCGATTTCATACGGACATTCCATTCTTTAGCAAAGGTCGCTCTAATGATATCGTGCATCAACTTTATGAGACGTTTCCTATCCCCGGTCGCAAATTGCTAACACATTGGTTATTTATTGATCGTCTGCATCACCTTTTACATACATGCATCGGGTACAACGATAGAATGGACATCCTCCAAGTGCTTTAACGTTTCAGTTCAAGTTGAAACGCATTCCACGTGACGAGAGTGCATGATCGCGCAGCATGATGCAACAACTTTCATGCAGCAGAAGCCAAGCAGTGTGCTCACACTGCAAACAACTAACAAGGGCAGAGGCAGGCCTCTGACGGCTGCTTCGGTGCAACCACAAGATCACACAAGCTTCACCGTGAGCCAAAATAAAGGACCTTAGCTTTCATAAACAGGTTATTTGCAAGCTCATAGACAACCCCTCGATAGACCGAGGGATTGCACTAGAGGCAGTCAAGACTCGCCACAGAACTTCGCTTCGAAAGCGTTCCTGGATTGTCCAGTATCGTTAACAACGCACATCGTTCGTCTCTTGTTGTCCCTACGACAACTGTCTGACGGCAACAGCAAACTTCAAATTGACATAAGCACCGAGAGGCGGAGCACGTTAACAATCGTGTGTATACCACTGAGATACAGCATAGGAAGCCAGGCCGCGAGTGTTGGCGTCTAATGACCATTCAGTGCTACGGTAAGACAGCGAGCGGTGTGCGATAACACGTCTTTAACTTGGTGCAGAAATTCGACGTTACACAGGTTTGCAGCCTCGCCTCTCCAGCTCTAGCTCCTGGTGACATTTGAGTATCAAAGCAATACAACCGACTGGTTGCTGAGGAGCGATTTGCACGTCGCGATGTAGCGATCCAACAGTGTCAGACGTGGCAAAGTCTTAACGCCCCCTTGTGAGGATGAGTGAGGCTCATCCCTCGCGACATTACGCTTTCCAGTCTACTTGTCGCTTTCTATCCATCGTCAATCTGCGGTATTCGCAAATTTGCCTACTCGGACGCAAGTCGAGACTCTCTCTACCAATACCAACACCACGTGCAACGTACGACTAATTATGGGCTGCGCTCAATCCACCGCTGCAAAGGACCCGGCTGCGACATTGCCTGATAATACAAAGCCTGAAGGTGCCGCCATGGAGACTAAGGTTGAGGAGACGCCAGCCACTGAGGAAGAGAACAAGTTTGCTCCTGAGAATGAGAACAAGCCTGTTGCAGCCACTGGAGAGAAAAGTAAGGCTGAGGACGAGGAAAGCACTACGAAAGAAGAGCCCAAGGTTGAATAGGTTGACAAGGTGGAGCCGCACAAGTCTGAAGAAAAACTTGAAAAGAAAGAGGTGTTAAGGTCAAGGAGTCTACAATGAAATAAAACAGACAATATGACGACTCCCAAGAGCGTGTTGGCACGTTATGTTGCCACTGAAGTGTATCGTTTACACTACCATATTTGACTTTGTCTACTCTTTACTAGTATCTTAGATATTTTTCTACATCCAGTTGTTTTTTCTATGTGTCAAACAAAATCCAGCTCTCAGGTTTGATTTTTGCACATTTTTAACACTGTCACATGGTGTTTGTACTACCGTAATCTAGAGAAAATCACTAGCTGTTTTTGCCTTTCCATGCGCTTTTTCTATATTTGTCACAGCTATTTGTATACACATTGGAATGTATACCTTGGAGAATGATGGTCAAGAAGATAGATGCCTTTGATTTCGTAAACATACATACATGCAGTAAGTCTATTGAATCACTTTCTAATTCAACCCAGTGAGTGCATTTCTCTATTTTTCAATGACATCTCGTGGTTGTGTAAATTCGGCGCTTCGTGCTCATCACATGCCTTCCCATTTACGCTACCTTGAAGGCAGTTTTAAGAACGCACGTGGTCAAAAGTTGGTCTATCTAGCTCTTTTCCCTTCACTTTCTACTCCTTTACGTGGTATTGTGCTCTATTTGCATGGACTTGGTGATCATAGTCGTCGCTACTTTCATCTCTATGAATGTTTGTGCACTAGTGGCTTTGGTGTATTGGCCTATGATTTGTTAAGTCATGGAAGTAGTGACCCTGATGAACATGGATTACGAGCTCATAGTGCCAAGTTTCAATACTTTGTGGACGATACGAACGAGTTTATTACAATGGCCAAGACGCAGCTGTATAAGAACTTGCATGTCTCGTTGTGTCACAATAAGGAGCCTAAATTGATCTTATTGGGCATGTCGTACGGCACGTTAGTGAGTCTTTATACTATATTGAGTGACAAACATGAGTTTAGTGGTGTCGTACTCGTTGCTCCAGCCTTGTTGGTTGAGATGACGACGACGCTGAGAGTGCAAGCATTCTTTGCTCGACCGTTAAGTAAACTTATCCCGAAGGCTAGAATTGTGCCGGCAGTCAATGAAAACTACTTATGCAGAGACCAAGACTATGTTGACGATTTCAGGGCGGACCCGTTGACGTTTACGGAGCCTATGACGGCGAGAATGGGAGCGGAGACATTGAAGGCTATGAAAGCTCTGACGGTGGACAAAAGAGTTGAAGATAAATGTAGTGCGCTCTGCAAGCTTCCTGTGTTGATGATGATGGGATCGAACGATAAAGTGACGAGTTTAGAGCTTGCCCAGACGTTTTACAAACGACTTGCGGCGAATGAGAAGGAGTTCAAAGTTTTCGATGGATACTTCCACGCACTGTTTGATGATCCGGAGCACGAGGCGGTTTTGAATTATTTAGAAAACTGGCTCAAGAGGAGATTTCCATTGCTAGAAGGAACGAACAACGCTCATAAGGTTGATAACATAGAGTCTCTAGAGATTATGGAAGAGGTGACTCACCATGAGACGACGGTGGAGAATAATAAGGCTACACCTACTGCGACGAACACGGTCGCAAAGGCGTTATGCGTAGCACAAGAAGAGGTGAACAAGTCTTTGCTACAGACGGAGAGAGCCAATATTGAGGTTGTCTTGGACACTGCAGTGCATTAGGAACGGTCGTCGCCACAGAAGAGCTCTAAAGATTTGGAGGTGCTCGAGGAGGAGCCTACGTCTAGTGTGGCGAGACGTATGGTACAGTATCTGCGGAACAGTGACATGAGAAAGAAGAGCCACATTTGACGATTGAACGGTGACGTAAGTAGTAGTAACACGAAGTGATTGAGGCTTTAATTGCCTGTTTTGTGGTTTCATAATGACCAGTGTTCTTATTCTAAGGTAAGATCAAAAAAGACCCTTATAATAAGTGCTACCTGGTCGTTTTAGTATTTTTCTGATATATTATTTTATTTTGTGGTCAGATGAAGTCGAAGGAAATAATGTTGGCACAGAAGCATAAATATCACGTTAGGGATGTCGCAAATATTTCGCTTTTTTCCATACTCAGATAAAATTATTTTATACAGGTGAGAAGAAATCATAAACTATCAAAACTTGATAGGTAGTCCATCCTAACTTACGTACACTACACCATATAGGATTCACCAAACCCAAACAAATTCCCGACTATTTTGGACCACTCCCTGTCCGTTTTAGCAGTCAATCATAGCGTGCAGTCTACTAGCCCCGTCCTACTCATTGACCTTGTGTGTGTATGTCTATCATGTCGACGGAGCTATCACCAATCAAATCCAAGAGGATGGAAGAGAAAGCGTCTCTCCAGGTGCGTATAGGACTACATTATGGATCCATTCGCATAAAAACCATTTGATTTTCGCCATTAAAATCGACTAAAACCATGTTTATTTGGCTGTTTAAACTCCTAAACTGTAGCAATTAAATTCACGCCTGGAAATGTATGTACTGGGTGTAAATGAGCTAGAAGGAGCAAAACATGCAGCAGAACGCGAGTTAGAGACGATTAAACAACGTATGCAACAAGATTTGGAGCGTGTACGGTCTCGATTGACTAAAGAACTGGAAGAAACACGCAAGTAAGATGCGATATAAAAGTGTTTTTATGACATGAAAACAACATGTTTAAACGTTTTTATAACGATATTGCTGTTTAAACTAGGAAATTGGACGATGAAATGGACCAGAATGCTCGATTGCAGACACTGGAGCAGGAACAACACAAGGAGCTTGTGAAATTACGTGCACAACAGGCAGAATTAGGAGAAATGAAGGTCTTGGTCGATACTTTGAGGGTGCAGCTTGATAGGGAGAAGACAAATGCCGAATCAGCAAAGGAGACACTATCGGAACAAACGGTGCAGTTAAATTTGGCACGAGGTCGAGTGAAATTGCTAGAGCGTGATATGCGCCGTCAGTCAGCGGTGTTGAATGATGCTACCCAGGAATTAGAAGAGCTGAGGAAAAAAAGTGTCGACTTTGACCTGACGAGAGATGCAGAAATCACGAAATTGCGCCGAGAGTGGACGGCAAAACAAATGGAGACACAAGCTCAATGGAAGAAAGATACAGAAGATCGATTGCATACGATGGAAATGGAAGTGCGTAGCCACTTTGAGACGGTTGTGAGTAGTTTGGAAAACCAATTAGATGACGTTAAAGCAGAGCTAGAAAGTACGAAGCAGGAATTGGACCGGACAGCAAATGATTATGAAGAAAGTCTTAAGGCACGTCAGATGCTTACCGAAAAGGTGGCGCAGCTTGAGCGTGATTACCGTGAAGCGAGGACAAAGTCGACGAAGGACCGTAAAGCGTATGAAGAAACGCTAGAGCGGTTCAGAGCATCGAAGGTTGCTAAAGAACGCGAGTTTAATGATTTGATGGATGTCAAAATTGCTTTGGACGCTGAAATCATGAAGTACCGTCGTATTCTGGATCGCGAGGAGAGTCGTGTTGGTGTCGCGACGCCAAATACGAAGGGCCGCAAGCGAAAGAGTGAGAGTACGAACGGTACTGTGTCAAAGCGGGCAAAGCGCGCGATTTTTGGATCCGATCATCTGTCGTCATCGGTGTCACCGGTTGAGATAGCTTCGTTGAATTTGGAAAAGGACCGCATTGTGCTAAAGAACACTAGCGGTGAGCCGGTACCTCTTGGTGGCTGGGTCGTCCGTGGACAGATGGACCAAACTTTTCGATTTCCAGCAACCTACGTGATGCGTCCACATTCCACGCTAACTGTGCACTCTAGCAAGAGAAACCAGAACGCAAAGAACGAGCGCAAGAAAGGTGAAGACTCGTTTTTGGCCAACAAGTTTTCACTAAACCAGACGGGTGATTTTGTTGTCTTGATGACGTCGGATGATATTCCTGTAAGCATGAAGAGCGAAGGATTACCTGAAGAGGAGGTGCGCGCGATTGAGGCGGACCTTCGTGCAGATTTTATAAACGACGAAGCTCCTCCTTCTGAAAGTGTAAGTGCTTATGCTAAGTTGTTATATTTTGTTCATGCCACTAAGCTGTACTTTGAATTGTGCAAACAGTGCAGCATGATGTAAAGAAGCAGAATGAAGACCCGCAAGCAAGAGAAAGTAAAAGACTGGGAAGGCCATTTTTGCGTCCATTGCCTCACCCGTGTGTTTTCTTTCTACGAAGTCTGTATGACGTAATAATAAGTACCTCATTTTCCCCGTCCATTTGCTAGAGGTGCTGTATTATTGGAGAAGATTTGTGTGGTTTGTGGTTGATACAGATGTTGCAGAGCTCTTTTATCGATGGTTGAGGAAGTAGACAGGAACGTTTACTTCCACACAACTGAAGCGCTTTTATACGCTGGAAGTGGCTGGAGCCATGATTACTCACCTCAACGATATCTCGATAAGTCGCTTGAGCCAGACGCAAGTACTGGTCTTTTGCTTGAGACATCCAGTCGTCACGTCTCAAGATCTCATCCACAATCATCAGCAATCAGCGGTAAGAAGGCCTGGACATGATTACAGCGACTCTTCTTTCCACGCCGACTTTCTCGATATCACAGACGATTGATGTTGAAGTCTCACATACAAATTTTAGTGTTCGTCTACAGACACTACTTTCTTATTCGTTCTCAAACCATTTCGTGCCCCTCATTTACGATGCGCTTCTCGCTCGAACAAGTTTTGCGTTGTAACGACTGGATGTTACCAAGCTTTAGTATGACGTTTCCAGTCCCTGCCACCAATCAATCCCGTTCCAATATTTTACCTATTGATGCTTCAATGACATTGGGAGGATTGCCACCACTCAACGATGTGAAGCTTGATCATTTTGCTATCTCCACTAATGATGTTGCTGGTGACATTGATTCCAATGAAATCGAGACGGCCTTTGCGAGTCTGGACACTGAAGCAGATGATACCATTGAATCCGACAAAGCGCTGCCACTGGAATTCCAATGCAGTTATCGTCGAGGCAAGTGTTCGCAACCACGGACGTTCAAAAAGAACGGATCGATGCATAGTTACTGTGAACATCATCGCCAGCTTTCGATACGCAACCAACGAGCGTTTGACCAGAAAAAACGACGCCAACGACGAGAACTTGAGGCTCAAGAAGCCGAAAAACGACCTTGTTACGCTCGACGACAAGCGTCAGATTCATGAAAAGTGTAAAATTCCCAAGCAAAGAAGCTGCTGACACGCAGACGCGAAATAGCCGTCATGATGAAAGGTACAGTAGAAAGTATTCACGACAGACACAACACCTGCCAACAAGCGTCACACGTTTTTAAGCAGAAGAACCATATTGATATTACTTACTGAGAATGCGTCCCACATATGTCTGCAATCTACTCTGTCAACCAAGCATCATACCCGTTATCGTCAAGACAACTGTCAGGAGCACAAGACAGCCGTCATCTACAAGTGGTCTAAGCTCAATCCACAATAACCGACCACGGGTGCTCGCGACGGCCATACTGGATATCGGACAATTCTTTCCACACACGCTCCGCGAGCTTTCCAGCCTTGCCGTCCGTACCATCAAGCGGAATGACCAGGTCATCATCCATGTAGTTAATGGTAGACACGGGTGAGACGACAGCAGCAGTACCAGAACCAAAAATCTCGAGGATACGGTTCTCCTTGCTGGCCTTCTGGAGCTGCTTCATGTTAATATTGTCCTCTGTCACCTTGAATTCATTCCACTCACGCGTCAGATGCAAGATTGAATCACGTGTGATGCCAGGTAGAATGTCACCACGTGTAAGCGGTGGTGTAATGAGTTCCTTATCACCTTGCTCGTTAATCCAGTGGATAAACAAGTTCATCGTGCCGACCTCGGTGATTTCATGATCAGGTCCAAAGATCCACAAATTTTGTGAATACCCTTGTTCACTTGCAGTGTACTGAGGTAGTATACCCGGGGCATAGTTTGCTCCAAGCTTATAGCCACCGGTGCCACCAGGCCACGCACGGATATAGCGATCATTGGCACACAGCTTGACCGGGTTGAATCCTTCTGGATAATACGGACCTACGGGTGATAAGATGACAAATAATTTGGCCTTCTCACTAGCTCCTACACCAATAGAAGCTTGCGTACTAATGCCTGTCGGACGAATATAAAGTGAGTATCCTTCACCCGTAGGTACCCAGTCCTTATCAAGACGAAGAAGCTCCGCAAGACATTTTGTCAATTCGTCTCCATTGAATTCCGGTAGCAAGAGACGTTTCATGGAACTATTAAGCCGCTTCATATTCATGTCTGGACGAAAGAGTCGCACATGACCTTGAGCATCAATATATGCTTTCATACCTTCAAAACATTCAAGGGCATAATGTAATACGGCACTTGCTGGATCCATGGAAATCGGACCATAGGGACGAATGGCTGGATTTCCCCACCCTTTTCCACTTTCCCAATCGACTTCTAGCATATGATCTGTAAACGTTTTACCAAACTGAAGCTTCTCCTTAGGTATTTTCACTTTTGGATGACATGTGCGATCAATGATAAGGTTTGATACCTTAATATCCATCATACCAGTTGAAAAAGCACGTAAAGATGCAATACGACCGAATGACTCGAGACGATGTGATAGCATAGGAACAAAAGTAAAGGTTCCTACGACTTGTACGTTCTAGATGATAAAATGATGAATGAATGAATGAGTGGAGTCGTGTTGTCATGAACAATTGACACGCATCAGGGATGGGATACTTAGTGGAAGACAAATGACGAAAATGCGCAAACATTACCAACAAATTGGTTGAAACACTTGAGTGTCAAGTATGAGTGACTAGAGGTTTGAATTCAAGGGGGTTTTGATGCCTTTGGGTCTAGTAAGTTAATCGACGTTTACCTGATGTTGGTTAATGTGTTGCTGTCGACTACATGATTGTTTACGTCGTGTACTCAATCGCATCTTTCGTTGCTATAGATTTGACACAAAGTCTTGACAAGACTTTGAATGATACTTAGAAAGCGATGAATGAATAGCAAAGTACGAAGAGGGTCTCAATACTGTGGAATGGAGGAACAGCATGTCAATACGAGTCTCTCATTGCGTGATGTGTAGTTGTTTTCATGTGGATCAGAGATACGACACATTTGTCATACATAGCAACCGCATTCTTGAATAACTCAAGATTTATGTTGCAGGGCTACGAAGAGCGTCAAAAGATACAAGAAAACGATGTCGAGCTTCTATACTATATTGACGCATTAGTAAACCCAGCAATGAACAGAGCGTACAGCGAGAGAATTACCATACTACGATTACATAACCACTTTCGCAATAGAAATACTCAGTCTGTTCAATCTTAGAATGTAACGTAATATTTTGGTTGCAAAGCACCTTGCTTAAGTTTACATGCCAAAGCTGCATCGCATCAAAACGTTTTGATGCACAATTTTACAGAAGGAGTCCAGCCTTGTTGAGCTTTAAATGGTTTACAAATATTATTACCCAATCAGACTACGATCATTGAAATTGGTATTTTGGCAAATAGCATTACAGTAGTGATAAAATGATTACTATTCTTGACAGGATCAGGAAGATTAGTATGACAGTCAGTAGTAGTACATGGTGGATGGATTCGAAAACATTACAATCGACGAAATCCGTCGATGGTTCTAAGTAATTTATAACGCATTCTGTATATTTGACACAGTACACAATAGCCGTAGACGCGATTTCCTATAGCTACAGCTTGAAAATCAAATCCAAAGACTGATTCTTTCGTAGTGAGCACGTTTCTTTGTAATCTTCTTGCAAGTCTCGAGTACAAAGAAAATAAGCCTCAATGTATTAGTGACTATCATGTTTACATAACGCCACTGATACATTATCTATCAATGACAACGCAGAGACTTTGCTTAATGTGAAAATCCGAAACCAACGGTTAAGGGCAGTGGCGTTTGAAGACCGCGACAAGGCGATATCACAACCGACAACACTCTGTAAGGAAACGCATGTGCCAGGACATGCTGCATACTAGTGTAACATTGAGTTATGTGTCTTAGATGCTTTTCCTGAGTCATAAACACGATTCTGTTGCTCGTCTTTGGTCATAATCGGCTTGAGAGCAAAATTGGACATTGCTACGTGAGGTCGATACTATCCACGTATGCCGCACTGAACGCTGTTACGCAAATTGCTGTCAAACATTTGACATATTAGGCTTAATAACATTTATGCTGGAGCTATAGCGTGCTATCAGGAAGAAAAATAGCACGGCCTAAAAGCTTTTTGTGTTGAAACGAAAATCTCCATTTTGCATGAATTTGTTGTTAATGCATGGAAAAAACATTGTACGCATTACATAACATTGACACCATCATAAGACGTCAATATGGATATTATCCCATAATTATTGTTCGACAGTATTATCATACGGATAATATAGTAGCTACACTCCGCCTATTGGCTATTATAGGCCATGATATCCGCCAACGCGCGAAATGAAGAGTGATAAGTCAGTCAACATACGTATTAGTAAGTAATGATAGCTATATATAGAGAGAAAATTTAGTATGAAAGAAGTTGCTAACATTATTTGATACACACTTCCCTTTATACTTTTACTTAGTAAGTGTTCTTATTATGGAAATTGTCGTCCTACTGCATGATTGTTATCAGTATAGTCGGAGGGTGCCCCGTTATGATCGGCTAGCTCTCGTTGCTACTCAAGTTCGTATATTTCATGGCGACAATGATTTTTCAAGAGATTTTTAAAAATAATTTTGAACTTATCCAGCCAAAGAATTAGCCCATGAGTTGCTTGCGTGTATAGATGACATTTTTCCATGAGGCACAGATTGGTCCTACAGAATATGAAGGATACTCGATCATCAAAGCGTGTATTCAGCTCGAGTTCCTGTAAGCTCGATATGGGGATTTTGCCTAATTTGCGAACGCGCAAACTTAACTCACATCTTTTCGCTGGCTCATTACATTATAGTCTTATCCGTGAAAGCTGCAGAGCTGGGCTATTCATCTCTTGCCGTAGTGCTACGATATCGGACATCTCAGCGGTGCGGTTAGTGTGCTCGCGACATTGCTTCGCGCTGGCTTGCCTCGCCTCGCCTGTGACACCACTCATGTAATGCGACAACGCAGTGAGCCGCAGCTCTCATCACTCTGCCCCGCTCAGACACCACGATTTGTCTACTTGTCGGTGCAATATATTGTCACGCATCAGCAGCTTTCGTTAACTCGCAGACACGTGGCGCTCGCGCAATGGTCAACATTCTCAAGCGATAGCTCATGATCGACAACCTCCAGCGCAAGGTATCAGCAATCGTGAAGAAGTGTTTGCGTTATCGCCAAGGCAAGAGTCAGCTGATTGTGCAGTGAGATCAGTCGACAGCTAATGTTGCGGACACGCGCAAAGAAAATCTTCTTATGGATTGGCATATTGTGGTGGAATGGGTTCTTAAAACTGCGTAATGAGACCCCAAGCCACTCACTGTGCCGGATTGCCGACTGTCAGAGGGGGTAACCCGATGCCGCGTATAGACCTTCTCTCACCTTGTGTACCCGTCGGCTGAGGGATGTGATGTCATCCATGAGAGAGGTCGACCTCGGGGTGCCTCAAGTGAGTATACTTCGGTAGATGGCCACTCGGTCGACGAGGTCGAGGGTGGAGGTCCATTGATCCAGGACCAAAGTCGATTTTTAGGGACAGGGGCCGAGGGACCGCGTCCGTCGAGCCAACCGCGGTAAACTCCTATGATGAATGGCGGTTAACTAGCACGCTTTGAATGCACATTATCCTCATCCAACGGTCGTTCCCTGTCCCCTTTTAGCGCCCCGTCTCTCTGTCCTTTACCTAACGGTCGCTCCTCCTTGGCGGGTCCCCTTCTCTTTGACCCACCGGTCCTCTGACCTACCAATTCTTTAAACGCTTCACCACAATAGCATCTTCGTGCGATATATTGAACAGTGCTCTAAAAACACTCGGCAACATCTGTGAGCTGATTGCATCCGACACTGCAAGCGCTCGGTCGCTGCTGACGCCGTTATTAGTTGGTACAATGGCTTTGGATAGCCAACTTCCCTCATTACCGACAATGGCACGTATTACGCAGCCAAGGCATTGCGACCGTGACTAATAATATCGGTGTGACGTACAAGCTATCGCCAACCTACGCGCCTTTGCTCAATGAAGCTGTCGAGCGCGTAAATCGCGACGTTTTACATGTCAGCAAGATTCGTGTGAAGGGGTATTGTACGTACCCGGCTAGACAAGAAACTACTGGCTGTTTTTAAAATCATTGGAGGCAGTATTCAAGTGTCTTTTCGTGGCAGCGTGTGCGAGCTTTCCAAGGGAGGTAACACATGCCTCACGTTTCGAGGGCAGTCATGCGATATTCTCGGTCAATCCGAATGGTGTGATATACACCAAGACGGCTGCGAAAGCTGTGGTCAAAAAAGTCATTGATGAGTCAAGCGTTGGTTAGTTTTGGCATGCTCAACCAATACATTTATCGTTCGAATTGTTTCTACAATTCATAAGTATTTAAGGGCAATTTTTAGGAGGCATGCATAAAAAAAAATGCAACCCTGACGATTAATGCAAAGGGTGCGACGGTACACATCCTGCTAATACGAGCTAGCAGTCCTTTTCATAAGTAGACGTAGCTAAGTACATATATTAAATAATTAGCTACACGTTGTACCCGATATAGCGGGGTACAGCATGTAGTATTCCTATTTGTTGATAAGTAGATATCAGGTCCATTATCAGCCAATAAAATGCAATCTGTAAAAAAGTTGAGTGCTAGCAAATTAAACTTACAAAATGTCTCATCCCAGACTACCCATTACATCGTAAAGCACCCAGGGTCCGATAATGCTATGTTAATCACTGTTGCTGTAGCCAAGCTACGGCACCAAGCTACTAGATGCACTAAGTGCAATTTATCGAGCTTTACGTCTTTTAGGGCTCTTAACTCTTACAAAGCTGGCTTTACAAGTTTTAACCTTCTTGTTTACACAACCAACTCCTCTACGAGACCTGTACTTCTTTCACAAGGATCATGCTCAAGCAACAAATGCTTAACAGAGCAGGTTTAAAACTGGTTTATTTAGCTTATATATTCTAAGTGATGGCTAATTAACCAGTTATATACTTAGTACTATTCACTACATTTGCCTGTATCCGCAGCCTTTCTAACGTATACACGTATATACATAGTACTATGTCATGTTAACCCATCGTACCTTAGGTACGGTCACTCCAAAGAGGGTGTGAACCCGATGTACCTAAAGTTTAGCCACACCAATTTGGTGTGGCATATTATATGTAGAATACATACCTGTCACAGATTTGATCGAAATGTTGCGGTGATCAAGGTACATCCTTATAAGGCATGTCCTGGGTTCAAATACTCTGGTATATTCGATACTTAGTCATTAGTTACCATCACTTTGACCAATCGAGCACCTTGTTGTCAAATAGCTGCTTGAGAAGAGAGTAGAGTACCCTATAGCATTTATTTTCATGCTGTAACTTACGTGCTCCAACCTAACAACGCAGCACTAGAGCGTTTTTTTTTTACAAGTGTTAGAAGAAGAAATATTAAGGAAAGCAGCAGATGATGAGCAAAAGAATCAATTTATTCTTCTTATCTTTACCAAATGACGACAATTATGATGAAACGGACGATGAATAACAATCGGAGCAGTCAGGTGGTGGTCCATGACGACATTGAAGACAGTGTAAGTGCACAGCCATGTACATCCGTCTCTCATAAGTCCGTATCGCTATTTTTGCGGCTGTCTGCTCGCCGAGACTTGTCGGTTGGTCAAGTCAAACTTGCTCGCAACAAGAGGCATACTAGACCGTCTCCCGATCAGATTTGCTCAAAACTTTTGCCATTACCACATCACCATCACTGTCTCGCATATGAGACGTAGAATAAGCAGACATTAATCCAAAAAAGGACACTCCGTTACCTCTTGGCAAAGCGTCTCGGGGTGTAGGAGTTTCAAGCAAGCTCAATTACAGTTCTTAATTGTACGGAGCAGTCGGTCTATAACGACATTGAAGACAGTGTAAGTGCACAGCCATGTACATCCGTCTCTCATAAGTCCGTATCGCTATTTTTGCGGCTGTCTGCTCGCCGAGACTTGTCGATTGGTCGAGTCAACCTTGTGAGGTATACTAGACGCGTGATATCCCGTCTCCCGATCAGTTTTGCTCAAACTTTTGGATTTCGACGTCAAAATGTCTGTCTTAAGCGTAAGTTATTGAATGTATGCCTGTCCAGCTACTCTCGATACGTAATGCAAATACATAAACACAGCTTTCGTAAGAAAACATCACCGGACTCAATGCCTTTCATGCTATGAGCCTTGCCATCTGTGCTTGCGATAACAGCTCCTTGTGCATGAAGGGGGCATGTAGACACAGAAGACCAGCTAAAAGAACTTCAAACCTTGATGCCCATCACCCGCCCGTACCCTTCCGTACACATGGAAAAATGTAAGGAGCTTGGTCGAAGATTTGGGATCGACCAGAGCCATGTCTGCATAATTGGTTCAAACAAGAGCCATATATCGTCTATGTTTTGAATAGAAGCTGAATGCTCATGTAATATGTATGAAAAGAGCATTGAGAGCAAAAGAGTCTCATATTGTCAAAGCATTACTACAATGCTAATGTATATCTGTCTGTTCACAGCCCAGAATCATAAAACCCCATAGCTGGTCTACACATCAATCTAGATGAGTAGCGTTTTTACAAGCTCACATGTAAGGAGCTAAACCTTCTTAAGGTCACAAAAGAAGGCGAGACGATTGTATTCTTGTCTCTCTCTCTGGTAAAAGTCCTTACAAACAACTATCAAAGCAAACCCATATGTATTTGCGGAACTTTCGTATGCTCCGATATAACGGCTATCTGTACCTTCTCGCGAGTCCGACACTTGGCTCGGCGCTGTGCTGCTAGGTAGGTGTCACTGTTCGTACTCACGATACTAGTAGACTGTTCCGAAGGAATGTCGTACGCAATGAGCAAGCCTCTTCTTGACAAAGGCCTTAATTAGTTTGTGCATCTTTTCTACATGAAAAACTGGGCAGCAGTTTACGGGAAAAGATATGGCGAGACATGAGGATGAGAAGGATTTAGATGCGGATATACAGGTGGTTCCAAACCTGATCCGGTATCTCTCTCCATAAGCAGTGATATGCAGGATTTACATAGTGCAAGGTGGCATCAGACGCACGAGACCTGGTCCAGGCAGGTATCTCTCTCTCTCACTCCATGTTCATTTTTTAATTCAGGCTCTACAGCTCAAGTCCTTTATCCACTTAAGTAATTTCAAGAAAGCTGCAATGATGCGACTATTCTTCCACGTCGTCGCAGCTTTAGCACTAGTCACAGACTCAATTGCTTTGCCATGTGTACAATACGGAGCTCCTGTAGGATTTCCCGATAATAAGACGCCGTTCTCGACCATAGGTGCAAGTACGAATGGTATGAGGCTTTTTTGCGTCTACACACGTTTTGGCAAACGCCTTGATGCCATTGCGGTGAGATATAAAGATGCTTCACCTTATCCTTATGTTTATGGCGGTGATGGCGGTAGATACGCTGAATTCTGTATTGATGACAACGAAATCATCCAGAATGTCACCATCCGGTCTAATAGCAAAGCTATTGTGTACTTGAGGTTAGATACCTCCCTAAGCCGCGTGCTTGTGTTAGGCACTCCGAGGGCAGAGGAGGATTTGGTATTTTCAGCACCGGACGATATGGAACTGAATGGCTTTTATGGCTACAAGAATCACGAAGTTAAATCACTGGGTGTCATTTGGTCAACTTGTGGTTGTCAAGAGAACGGCTACGGTGGCTACGTTCCAGGTACAGTACATGATTAAGTTGAGTTTGTGGGGCTCGGTCTGTCAATCCTTGATAGTATTCATGCTGGAGTGAAAGAATCGCTTGGTTCTTAGTACACGATCAATATAAACATAGAATAAATTCTCATGTGTCAGTCTTTTGTGTTGGTGCTGATGACTTGGTTAGAACATTCATCTTGTTTCTTTCATATGAACACTAGATGCACAGAAGTAACGATACGCTCTTAACATTCGAGTGGAAAGAAACTAGTACAATGGGTAAAGATCATAACCTCGTACGATTTGACATTTGGACGAGCTATTGAGACGTCAATCCGTTTCCGTTCATCACGATCGGTAGCATTTATGTCATCAAGACCCCATCATACATGCAACGTAGCTTCAGAGGTCATCATTGTTAATACACTTCGCCATTGGGTTCTCACCCAAGTGAGAAAGGTCTTACGTGCACGTTGGGGCTAAAGGAATTAGCCCCGTTACAATGCTACGATGATAGGCATTACGCTAGTGTTTCAGTCATTCTAATTAAACGACAGGACTAATGCAAGCAATGACAGGACCCAAACCATGCCCGGTGTCAGGTCTTGATCACACTATCGGAAAGATATTATGAACCCTTGCATATCATTCTAGAGTCCAAACAGATACGTGGCTTGTGCTGTCCTGTATCAATTCCGCGTATCATACTGATTGATGAGTAACATTTATCTCCTGACTCCATGCAAACATCACTTCAACAATGCTTCAAACAACGTCTTTTACGGTCCCGTGAACCTGAAACAGTTGCACTCCTTCCAGTCCACTTGCATGGAATGAAAAAAATGTCGATTATTTTCAGGTGTTCTCTGTGCAATTTCATGTCGCTTAAGTGTGCGAAACACCACGCAGCACGGATGAGGTGCATTCATCTAGCGCGTGCCCGTGCGAGGACGTGAAAATCCCTCTTCCTTCGACTCATCCATGTAGTCTTCTTGTTGCGTGCAAATGCGTAAGATCTCCTTCTTGCTTGACTCCTGTTGATAGCCTCCAATAAAGAGCTCATCCAGAATGTAGTACGCCTAGATTCAATACCAAAACTCATTAGCATCGCACTGATACACATCAAGAACATGACTGGCAGGATGTACCTTGTGGAAATTAAAGATAATATCCAGTTCACATACCTACACCCAAAACAACCAATACCAACAATACGGTCAGCATCTTTTCTTCCTCTTCGTCTCTCATCTCTCCTCTCATTAATTCTCCGTACATTGCCAAAGTAACGGTCAAGAATTTCCACAAATAAGTGAATCGCTTCAAGTGTGATCAATTCATTCTCATCCTTTGAAATGCATGCAATGAAGTAAAGACTTGCATATCTGTCTCAATTGTCATCATCACATTACAAAAAAAGATATAAAAACATGAGGACATCACTCCATCAATCCATCTTCTCTCATCTCTCTTCTCTCTTCTCTCTCTTCTCTCATTCTCATCATCAACTTCAGACTATGTCGCGCTTACCTCTTATAAATGATCTTTTTCTCCTTGAATTCAATAAAATTGCACTGCTTATGAGGACGAGAGAGTACGAGAGACGTGATATCACGAATCAAACGCGTCTTCTCTTTAAGTGACGCGTTCAAATACCATTTGGCAAGACGTGTCTTTCCCTGACGGCTTACAAGTAGAATGGATTCAATCTATATACAAATGGATAGAGAGAAATATATGAAGACACACACATAGATATAACATATACACAATTAAATAACAAGACACATAGACACACATACAGAGAGAGAGAGAGGTCAGGCATCTCCTTACCATGGGCGTATGGGCGAAAATTGATGTGACATTACACAAATTTGTCCACTCTTCACCATGATGTGGACCACATTGTACAAAACCATCATGTCGCGCGTGGTAATCAAATTTGATGTGTCCATTAAAGCTATGGTACCTGCAAAAAGCGCCAAGCTCCTACGCTCCATGTTGCAATGCTATTTCTTTCTTACTTCTTTCTAGCGAACTCGATTCTGTAGCGTAGTGAGCATTGCAGACAGCAAACCGCCTATAAGAACACCTAAAATCTCCTCCTTGTGCTCTTCAATCACCAACAAAAAGCTCTGCACCGACGTTGGCAGCTGTTTCTTCCACGCACCAAAAGAGTAACGACGCAAGACGTGGTGACCAATCTCATCGGGAACTGAGACATCGTGACATCCAATGTGCTGATAGTGCACACGTGCCACTGCCTCCATTAATGCCTTCTCAATATCAGCGTCTTCCTCTTGTCGCGTGATGGAACGCTCATCTGTGTCCGTAATCAGAAGCACCTCATCGAATCGAGAGTGTAGCTCGTTAGCAATCACCAGATGCATCGCGTACTTTGATATTGCCTGCTTTGCCTTTTTACGGAGAACATCCCAGTCTGTTTCGAGTTTAAATGACACTACAAATGATTGCGGTGCCCATTTGTGACGCAATACGCCCAGCATTTTGGGTACTTGCTGTAGTGTCAACTGAAGCGAACCTTCTCGCGACTGGATCTTGTGTTCCGACAAATCAGATTGTGGTATGTAAAAGTCACTGACTGCTGCTGCCAAGAGAAACAACGCACGCTCTTTCCAAGGCGCTACACACATTGCCACCATCCGTAATATGAAAAAGTAGTCGTCTACAGACGTGAATGGAAGTGTCAACAGCGTATGACTTGCAGATACCTTCCGAAATTCATTGACAGCGTCCACCACATTCTTCTTTGCTGTAGTATCTTCTATCAATAGATGAATCTGTTGCTCTTGTATGGTGTCAATACTAGTCGACACGTTCACATGCTGCAGAAACTTCACATCCAGCGATGAGCACGTCGCTCTTTGTAAGTGTCGAGCAAAAGGTGCAATGGATCCAGGTCGATATATGTAAATGACAGCATATCCAAGACCCAATAAGTACTCGACAGAAGCAGCACCTCTTGAACCAGTAGAGAAATTATCCAGGAAGCGCACGGTATTGCGCTCAAGCGGAACGGTAGTACCACCAGATGTCACGACTGCTACACACTTATTCACAGTAAGATTATGATTCAAGAATGTCTCTACTTGTTTACGACACTCATTGGACCATTGAGGTGCCAATGTCTTGCGAAAATACTCTTCCGTCTCGTGCTGATCCACTGCATTTGATGCAATCATTTCGATAATGTCACAACTGACAGAGACCGTCGAATTTACGGTGGGTCACACTAACAATAATAAAAGCTGGCAAAATGTCATGTGAATGACATGTCACTAAAGCTGAGATCCGTGTACTTATCCATAATAAGTGTATCATGGAGAACTCACTACCTCCTATTACGACACGTGCTTCTCTACTCTCTGATGCAGAGCTAGAACTGTTACAAGCACTAGAGGAAGAAATTGCAAGAACGGAAAAACAGCAACAAGAAGAAGAAAAGAATCAGAAAAATCCGTTTCTTCCTGACAAAGAAGACGACAATTATGATGAATCAGACGATGAATAAGATTTAATGGTTCATTTCACTTGTTCCAGTGATGCTAGTTCTCTACAACCACTAGATGTAAATGGTCTTGAGTAGTATGAGTGATTTAATATATAATACAGCAAGAGACAAGTTCCGAATGAGCTTGTCAACATTGTCATCGCATTCCAATACTTCATCTAATACAGACACATTTTGACAATCAATAGGTCTACGGTATAAAAATCACATTGTTTATTCCTTAAAAAGAGCCCATTTTTTGAATCCCAGATATTACCCATTTTTTAATGGATACTTAGGTAAAACCACATTAACAACGCATGCTCGTTTTCGCTTGCGTCTGAAATCAGTCACAACGCTCTCTTCGATCATTATGACGATTACTAAGCGACGTAATGTCGTGCTATACTTTGATTTAAACCGTACAATTCTCATGTCAGATGTTGCTGGTGGTCGTACGATAGAAAATACTGTAAATTATTTGCTATCAGAATGCACATGGGGCTATGTGAACCCTTTACGTCCATCCGAATGGATTTGTGTCTCGGATACGTCGTCTATTGGGCCTCCAGCTATTGATACTACTACATTACCCCTCATTACATACAAAAAGTTTGTAGATGATGTCTATCCGTATCAACATTTGGCAACAAATGCTCCAGGAAGTGATATTGATCGCATTAAGGCCGTTAACCAAGCTGTAAAGAGGAAACGGACGGTCTTACAATCAGCATTTACAGGTGGAGAAAATGCTCCTGGTTATCGCGTTCGACGGTCATTTGAAGAGGTGATGCAAAAATTGCAATTCCCACAAGGAAAACAACGTCAAGCTGCCAAGCGCTTGGCGACGACAATGCCCAAATCCAGACTACAGGACGCGTGGAGTGAAGGACGGTACCATTTGCTGCCATCGTTTTTGCACTTTTTGTCTTACTTGACGTCGTCGAAAGTGATGGAACAGGAGCTGAATGTAAAGCTTGTGTTTCGCACTTTTGGTGATGATATTGTGGAAGTTGCACGGGAATTGGATCTCTTCGTGGACGGTCAACACCCGATCGGACTTCCGGCACTACCTGAACATTTCCGTCTCAAGCTAGAGCCAAGTGCTTGTAGTCTTGCTACGTTCTACCGTGATGGGTTTGGAGCCGATGGCACGGCTTTAGCGTTGGGCACGCTCACCAAAGCGCCCTTCTCTACCAAGCTCGCGGAGGAAGGCGCCTGCGCGCCAAACAACTTCTACGCTGCATTAGACCAGAAAGTGAAGGTTGTTCGTGGTTTTCAGTCTATCCAAGAGGTGCTTCAAGATATGCTTCAAGGCGCCAGCACACTAGCATTTCGTGATTACTGGGAGTGGTGGAGTGCTCACGCCGAGGACGATCAGTGCGGAAAACTGCTGCTTGTTGACGAAGAGAAGGCAGAGAAGAACGGCGATATCACTATCTTCTTTGACGACCACATCGAGGCACACCACGCGCACATTGTGGATGTGCGTGACGTGCGTTCAGGAGCCCCTGTTGACTTCGAAAAGAGTCGTGGCAAGTACCTTCAGCGGGTGGAGCCTTTCGCGGCCATCACGGACCCAAACTACTTCATCTCGCTGTTCGACAAACTGGTGACGAAGCAAATTTGTAATGGTGTAGCTTGACCATGTCAAGATGACTTTTTAGTAATGAGAAACATGATGTGAGATACCTGACACCTTGCTACTAATTTGATTTGTTTGCACATGCTTATCGCTTGCGAGAACCTTTTTTTCGAGCCCTTGACTTTAACGCTGTTTTCTTCTTCTTCAAAGCCGGTTGTTCTTCCTCCTGTTCGTTTTTTTCCTTTTTCTCCTCTACATCATTCTCCTTCTCATTGGTGTCGTTGCCTTCTTTTTCCGCGGCCACGTAAAGAGCACCATTACTTCTGTGATCTTCTTCGTCACCTATATTAGCACTATCTGCGGCAGCCGCCGCTGCAGCCGCAGCTACCCGTCGTTTTTGTTGACGCGAGCTGATTCGTGTTGCTGGCAGCGAAGGACGGCGTCTGCGTGTCTGTGTGTGTTTTGCTGGAGACTTGGACGTTTTACTTTGTTCACGTGACTTTGTGTCTGCTTCAGAAGCAGAAGCGTCATGACTTTCTGATCCACTAACTCCTTCACTTGCTGAGGCAGCCGACACAGATATGACGCGTGTGCGTTTTCGAGAGTTGAGCGAGGAGGGAGAAAATGCAACAGCAGCAGTGCCATCACTGGCACTACTTGTGCGTTTGCGAATTCGCGTCGACGCGCGTGAGGGTGACAAAGCTTCAAAGCCCAAAGATTCTCCGTTGACTGCCTTGCTACTCGAGTCGTGACCACCTGAAGCAGCGACCTCCATAGCTTGATCGTCGTTTTTACCTGCGCTACCGTCCTCTACCTTTTTACTTAGCATCGATTCCTCATTACAAGCAGTGTTGCCGTCTCCTTTACCAGCTGCGGCTTCCTCATTCGCTTCACTTATCTTTTGCAGCAGAATAGCCTCCTTCTTTACGCTAGTTTTACGCAGCGTCTCCGTAAGCGTCCTCGCAAAATGCAGCAGTTCCACACCTTTTCGTCTCGCTTCAGGCTGCTCGCGCTGCTCTGCATCCGTCACCACATGCTGACAAAAGAGATAAACCTGTTCTGCAAACTGCGCCCACTCGCAAATGACGCCACTTGTCACAAGATCCTGAATCTTTGCTAAATCGACTTGTTCCTTGCCCTCCTCCTTTCCAACCATACTTTCTCTATCTATTTTTGTAAACATGGCTGGATCCACATCTTTACTCCTTGCCACTGACACAATTTTTGACAATACATCCAGTAACATATTCTTCCGTAATGTCTTCAAACTCGCCATGGCAGCCTCTGCTTTCTCCGACCTCTTTTCTTTCACGACAACAATCTCTACCACCTTTTTACCCTCTTCATCTCCTTTTCTCTCCTTTACTTCATTCTCCACACTCTTCTTCTTCTTCTCCTTTTCTGTATTCTCTTTCATTTCTACATCCTTCTTCTCTTGAGCCGTATCTCCTTCTTCTTTTACACCATAACCCACTTCCATCTGCTCCTTTTCCTCTTTAGTAGCAGCATTTTCTCTAGGAGATGAAGCATCTGTACCATCACTTGCTGACTGTGACGCGTTGTCGCCGTCTGGATCTTCAAACCTTCTTCTTGGTCTCGTCCTTGGACGTCTTCTCTGTCCTTTCGCTTGCTCTAGCACTGCATGTTCAGTATCCTTTACACCTCTATGCTCCTCCTCCTCCTCATCCTCACGTTTTTCTTCTTCTTCTCGTTGTTTTGCGGCTTCAAAGCGATCCACAAGCGCTGCTAAGTCCGAAACAATCGACGATGGTGCAGGAGTCCAAAGCGCCAAGAGAGGAGCAAATTGAGCCGTTGGAAGAGGTGCTTCTCCTGCAGCAATAGAGACTGCAATTTCCACTAGATCATCATCTTTCTCTCCTGCACAGAGCGCTGCAATCTCTGCTTCTAAGTACGCAATCGCCTCATCTAGCTGTGGCTTCGCCTTCATGACGAAAGGAATATCAAAAGATTGCCAAATAAGAGGGGTAAATTGCCCAATGACGAAAATTACAGAATGATGGTGGCACGAAACATGGCTACATTTGTGCAACAAACATCTTACCCACGAAAAACGCCCAAGAATGATTGTCAAGGTCGTGTAGCAAGCACAAAAGGATTAGGATTTTATAGCGGTAAAACTGCTTATTAAGGATAAAAGAAAACGTTTCTATCATCGCGTCAAAGTACATAGCACTAATTCGACATTGCTTACAGTGTCACTGAATCGGGCCGAATGATGGTGTCTCCATCATGCGATTAAAGTAGTATTGCAACTAACAAGTGTGTGCCTCACAAATTCGGTGTTCTTGGTCAGCGTCGATACTATTCATAGTGAAAGGAAGATGGACTAGCTTCTTAGGGCAACATGAACAAAGTAGCTTGTCTTCATAAGTCTAGCGCACGGACTTCATCCTTTTGTTCAGACACGGACACCATGCTGTTTGTTTGTTGTTATTGTGCACTTGGAATCATCGTTTTAATTGAGTAACCGTGTGCTTATCGAGTCATGCGTAGAGCTTGCATTTAACGGATCGCATAGAGGAACTACAAAACCATGCAAACCACTCGCAAGGACCAAATGACTTTGCCATGATTACTGCAGAATGTGCCATCGATTCTGGACCAAAGGATAAGCATAGGCTCAAGCAGGTTTGCTACATTGGTAGTGAACCAACAGCCTCTGTCCATCCAGAACGATGTGAAAGGTGCTGGAGCGATGCTGAAGCAAGACAAAGTGGGAGAATGGAGTGCATGAAATAGCACTGCGTGCTGACGAAGCTGAAGTTACAAGGGCAAGAAGACGTGGCAACGACCACGGCTGAGATACCATCACAAAAGGGGAAGGATTTGCAAAGGCAACAGCAGAAGGTAATGCGTATTGTATGGCTGACATATATATTGCTGTGTGGCACATAGCCACGACCGACCCAATTGTAGTGTGTCATAGTACCATGACATTCTTGACCGCCCCAGAGTGAATGTCAACTTCAACTCGTGAGACATTCGTTTCAGTGTGGTACACACTTTTACCCATTCCGCATTCGTTTTGTGTTCTCTCTATTTGGCTTCAGTATGGGTGAAATGTTCCTCCATGGCTTAGCCACTGACATGGAACAAACACAGCGCGCACTGCCGCCACACTGTTTATTTTGCATACCTCAACCTCGCTCTCTCCTTGTAGATGAAATGATCACCCAGGACGTGCTCTACTCGCACTTGCTTACACCAATAAATATCGACGACGAGCCGAAGCGACGTCTTGGCGAGTATCGTACTTTCAACGGTACGAATAATTACATAATATTATCCGGATACATATTCGGTTTTCGTCAGAGTGATGGTCACTTCAACTTGTTTGTATGTTTGAGTAGGCAAGCAAGTTGTGGTCGTGGGGTCCCACGTTCATACTGGAAAGGGCTTTCATGACCGTAGAAAAGTGAGGATCTTGGTGTCCGAGAAGAAAGCGATTCAGCATCAATCTGTGACCGTGTTGCACATCAGTCGACCTCTAGAAGGTGGCATTAATATACCGGACGATCCATGTGCGATCGATATTGCTACGTTTAGAAAGTATACGGCCATTCTGCGGTCGTTTCCTGAGAATGAACTGGTGTTTTACCAATTGAATGAAACAATTAACCAAGTACACAAGATTTGTGCACAGGATCAGGTGTATGAAAGGTATAAAGAGACGCTGCCAGCAATTTTAAGAGAAGAATGGGAAATTGCAGTGGATGAGTTGATCCAGGCTGGAAGTTTTGATGATATTGACCAGGATGATCGACTGCAGAGGATACATGAAGGAGGAGAAAGCCATTTACTACAGCTTCGACAGGTCGTCGAGTGCTATTTAATGGAAAGTCTGCACGACTTGGTCTTTCCTAGAGTCGTAGCAAGCTGTCAGGATCAGGACAAGAAGCTGCAACATGTCATGCATCGCATGAGGTACTATACACCAGAAGATTTCGGTCTTCGCAAAGAGTTTCAGGTAATATGGAATGCTGTTTGTGCAACTGGCAAAGTGATATATTTCTTGAGTCTTGTCTGTGTAGTGCTTTGTGTCAGAAGCGCGAGATACGCTGCTTACTATTGTCGAGAAGAAGACACCACTGGATATGCTATTAGTTTTTAAGACTTGCATCGATCAAATTAGTGACGCGATTAGTCGGAATGTCAAGTTGCGTCAATTAGATTTCGGTATAGAGTGCTTGTGATACTTACAATGCGTATGGATGGATTCCTAATGCACGTCAATGTTTGTTGTTGCAGAGGCGTACCAGTTGACAACAGATGACATATTGGACCAGCTCTTATTTGTCTTATTGCAGACGTTTAACCAAGTTACGCGCCGAGTGATGGAAGTGAATGCATGTTTAGCATCACCATTTCCGATTGCAGCCGTAATAAAGTATATATCAGACTACCACTTTATCAATTCAAACACGACAGCGCTAGGCTTTACTATGGCAAATTTTCAAGTCGCGGTCGAGTATTTTCTTATGCGTGGAGATCACGAGGACGACTGCAAGGACTGTTTGGAGCTTGCTTTGCAAGACGAAAACGCTGGAACTCAATGCTTGCAGATGATTGCTGAGTCGAAATGCGCTCGGGCTGCACGTAAGATTCGGCGAGATTTTAGGAAGTCTTTGGCAAATGAGGAGCTCGCACGACGAGATACAGGGACTGAGACTGGACAAGAAGGTACATATTCTACCAGTCTTGGATCTACTGGTGACGTGGTGTCCATCAAGAGCTTATCGATAGTTGGTGAGTGGTCTTTGCCTACTTGTGATGAGTACGAAGTGGAAAACGACACTTCATCAATTGGCTTGCTCAGTGTTCACCCTGTTGAATTCGTTATTAATGGAGAAGAATTTGCGATGAGTGACACCAATATACGTCAAGTAAGCGGTGGGCAACGATTCTTTGCTTCGGTTATGGAAGACGGGGCATTGTTTACGTGGGGAGACAGCACCGGTGGCCGTTTGGGATACGCTCTTGCTGATGGAGATTTGCGACGGGTAAATTGTCCACAGCGTGTAGTCGCCTTAGAGCAGCAAACAATCACTCAGGTGGCTTGTGGAGCTTTCCACACGCTGGCGACAGATCTAAATGGGCATGTTTTTGCGTGGGGTAACAACTCCAAAGGGCAATTGGGATTTCTGTCACCAAGCGCGTCGGCCTTGTTTATAGCCGTGGAGACACCGTCAGTTGTAGAAGATCTTCGAGGGGTATACATGAGTTCTGTTGCGTGCGGTGAGTACCATTCCTTGGCCCTCTCGTCCGATGGCTGTGTATTTTCGTGGGGCTGCAATAAGTACGGCAAGCTTGGTCGTGCTGCGGAGGGCTTGCTGGAGATGACGGTAAGTTTTCAATATATGCGGGCCGACTCATTTTGGTTCATGATAACAGTGTTGGGATCATATGCATGTTACGATAGCAACCTAGCCTGATTGATGCAGACTGGACAGGATGGCCGACGGACACGAAGTCTAGGAGAGGGAGTAGAGTAAGAAGCGTTGTCAGCCGCATCGCCGCAGGAAAAGATCATTCACTAGCCATTAGCAGTGATGGAGCGGGCTTTTCATGGGGACGCGGCGATTCTGGACAGCTCGGACACGGCTGCTACATGGATGTCAGCGAGCCAATGCAGATTATGGCTATCTCAGTGGCCGTAAGGGGCACCTCTAGTCTGACAGACGTTGCCGGTGGGAATGATTTTTCAATCTTGTTGCTCAAGAACGGAACAGCTTACATTTGCGGACGGGACCCTTCATTAGATACTAACAAGCTGTTTCTCTCACCAACACTGCTGTCACTTCCATCTCAGCTGGAGCGTGAGTTCTTCGCGCAGATTACTGCAGTCTCTTGTGGCGAAATGCATTATGCTCTCTTGGCAAAATCTGGAGCGCTCCTAGTCTCTTTTAAAAACTTTTTGCAGCCATCATCTGATGCCGGATCGACAACCGCCGAGGTACAGGAGCGGCATATAACGTGGGTAAAAGAGGCTGGTACGGTGCGTCAAATGGTTTGTGGCACCTCTCACACAATCATCGTTGCCTAAAAGCAAGTCTCTGAACTTTTTCGACGTCTGGTTCCAGCTCCATCGCAAGATGACGAAATATGTGACGTGGACTCATAGTCGGAACACAAAAGATTAACGATCGTCATTTTTGCTCACACATTTCGCGATAGGGGATGACGTACTAGGTTTGTTTGGACACTGCCGGTACAGAGTCAATCATTCGGGTGGACGACATATGAATTTGTAATCTCGCCATTGTCGCATTGGGGCAAGAGGTGCATTTATATAATGTGACTAATTTTACGATGTACGCTTTTTTTTTGCAAAGAAAAAGATAGTGTGTTCTGATACGTGAAGAAGAACGCTGGCTTGCTCAGGACTTGTGCATTTAGCTCATATCCACAAATACTGCACTACCGTGCTTTTTTACTGGCTTTACTTTTTGCTACATATTGGCGCAAGGAATCCTTTGATTTCTGGATTCTATTGGTTCTATTTTTGAATTTTTGGGAGCTACAGTCTGGACGGGATATTATTTCGTCTTATTGATCGACCGCCAGTTGTTATCGACCCCTTGTCGTCTCGCCACTATGATTTGTAAGTACTTTCTTTTTGTTTGACATGTAAAGACACTGCTGTTGATTCAAGTTTGTCGCGTTACAACTTGATTGGCATTTTGTATCAGACTGAACGACGCAAAGTTAGATGAGCACCAAACGTTTTACCGTTAATCCCTTTGATGACTTGACTTTGACGGATGAAGACCGTATGAAGCTTGTACAAGTTGTTGATAAACTAGCGCTTGCTAAGTTTGCAGAATATGAAGAACATTTAAACAACAACAAGAAAGTAGATCGTTCTCGGTGGAAGAAAGTCTCAACGTCGGGTACTACTGCAGCGTATATGGAACGGAAGAAGTCCAATCCGAATTCGCCTCTTGCTGAGATGTTATTTGTCGGGCCGCTCCCTGGGACTTTAGATGAAAACATGTTTGGTTTTATCAATCCAACCCTTGACTCAATGCGAATCAATGCATCGTATCTGAATAATTTCAGTGCTGCCGCTGTACTGGCTACTATTGTAGAGCCAACAGTAGACGATCCATTTCGAGCGGTAGTGGTCAAATGGATGGAGGTTGATATCCCTGGTGCCTCCTTTGGAATCGTGTGGAATCGTGACTATGTCTTTGTTGAGGGATCGGGCATTCTGTATCTTAAGAATGGAGAACGTGTCGGCTACCACGTCTACCACTCTGTCAATTTTCGCGAAACCCACGAGCTACCGAACAGAGTTCGTGGTGACATGTCGCTCAGTGCTATTTTCCGTCAAGAAGGTGGTCGAACTGACTGCCGCGGCACGGGCATTCTGGCTTTAGGAGGTGAGATTGTTTCTAAGATGGCTGTGATGAAGATGGCTCAGTCGGTAATGTCAGGCATGAAGTACTCGTACTGCGGCCAAATGAAAAAGTTGGCGTGGTTGTTGGAGCAGAATTATACAGAATTAGGGAACCAAAGTGCTTCAATTGTTGAGCATCACTGTGTGACGTGCTCCAAGTCTGTGAAAGGATCTTTATTTGGCAAGTCAAACACCACATGCAGATTATGTTTTGGGGCATTATGTGGATCGTGTAAAGTGTCCAAGAAACTGAGCTTCATTTCACCAGATTTGGAGCTTTCCCAGAGAAAGGTGAGCTTTTGTGTCAAATGTTTGGTGGAAGCATCTCGCGTGGACACGCTCGAAGTTGCTCGTCGCCAATTGATCTACAAACTATCTGTTCAGCCGGATGCCTACTCTGCTTCTCTAGCTATCACCTATACGAACTCGTGCTCAGATGAAAGCTCATGATGATCAAGAAATTCGACATTCCATAGCAATTTTCGAATATACAGAGTCTGTAACACTTGTGGGAAGGAGACCTGGATTAATATATTTGGTACTAACTACATCACCATTCTAACAAGTGCTTGACACGTTTTGGTCATTCATTATCTGTGACGGATTGTAATATTAACTCTATCACAATATTGTTTTAAAAGAGACATGCTATATCACAGGTAGCAATTGTTATATTGTTTTATCCTATAATGATAACAAAAAATAATTTTTAACACACGCAAATAGATACAAATAATTATTGTTAAGTGCTGACAATAAAATAAACCTCAACTTTCTGAAGTAGAACAAAATGGACAAAAAGACCGGCCAATTAACGTCTGCTCCATCTCTCAAACCTCTCCATATAACGCAACCATCCATCGTTATTAACAACCGGTCGTTTAATACTGAATATAAACACGAGTACGACAGTCTATTAACTCGTAATCGTCTGAATACAAGTCCAATACGTTCATTTCCAGCTAATAACACCAATCTGGAGCAAGGAAGACATGCACCTATTGTCCCAAACGACGCTGATTGGCAGGTTTTAAAGGTACTTCAGAGTCCGTTTTGTGTCCCTACACCCCATCAATTGGAATTAGTGCAACTTAAGCACGTGAATTATGGTGTCCGATGGACAAATGTCCACGAACTCGAGTCGCTGGAGCCCAAGTGTCTAGTCGGACCTCATTGGCATTTAATGGTCATAACGTGGTTTATTCTTTGCTTCTTGACGTTTGTAGTAAACGTCTTGACATTTGAAAAAGCGACACTAGTCGAAGTATTAACAGGTGGTTTTCTATCAGCCATGTGTTTGGTTTGTTATGCTCTTGTAGGATGCAGTAATCCAGGTATTGTTACAAGGTATGAGCTATTTACTATTGGATCATTGGAACAAAAAAGTGAGATTTATCTATTTTATATACAAGGACATTAGTACTGATGTCCTTGTATGTATATTGCTAGAATTACCATGCCTCTAGATGACACTTATACATACTGCGACTATTGTGATTCGTATCGACCAGAAGGGTGCGAATAAATAGCCCATGTGACGTCGGTGATTTGGTGCTTTTTTTGTAATTGATGTGGTATGTTGTGGTTACAGAGCTTTGCATTGTATGGATTGTCGAGTGTGTATTGAAGAATATGATCATCATTGTCCATGGACGAGTAAATGTGTAGGCAAAGGGAACATCCGTTACTTTTACGCATGGCTTTTATTTCTAGTGCTGGCGTTTGTTTACGAAGTTATCGAGTTTGCAACGTATTTGCTGCCACCCGATGGTCCAGAAAGTTTCTTAGATTCATCGGATGACTCTTTGGAGATAATTTTCCCCGTTATCACACCCATCTCACATTTGTAAGAACGCTCCGATGTACACAAACCCAGCGGCGTTGCAACCGTAGTTTCCTCGTCACCGTGAGCTCTACTCCCCAGAAGATAGTCTTATCGTCATAGCCATTTGTCCATCACGGACAGAAATTGCAGAGAAAAGCCATGGACTACTTCCAATCAGCTATGCCGGACTATTTTGGGACAATTCCGTATTCGCGACATCCTACATCTGAATGATAGCTTTGTTTGTACCATCGGATCGAGTATTGCCAGCTACACGCCATTTGCGGTTCTTCATGAGGCATATCCGACACACTCATATTTATGAATTGCCAAGGCGTTCAGCAGATATGACATGGTCGTATAAATTTCGAGGCAAGTGTAACGAAACGTTGCTGAATTTACGTTGGTGTCGGTATCACGGACTTTGTGAAGCCCGATGCTGACGCTGCAGCACCTGATTCCAGCATGGATTTTCTTAATACCGGCGGTGTTCTCGGCGCCGACAGATACGACTGCAAGGATGCACTGTCTGCAGATGACCCCGATTCTCTTACCACATTTCCTGACGATGGCGGCGCAAGCAGATACCTCCATTTGCTAGCAATGCGTAGCTGCCAAATGAGGAACGCTATAAACGACAGTGATGAGATACTAAGCGACGTGGCGGTGGACATGTAGAACTGGACCCACGAGACAGCTCCTAAGTAAAGGAAGAAAAAAGCGACGCCGAAAAGCATGAATTTGTAGGCCGTCATCTGCTCCTTTTCACAGCGGCTTAGCCACCAGTAACTAAAAGGTGAGTCCCATTCCAACTGATTGATTTCCATACTTCGTACACTGTCTTCAAGCGTGTGAGCCGCGTATCGCGTCACGGCGAGTTGCAAGTTTGTGCACATGACGGCGCAAATGAGCATTGTCACACACACCAATGTGCCCGATACGGTGTAGAGGAACAATATAGACGCATGAAGATTATCCGGTACGCCCACATTACACATGGCACTTACTATAAATCCACACAGCAGTGTTGACTGCTCAGAAACGGTCGAAAGTTGTTCAGCACGAGCTTCACACACAACGTGCTCACTCTGCATCTTCTCGCGTCGTAAAAAACGCTCCATATCTGCAATACGCCACTGATGGGCACGTACAATATCGTCGTTAAGCCATTGAATCTCCTGCTCTCGATACGCCATGTCTTCGTCTCGCCACTGCTTTGCATTCCGTAGATCATACGACCCAAAGAGAGCGTTCACGACGGTACTTGCCATATTGGAACGTGTTGTGACGTGTTATGGCTTTTACTTTGTTAAGTATACTGTCGACCTTGTCAGATTATCAAGTATATTTAGTATCTACCACGCAGAAGTATTTGCCTGTAGGATTTAATACCTGTACTTGTATAATATTTCTTGATAAATGGATGATTATCAATTTCGATCAAATATCTGTGCAAGTAATTTGAACCGGAGCATCATCACCACTTCATGAAAATAGTCCGTATTAATGAGAACATCGTGTACAAGATTAGCAAACCAAGATATACAATAAATCCCATCTGCACATACGCTTATACTTACTTTTAACCGATCTGTACACCATATCGAGGCTTCCACGAATCCCTATCTTTCGACGATACATTCGACACCTCACCTTTGTCTCAAAACCACTAGCAAACTTGTTGATGGCTTTACAACTACCATCAAGCACTTTTGATTGTCTATCTGCACTGAAATTTCAAAGAATGATGCTTGCTTAGTTGTTTCAATTAAGCTAAACAACAGCAGTAGTGACAATTTTGGCCAGATCTTGTTAATCGAGCACAACTAGCCAACCCTTTCGAGAGATGTTGAGCAATACCCCACACGTCATCTGATTTGAGAGATAACGTGTTTCTCTGCCATCCACATGCGATTTTGTAATACGTGATCTATAGTGCTGGATTACGTGAGTTACGACACTCTTTGTAGTGTAGATGCATACAACACTACAACTCGATCATAAAGCTGCATGCAAATGAAGAAACAATCGAAGAAGACAAGCATGTTTGATTCTTGCTTGGACTGAATGTAGACCGATGTGCTGTTTGTTGTATGGTGACTTTCTTTGAATCGACATAACCGGGGGTGTGAAGCTCTATAGAGCTGCTACGCGCTTGTTGTAGAAAAATTAGAGTTTACCAAGTCGCACGCAAGCTCTGACTCTGCCTCGTTTAGTAGCTTTGCGTCATTGTGGTTGCTAAATATTGACCGTAGGGAGGTTATCCATACGATACCCTAAGCGTATGAGCTCTGAAGCAGCTTGTTTGAGGACGGATTGAACACTAGAGTATCAGGATCATATTCTTAAAAGTAGACTAAACACAGTAGCAAAAGAATGAGTCGTTGGACTTTGAGCTATAGAATCAAATCTAAGCTTGAAGGTCAGGACATCCATCATATCCACGACTGTCAGGTAAGTACTACTTATGCCCGTTTACATCTGGTTCAATGTTCAGGTTCAATAACGTTCTGCTAAAGCAGAGCTCTTCAGTGTGAAATTTACCGTCTGTCACTGTTGACAAGTTCGTTGAAAATGGCAGGTGGGAATCGCTTTGTTTTCAACCCGTTTCCGGACTTGATGCTGACTCGAGATGATCGTGCACGACTCACTGATGTTGCTAACAAACTTGTAATGGCCAAGTTATTGGAATACCAGGAACATCTCAAGAATCACAAGCTCGTCGACCTGAGTCGCTGGAATAAGTACAAGAAGGATGGTAGCACTATGATGTACGTCGAACGGAAAAAATCCAATCCAGAGTCCAGATTGCCGGCTTTGCTCATGGTCGGTCCGTTACCGGGATCTCTGGAAGAAAACATGTTTGGATTAGTAAGTCCGACAATCGAGTCGATGCGGATTAAGTCGTCGTACCTGAAAGACTTTAATGCCGCTGCAATACTGGCAACAATCATGGAACCGACAGAGGAGGAGCCGTTTCGCTCAATCGTGGTGAAGTGGATAGAGATTGACATCCCTGGCGCGTCAATCGGCATTGTTCGTAACCGCGATTATATCTACCTTGAGAGTACAGGTATTATGCAACTTGACAATGGCGATCGCGTGGGTTACCATTTGATGCATTCGGTAAGCTTCGCACAGGCTCAAGACCTTCCGAACCGCGTACGCGGCAATATGTCGTTTTGCGGCATATTCCATCAGGAGGCACCAGGTAAAACAGACTGTCGTGGCACGGGTATCATGGACCCTGGAGGTGACATGATCCATATCCTCGGCATCATGGGCATGGCTCAAGCCACCATGGCCGGGCTTAAATACTCCTACTGCGGTCACATGAAGAAACTCACGTGGCTTCTTGAACAAAAGCACGCTGAGGCAAGAGAACAAGACACACCAGCATTTTCACCCGAATGTGTAACGTGTAAAAAGGAGGTCAAAGGACGTTGGATAGACGAGTATGGAAAGTCTAACAACACATGCAATCTGTGCTTCGGGACTGTGTGCACGTCGTGCAAAATTTTCAAGAAACTGAGCTTTATTGCTTCCGACCTGAAGTTGGTGCAGCGCAAGATCAAGTTTTGCACTCGGTGTCTAATTGAAGCAAATCGCATGGACACAGTAGAGGCAGCACGCGTGCAGTTTGTGCACAAGCACGTAATGACGCCTAGCATCTATGATTATTGGGAACGATACTCAAACAAGAGTGCGCTTCTGGATAGCACGATGGACACGAAGAGAGGATAGAAGACATCGAGTCGCTTGAAGTAGTAAGCTACATGTGTCTTTTCAAGGAGCTACTTCACAAGTTGTTTTTTGCGTTGGCAAGTTCATTCATTGTTAGATCAAAGGATCGACCGGCCGAATCAATACAGATCAATGTACTGAATGATGAAACTCAAAGACGAGAATAGTGCACTAAGCAATCAGAACATGCCAAATGCCCACATGCATTGACAGGGTTTGATACTGTCAAAACGCCTTGAGAATAACTAGATTAAACGTGTATTGACGATGATCCATACTCAGTGCTTTATATTTGCATCACATCATTTGCCAGCACAGATTGCAATCAAGATTCGATACGAGCATTCTTGTCTGTTTTTGCTCACATCAGCTTTTCCATACTTTATCCTAGTGTAATTCATGTTACGTTGATGTCTTGCTTCGGTATGCTTGAAAACGAACGTTCGTTTCAGAATCAAACTTTCTCCAAGTCTCTCTCATTGTATCATTCGATCGTATCTTGAATCATGTCGTCTTCAAAGCTTCTTCACCTTTCTCGTGTAAGCAAAGAAGAGAATATTTGTCGTGCAATTTCATTGGAAACAACTTCATATCCTGCTGACGAAGCGGCCTCGGCCTCGATGATTCGATTTCGACAAAATCATGCAAGTGCCTTCTTCTGGGCTGCCTACCTGCAAAATACTGACCAAGACTCTCAAACCTTTGTTGGTTTTATCAATGGTACATTAACTGCGAAAGAAAAGCTGGATGAAGAGTCAATGGCTCAACATGATCCGCACGGATCGCTATTGTGTATCCATTCGGTCGTCATTGATCAAGTCTTTCGTCGCCAAGGACTAGGAGCTCAGATGCTTAAGCAATACGTTAATATTATCTGTAACTCACAGCCCCAAGTAAAACGTATCATGTTGATTTCCAAGGCTTATTTGGTGAGGTTCTATACGAGTTGTGGGTTCACCGTGAAGAAATTGTCGTCGGTCGTGCACGGGGTAGACCCATGGTTTGAGCTAGAGCTAGATTGCGAAGCTGCAAAGCTGGCAGGTATGGTTACACAGTCCCGTAAATACGGTGAGGCTTCCTGAGGCGAATAGATTGTTTCGTTTCGATCAATGCATTCACAAGTAAGGATTCACAGGCAACCCTGGCGGCAGGTGTAGTGCTTTTGCCTGCTGTATACCGCACAGCGGGTGCGTTGGAAGGGATGCAAGGTATAATTATGGACATGGACAAGCGAGACAGCTATTGTTGCAGCCGGAGAACGTACTGCCAAGACTTGGAAAGACGTTGCTGGTATGATTTTGCAATAGTTTACGCTAGGTATGGAATAACTTGAAAATGAAGTAAAGAGCTGTCCAGACATGCCACGTTTCTACGGCACTTGATTTCTAGACGGCAAACTTGTGAATCATGTCGACGATCAGTGTGTGGAAGCATACGCCGCCGACATACGTGTAAACGTGTTTGGAATCTTCACGAGTATTTCATCAAGCGATTTTTTTATCGGAAGTCCCCGAGTTCATTCCAAGCTTCAAACATGCTCACAATCACGTTGAGCTTATTGTAGCGGGCGCTCAATACCGCATCGTTCATTTGGATTACAAGCAGCCTCAACAAGCGCCACCTTGCGTACTTTCAGTAAATGACGGCGTTGCTCGTGCTGGCAATGTCGGTGACCTCTGTGTTTATGTCGCCATCACTTAAGTACCAAGTTTTTCCACTGAGCTTTGATATCTTGTCAACTGCGTAAAGCTGCAGCTTCAACGCAATGACCGGAAATAATCTTGAGGGACGTTGGGGTTGCTTGAGCTAAATTGTTGTTGTGTGGAGGTTTTGTGCAGCGCTGCTTGTAGAACCAAGGCATATCAAGTACGACACTAAGGAATGAACTACCATTGTTGTTGTTTTCAAGCAAATAGTGTAGAATAGAGTAGTTTTGACCTAGGGAACTATCGATAGATGCCACTAGCGACCACTGCAACGACCACGATGGCTTCATACTGACGTTTATTAGAGCGCATATGATAACTAACTAGCTGTTGCTGCTTCCTCACGATGCGAAAATTGCAAGCATGAAGCTAGAGACATTTTCGACCGATCAAAGAATGAAGTACTCGAGGAGCCACATGTCTTCCAGAGCAAAACTGCTGTCTTCCAATTGCATCGCTGGTGTAGCACCAGGGGACATACTTCGCGGGACCCAGTTCATCAATGAGACATTAAAGTCAACAGCTGTAGGACTCGTTGATTCAAAAACCTTTTCTGAATCAGTCATGGTCAATGAAGTTGACGCAACGTGTTCGTCCATATGTGATGCAACGATCGAAGTGAGCGGTAACGTGGTCGCAGACCAAGACAATATACTGCGTTCTTGATGATCCGGCACAACCAGAGACTGTTTCTTGTGCAACTTTTCTCGTTGAGTCTGACGCTTCTTGGCGCGATTTTGGCGGCATTTCATATCACTCCGCTTCTTTGTTCGATTCTGCTGGTTACGGTGGTGTTGACACAGCAATAGTAACGTGCCATTTGCTTTAACTGCTCGTAAATTAAGACACCGACCAGTCTTGTATCGACAACGTGTAGACCGTGCACTCGTTTCAGCATTTGGTACTACGGTGAAAGTCGAGATCGAAGCTACTACTGGACGACTAGTGTACTGCATATTCAATCAGATTGACACAACCGTAAGTTTGCTCAAGAGATTCTTTTTTAGCAAGCACTAGCTCGAAAATCTCTAAATGACCGTCAACTGGTTGTATTAGCATTGTTTTTTATGGATTCGAGCCTAGGGACGCTAGAATAAATAGATTGATTCATCAATATCCTTTGCAAATAGTAAGGAAGGTCTCAAGTGCGATAGTTCTTATGACTAGAATACATGCAGATAAAAATACATTTGACACCAAAATGTGCACGATTCATCATTCTGAAACGAGTTTTTCATATGTAACAATGGGAGAGCAGTATCATTGAATATCATCGTTGTATGATGGATTTCATAGCACTATTTCATAAACACAGACTGTCACATTCATTGATTGATTTATGAGACAGTGAGATGACGAAGCATCGCAGTCCCTAGTCATAACTTTCGCTATGTAACTACTTAGTAAGGTTATCAGGTAATGTAGTGTATATGTCAGACAGGTTTGATTGGTGTTACAGTTGAACCATGGAAACGTGTTTCTTGGTTTGGTCGTAGCTGGGACACGTAGCCATGACATCTCGCAATTACGCATGTACCATCCACTTGCATTTCTTAGTTCTGATTATATCAATGGTCTACGCTCTTGTCCGACATACCATTTGATCGTACGTGCACTTTGTATCGAGTAGAGCTTGTTGTTTGAATGGTGGATAGGAAGCTATAGCAGAAACCAAATCGTATAAAACGGTAGAGTCCTCGTCTAGCACCAAAGCAGCACAATTTTTGCTGGAGATTTGTTAGGACAGTCTTGCAAGAACATGTGATATGACAGACGAGAAGGCAAGTGTATTCATACGAGTCGAACAAGGGGCCAGCACAAACTCGGGACGCTTTTTTGTCAATGCTGTTTGTTCCGTATGGAACAGACAAGTCACACACGGTGTCGCATGAGCACATAGCGACAGTGAACATGATCAATTCCAAAACAATCTCGAACGTCATTTACCAAAAAAAGTTTAGAATGACAGCTCAAGCCTCGCGACTCTCCTTTTCAAGATGCAGGTGAAATGTTTTAAATGGGTGTTCTGGGGATGCTACTAGCAAGCTTTTATCTTGGTAAGATAATCTTTTACTCGGTGCTTCTTCCAACTTTAGATGTCAATGACTATCGAATCAAACGAAACCTGAGAACAAGCGGCTTGTTGTCTACGACAGAGAACGAAAAGAACGCTGAAGACAGAGTGCTCACTTTTCCCGCTCTTAACAAATCGAAGCAAACGGCTTCGTCTGTAACATCGAGGGCAGTTGATGCTACATTTAAGCTTGTACGTGAATATATCATCATATCTAAGCAGGCAAAAGCCGACGAAGTGTTCAAAGCGAATGGTTTGGAGAAAGTCATGGACGATATACTTCTTACACATGCCAAGTATACCTCGTGGAAGAACAAAGTGCTGTCAGAGTACGAGTACAATGATCCAGCCGCCTTTAAAGCGATGTACAAAACTTTAATTTTCAAGAAAGATGAAGCGAGAGTTCTAAAGATAGTGCAAGATGGCCTCAAGTCAGAAACTGGATCAGTAGTATTGTTAGCTGAAGAAATGGAGGAGGCGATGACAAAGTACTGCGTCGAATCATATCTTAAGACTTCTCAAATTTGATGACGCTAAAAAGCTGGATGAAATTGCGTTGTATGAGTGGCAGCTTTTTACAGAGAATCGAGTAGCTTCTATCTCTTTTCTGAAGGGGAATGAGGACCTGCTCGCGAGAATGACCAAGATTTATTCTGACGAGAAGCTCGCTGACATCTTCGTGGCTACCGCAAGCAAAGATCGCTTTAAAACGAACTAGTTATTTTTTTGTAATCTTGTGGTCGTTAAGTGGGCACGTGAAGGCAAATTGTCAGACAACGTTAACGAGTGGTTGCTGCATGAAAAGACTGTTAAGCCTTTGGAAATCCGTCTCTGGGTGTGGTGGGTTATGTTTGTGTTATTAAGAAGGAGAAAAAAGAAGATGTGGCAAAGGTTTTGCTCGAAAATCTGAAATGTAGCTACCCGAAACCAGACGAACTGAAAAACGCGTTAGCAACGGCAAAACGTGAGGGAAAGTATTATATCGCAGATAATTTTTCTAAGCTGTCGAAGGAGTGCTAGCAGGATTGAATAAGCAGGCGAAGCCACGAACATGACAGGAAGAGATATAGGTGTTAGAGCTCACAGCCATGAGCGCTTAAGCCTCGTCTTGTACAGTAAGTTGTAGCTCGCAGAATAACTCTCGCTTTACCCTCACTAAAGCCTAATGCATTAGCAAAGTTGTCATCATTTCTTTTCCAGTAGTAGTGTTCCGTACCAGCGTGGCCGTTTATTCGAGGGCCACAAAAGAAAGCACCTTTGTATTTCGACCCTGACTCTTTCGGCTGCCATTACCAAAACGTCTCAAGTGTTCAATCGACTGCCCTTAGCAACTGTTGCTTACGTGACATCACACCAGTCGGCTCTTAAAGCTACAATAATCGCAAACCGTCCTGTTTCCCAATGTCAAGCATTGTTGGGGTATATCGTAGATTGAATATTCAGGACGTTCGTCTTGGAAGTAGATCGTTTTCATCGCGACGTCACATAAGAGATAAGTAGCCAGAAGAAGATGACACCATTACGGGCTTGTTGATCACGTTATTGGAACGCAATCGCCTTGTCTTGTATAGCACAATAATATCTTCTCAACGAGAGCAATTCCATCTCTTTGGTCGACTAGAAAAAAGTGGATACGGTCTTTTCACACACTGGCAAATACGCTCGCCTTCCTCATCACATTCAGCATATTTCAAATCGTAGTAAAGAGAACGAAAACGTTACGTTGGTTCTCTTTATGGTCGTCGGTCCAGTCTTTTCGTATTCTTACGATTCAATCTGCTTTCCAATACTTGACTACGTCTCCAATGACAAGCTTGAAGTCGATTTCACGAATCGCAATCTCAAGTTCATTACTCTTGGTTCTTCCTCGCCGAACTTGGCAATGTCTTCTATGATTCATTGTAGTTGTAAACCGAGGTAGAAACGCACATAACACGATAGGCCAGCGCAACAATACAGCACCGACTTGTGATCACAGTCTTTCAAATGTAAAGGTGGGATCGGTATCGCAGTTACGCCTCTTTGCACGTGACACGAAGGATACTAGCAATGAACCGTGCGAAGACAAGTACAACGGACATGGCGCTTTCTTGGAATCAAATACACATGATGTTTGTGATCTTGTAGAGTGTTGCATGTTGGAATGCAGTGCGTCGGTCAACTGCCTTTCATGCGGCAAATACTTTCTCTTTCATTCGCTACAAGAACAAAGGAGAGTCAGCTGAAGCGAACAATCGAGTTTTGTGGCTCGAGAAAATGCTCTAATGACTGCGGTTGATTTGAAACAACTTGTACACGGTAGACGGGAAGTCGAGCGCTTCGATACGCCAAGTGCATGTAAATACGATCCCTGTGTATTCATCAGTGGTGAATGGTCTTCAGATTTAGCGGCTCGACTTCATCATTTAGTTCGGTCGATGTACTATCTCGAATAGTGTTTTGCGATCCACGACTACAGAGTTAGCGGCACTTGTGCTATGAGTCATTCTGTAGAAGTGCGCCACTAATCATTCTGCATTCGTTTCCATTGCACGCGGGCCGCGATGGCATCTTTGTCGTCTCTCATGTCAATCATAGTGGCTACCTTGTCTCACACTTACAACGCTAGGAGCGAGCACATGAACTACTGAACCGAGTTCGTGGCAACATGTACTCTCTGGTACTTTTCACAAGAAGTACTCGATTCAACAATGCTGTGGTAAGATTAGGCAACGTAATCCGCATGATGGCTTTGATGAGAAAAGTGTATGCATTGATGACAGGACTCATGTGGCAAAAGACATAGTCGTCATGGCTAACTCAATCAGCTGCACGCGGAAGCAAACGAATGGAGTACATTGATTCCATGACTTGCGGTGCATGACTTGTTTTGTGGCCTTCATCAAGACATTAAAGATGAGTGTTGACAAGTCTAGCAGCACGTATAAGCTGTGATTTGGCCGTCGTAAAAAGTGAGCTTCTTTGTGTCATGTGTTTCGTCGCTACCCCGCAGCGTGGAGCACTAAGAAAGTTGCGCGTCGATGGTATGTCTACAAGAACCGTACAGCGTAACGTATAGGGATTTTTCATCGCGTTTGACGCAAGTTTAAGCTTCAAAGGCACAATCGACTCATCTCCATCCTATGACACCTGGACAGCACGTAATGTCCGTTGGTATGATCTCAGTTGAACGAAATCAATATTACCAGGTTACGACGATCATTTCGTGAATGACCCTTTGAAAACAGTCTACATGTCGTGTGGAAAACAACTCGTTCAAAGCATTGCTCACTTGCAATGCTAGCTTAGACAAGATGCAATGGATTTTATCCTCAACGTAATCTCCTCGTCAACTATGCAACATGTATGTACATGGAGTGCAATAGCACAATTCGTCAATGACAGCCTGTTGGGGTTATATAGAGTACTGATGCGTTGCACAATTACATGAAGCAGTGTGTTTTGTGGCCAACGGATACCGTCAACTTCACGATATTGCACTATCTTTGAAGAATGACGCGCCATGTGTCAAACGTGAAACGATTTGATCCTGAACTTGTTGTCATAAGAACCTGTCGATACCCAGAGCAACAATCTTACTACAAATAACGACTCATCCAAATGAGCATCTGCCTTCATAGTGGTGCTTTCTTCCGTCGCCAAACCGCCAAAGTCTAGAAAATGTGAGCAGCATGGTCGAATCACTTGTTAACTTGCAAGGCTATCGTCAGTCGAAGATGGACAATCGTTTCATGATGAATCCTTTTGAAGCGCTGAAGCTTACTGCCGAGGACCGGAACAAACTCGTGGAGATCACTGATGCGATAATCATGGAAAAATTTGACGAATATGTAGAGCACTTGAGCATTGGCAAGATGGTTGATCTCAGTCGCTGGAAGAAGTTTACCAAGTCGGGACCTACGACGTCGTATCTAGAGCGAAAGTCTTCGAGTCCTAACTCAAAGCTGCCACAACTACTAATGGTCGGTCCACTACCTGGCTCTCTGGACGAGAACATGTTCGGCATCGTCAACCCGACCATCGAGTCAATGCGAATCAAGTCGTCTTACCTAAAGGACTTTAACGCTGCGGCTGTGTTAGCCACGATAATTGAGCCAACAGTGGACGACCCGTTCCGATCAGTAGTGGTCAAGTGGATGGAGATAGACATCCCGCTTGCTTCCATCGGCCTTGTGCGCAATCGAGACTACGTTTACATTGAAAGTACCGGGATCCAGCGTCTTGAGAATGGTGAGAGATTGGGTTATCACCTCTTGCATTCCGTCAGTTTTCCTGAAGCGCATGAACTTCCGAATCGTGTACGAGGCAACATGTCGCTCTGCGGTATCTTCCACCAAGAAGTACCTGATCGGACCGATTGTCGTGGAACAGGTATCATCGACCCGGGTGGTGATATGATTCGATCCATGGCCGTCATGGGTATGGTGCAGGCGACGATGGCAGGACTCAAATACTCATACTGCGGCCAGATGAAGAAGCTGGCGTGGCTACTGGAACAGAAGCAGACCGAGGGCAGTGAAAAAGGCATACCGGCATACAATCCGTTCTGTGTGACGTGCATGAAGGGTATCAAGCACTCGAGACTTAATGGGCCCATCAATACGTGCAAGTTATGCTTTGGTGCACTTTGTAGCTCATGTAAGATTTCAAAGAAGTTAAGTTTCATTGCGCCAGACCTTGCTCTTGCACACCGCAAGGTCACATTCTGCGTCAAGTGTATGGTTGGAGCGACTCAAATGGACACACAAGAAGCTGCCCGAGAGCAGTTCGTGTATAAGAAGTCAGTTGATCCATCAATTTATGGTCCATCGATTACTTCTGATATGAACACGTACTTGAAAAGCACAATGACTTCGGTGACCGAGAACTCCGATTAGTTTCATAATGATGAAGAAATCTAGTACCGACGAATTTTGTTGACTGCATTCAAGTGTTGTTGTCGTTGCCGTCGGAATCTATCAAGTCGTTCTGGACACTGGTCAGCATCGCCTTGTGGATATATGAATAAGATACATCAGCATGAGCTTCAGACAAGAGAGAAATGACTCTCTCGTGCACGAACAGGCAGTCGTAGTAGCAGGCAACACCAATCAGACACACTGCTTTGATTTTGAATTTACCTGATGTGTGCCGCATATGTGAAAGCAAAGTGGACCCGCTAGAGACGCAACCATTTCAGCGTTGCCACACGAACACGTGACCTTGCGTTTTGCATCACATGTAGAGACTTTCGATGCTGCAAACAGGTAACAGTACTCTAAACTAGTGGCTAAACCGGGACAAACTCATGTATTGATGTACATTGTTGTTCCTATAGAGCTACTGAAAGTGATAGAGTCTACTCCAGGTCGTTTTTAGAGTTAGTATATAACAGAGACATTCAAACGCTAGTTTAGAAAATCCATTGAAGCCCCCATTGGAATACTCCACACTTCGATCATGTGTGGCATTGGACTGGTGCTTACTGCTCTCGATTCTACACATTCTACGTCCGTTACGACTTTATCATCTACAGCTTCAGACGGTCACCTGTACGGTAAATCTCAAAGCCCTTTGTCCGAATTCAATCATAACTTTGAGCAAAGATTATGTCAACGAGGTCCCGATTCCTACCACAAGAGGATTCATCACATTGTATCAAGGTCTACGACAGATAAGGGATTGATACTTGCATTGCATAGTGCAGTGTTACATCTTCGAGGAAATGACTTGATTCCTCAACCTATTGAGGATTCTGATCAGAATGTCCTTTGCTGGAATGGTGAAATTTTTGAAATGGGTGGACGAGATTTCCCGTTAACCGATGCCACCGACAAAGAAGAAGACGTTGACGATGAGAATGACGTTTTAGTTCATGGGAGTGACACAGTCTTCATATCGAACATGTTGCAATTAGCAGGACGGCATGTCACGACAAAAGAAGCTCGTGATCCGGTCGTAGAAGTACTGCGTCGAGTGCGTGGACCTTTTGCAGTTATGTGGCTTCATGTCCGTACCAAAAGAGTGTACTTTGCTCACGATAGATTTGGACGTAGAAGTCTGCTATACAAGACGTGGGGCACTGATTCTTCTGGTGATATGATTGCAGAATTAGCAGGGACAGAGACAACTTCAAAGGAGTTTTTGCAAAGTGGCATGACTCGCTTCGTGCTGACCAATGTGGCGATTGGAGACAATGATCAAGATTTGATGCAGTATCAAGAACTCCCGGCGTCAGGTATTTATGTGCTGGATCTGCGTGCGTGCTGTGAGGCACTGACGAAAGATACTTTGCCGTCATACAGAATGGAATTCCATCCGTATGCACCGCTAGTATCCAACTTGCCATTAGCCATTTCAAAGACTGAAGCTTCAAATGACCTTTTCGATCGGTTTGGATGTAAACTTCCTTGTCCAGGAATCACGACGGAGACCATCGACTTGGCGACGAAGATGTTGGAATGTTCAGCACGGGCATTGCTGGTAGCGCTTAGCAATGCTGTTGGTATACGTGTGCGATCAATTCCGGTGCGTTCTTCAATTCATGAGCTCAGTTCTACCGCTCGGGTCGCTGTGCTCTTTTCAGGAGGGTTGGACTCGGTCGTACTTGCGGCTCTCACGCATTTTCATGCTCCTGCGATCGAACCTGTTGATCTCTTGACTGTTTGTTTCGATGAGAGCTCGAATTATGCATCACCTGACCGTCTTGCCGCCGAGCTAGCTCATGCTGAGCTCTGCTCGTTATTCCCAGAGCGTCAATGGAATCTCATTAAGGTAAACGTACCCCATGTCGAGCTGTCTGGAGAGCAACGTGAAATTCAAACGCTCATGGCCCCTTGCGATACGCACATGGATTTCAATATCGGTGCTGCCTTCTGGTTTCTGGCGCGTGGACGTGGTGTGCTGACAGAATCCACTCAAGCATCAGAAATGGCGACGTTGGAGGAGCTGAATGCGTTCCTCAAGCCTCATCAAGCCGATCTGTCGAAGCTAGAGGCAAAAGTGGCAGCGTTTTCATTTTTTGACGACCAGAGTGCGAATGGTAGCGAACTGTTATGTCCGGTACTTTCTTGTGGGCGGAAGCGAAAGCATGGCTGTGTTTTGCAAGTTTGCAAGACTTGCTGCTTTAGAATTCAGCGGGAAGTGAACAGGCTTATCCCACTTGAGAACCAACACGGCGAACAGCGTGAGGTCTCGTTTTCGCGTGCTAAATTGCTGTCCATGGGTGTATCTGAAGCTCAGCTTGAACGCTTGTTAGGTCTTGCAAACCAGCAAGATGAAGCATCGAACAAATCGCCAGTCCAACAACATTTCAGCTGTTGCGTGCACCGGCCAAAGCAAACGGCATTACCCATACTCTCTAACTCGACTTCGGCGTTTTCACAAAGTGATTGTACATCCTCACCATCGTCTCACTACGAAACACCTGCACGAGTAGTGCTCGTAGGCATTGGCGCTGATGAGCAGTTGGCAGGGTACGGACGTCATCGCACCACACTGATGAATGGAGGGGAACAAGCTCTGCGGGCTGAGCTGCAAATGGATTTAGCTCGGATTTGGAAACGCAACCTTGGGCGTGACGACCGCTGCATTGCAGCTCATGGTCGAGAAGCGCGTTTTCCGTATCTTGATGAGACTGTAGTAGCTACCATATCAACTTTTCCCGTTTCTAGTCTTTGCGATGCAAATCTACCTCGTGGTGTCGGTGATAAGCGCGTCCTACGACTCGTCGCCAATACTCTCGGACTTAGAAATTGTGCTCTTCTTGCAAAACGGGCAATACAATTTGGATCACGAATTGCAAAAGTTTCCAACACTGGTAGCAATCGTCAAACCCATGGAAACAAACAATTTTTGAGCACGATACCACGAAATTCAACAACACCATCAGGAAAACGACTACATCAATAACAACCAATTGAGTTAGACACAAGGAAGAACGCAAAAGTGCGACATGATATCGTTCTTTTGCATTCTTGACTACTGATACAACTTCCAATAGCTGGTTCTTCCACTGGACACTCTTCAGCTGTTGATGTCTCGGCGATATTTCTTGAATTTTTTTGAGAAAAATCCTCCAATGGCGTTGATTTTCTGTATTTTTTGAAAAAAATACTAAAAATCGAGACTTTTACGTCTCTATTTGTTGTTTGGTGCTAGTTCCTCCCAGTCCATTATTTCCAAGTGATCTTGTTGATACATCACCAGCATTGAGAGGTTCTACCTTGGTGATATCTAGCTCTTCCCATTGGTCAGAATCTGATACCATAAAAAAGCATTTTTTATAAAAAACAACATTCGAAAAAAAAGCAAAACAAAAAAAACATGGATAGATATAGATATAAATATCGCAACGCACTCTCTTTCTTCCAGCACATATAAATCATTGCATCATTTTGCACGTCATGGTCTGCTAACGTCGTTGCATCCACCAACTCTTTGCTTTCTTTCTGTGAAGTTTGATAAAAAAACACTTTTTAGCACAGAACACGACGAAAAAGCGCTTTTTATATTATACACAAAAACACATGATTCCCATGGATTATTCCAAACCTGATCAAGACCCTGCCAGAGTTGAATACTTGTAGGTGGAAGATGGAATAGTACACTTAGCTTCTCCTTAATACTTCGAATAGTATCAGTCAATTGTACATCCAAGAACACAGTCTGGTTTTTTCTCTTGATGCGAATATACGGTCCCATTATTATTGTCAAAGAAATCTTTTTTGGATGAATTGTTGGTATTGCTTTTTTGATACATACCGGTACTTACCACTATGAGTGAAGTAATTTTATGTATTCGTACATCAAGTCGCTCGATCAGCTTAATTACCAATCAAAGCGCTTCCGGATCATGCGGCCATATCCTCCTCCGCTGCGTTCCGTTCTAATGTCTCGTTTCTTAACGCGTCAAGAATGTCATGCACTGTTGCCTGTATGTCATTCTTGGTATCAATTAATCGGTGCAATCTTATATGGCACCTGTTCTCTTCTTGTATCTAGTAAGATATGTTTATTGCATTACCTCCCAAAACGAATAGAACGTCCCGAACGTTTACAAGTTGTTTTACAACGTTTAAATGAACAATTTCCATGGATTCCAGTTGAAATGTCAATACCTGAAGCTACAGATGAACAATTATTACGTGTACATGGAGAAATGTATATCCATATGATTGTTCACTTAAGTAAGAAAGTCGAACGTTCGATGAGGGCATGCGATGGATTTACAACCAAAAATAGTACTTTACCAACTACTACTTTACTAAATAGTACTTTACCAAATAGTACTGTACCAAAAAATAGTACTTTACAAAAGATGCCGATATCAAGTTTCAGAGAGAAGACAAAATTAATAGTACCTGGACACATTCCGACCGACTACTATTATCAACAAGATCAACATGTGGATATAGGCGAAGAGACAACATTGATGAGATATACATTGGCAGCAGCTAAAGTTGCAGCAGGTGGAGCTTGTCTTGCAGTGGATCGTGTCCTATTGAATTCAAATCAATGTTGTAATGCATTTTGTGCAGTGCGACCACCTGGACATCATGCTGAGAGATCTCGTGCAATGGGATTTTGCTTGTTCAATAACATTGCTATTGCAGCATTCCATGCAATTGAAGAGCATGGATTAGATCGTGTTGCTATTGTTGATCTGGATCTACATCATGGAAATGGGACACAGGATATTGCAAGTCAGGAATCAAGATTACTATATGTATCAATGCACCAAGCAGCCCCATGTTTTCCAAGCTCAGGACTTGCTGGTGAAAAAGGAAGGTATGGAAACTTGCTGAATATTCCATTGCGTGCACGATGTACGGCTCAACTGTATCGTCAGACATTTGCAACAAAGGTCTTACCGCGTCTGCGCGAGTTTTGTCCGCAATTGATCATGGTATCAATGGGTTTTGACGGGTCATTGCGTGATCCCTTAGGTGATTTTCGATTACAAGCCACTGACTTTTACTGGCTTACGAACGAGTTGTGTCAAGTAGCATGGCAATGCTGTGATGGAAAACTTGTGTCGGTCATGGAGGGTGGATATCATCTTGGAGCTCTTGCAGACGGCGCGGAACAGCATTTGTTAGCACTTGTACATGGCTCGTGTCGTCCAGATGGTCTTGCTTTTATTGAAAAGCCAAAGTGACAAACAACTTGAATAACTGTAGACGATATTGACAAGAAGAGAGCAGCACACTGATAGGAATCGATAGACGGAGATGAGGCGGATAAACGCTTGACATGCTATACACCACCACATTTGCTACATTAAGTCCGCTGTCGTGAGTGTTTACATATGTCACTAAGTACGCACAACCAATATTTTAATTTGGTAATCTTGTGATGTTAGTGTGACATACACATTTTCTGGTCAGTTGTTTTGTGGACCACCCAATTGTAAAACGACTGGCGTTGGGGCGTCTACGGGTATTTCTGTCATTCCATCAGAACGGGAGATAGGAAGGAGAACGAAAAGCGTTGCCAATGGTCAAGAACGTACGTATTACTTATCGACGTCGGCACTCGTATGCCACCAAGTCAAACGGTATTAAGGCCGTTAAGACACCTGGTACGTTGAATGCAGCAATTGTGTTGCAACATTGAAATAGTTTGTATTCAAATTCGATTGAAACAAATCGACTGAATGACTGAATGAGTGACTGGCTTTGGTATGTCCACTTACCATTTGATTGACCACGATTTTATACTTCATTGTACTGTTTGATGCTTATGTAGGTGGCAAGCTGATTGCTCAATACCTTAAGAAACGTGCTGCTGGTCCCAAATGTGGTGATTGCAAACAAATTCTAAAGGGTATTAAACACTTGCAATCAAAGGAGTACAAGAACGTGAGCAAGACGAATCGTACGGTTTCCCGAGCGTACGGTGGTTCACGTTGCGCTCTTTGTGTACGTCAACGCATTGTTCGTGCTTTTCTCATTGAAGAACAGAAGATTGTCAAGAAGGTGCTCTTGGAGAAACTCAAGAAGAGCAAGTCAGCTTAAAACCTAGGTGTGCCATTTGATGGTTAGATCATTAATCTTTCTTTAGAAGGACAATGAAAAACATCCTATTTTCCCGTATCTTGGAGAGCTTTTATGACTAGCGTCATGCAAGTTTTTCGTTCATCATGTTGTATTACGTACGATCCATGGAGCTACGATGAAGTACGATATGATGGGGTATTACTACTACTATCTTTTGTATCTCATTCAGCACCTTCCAATGGAAAAAATAGAGATAGTACTATTACTATTTTTTGGTAAGCAAAAATAGTACTTGTAACCAAGAAGAAGTATACGACGGTAGTAAGTATACGTCTTTAGAGTATACTCTCACTCTCTTTTCTTTTCTTTCTCATCTTGTTTTGTGTCTTCAACATCTCTGCGTTCTTATTGGTTAAAACTCCTCTCCATCCCCAATCTTCTCCTTCTTCTCGAAATTCAAGAACAATCCGTCTCGTTTTCTCCTCGATCATCTTTTCAACCATCCTTTTCATCCCCTTCCACCCGTCGCATCTCGCTCCAAAGTAGGTCATTGAAAAGAAGAGACACTCATCTATCCAACCGACGTCTTCTTTTGCTCGAACTCGTTCTCGTTGCTTCAAAAATCCATTCACATTGAAAAAATCACCCATGCAATTCCAAGATCGGGAATATCTCGAAACCTACCTCGTAACGCTCGTTCAACGATTAGACGTGCCTGATCTTGGATTACGTCATACACGTGTACATGAACTCTATACAGCGATTACGACCCTGAACCGACAACTCTCGGCCGAACAATTTGCCAAGGTCTTGGATCATTTGACTCCCTTACTCTACAATTTACTGCAAAAAGAGACTTGTGAAAGTGCTCAATTAGGGGCGTTGCTCGCCATGGAATCGCTCTTGGATGTATCGAATGAAGACCAATTTATTCGATTTGTCAACTATCTCCGGTATTTCTTGCAACAATCGCATACAAGTCGTCAAACACTTCTTGCAGCTACCATTGCCATGGGGAAATTAGCATCTTCTAGTGTTCGTGGCACGCTGGTTGCAAGTTTTGTGGATTTTGAAGCAAAACGAGCGTTTGAATGGTTAAAACAGCACGAGACAACAACGACGAAAACAATTTCATCCATGAGTTTAGCACGGTATGAAGTGGTCATGACTCAACGACGATTAGCTGCTTGCTATGTCTTGAGAGAATTAGCACAAGCAGCACCGACGTTATTTCATGTGAATTTAACGACTTTTTTTCAAACCATTTGGGGAGCAATTCGAGATCCGCGACTTGAAATTCGAGAAGCTGCGACAAGTGCCGTTGCTGCTTGTTTACAATTGATTACGAAACGACAGACACGACATCGAGTTCAATGGTATTGTAAAGTCTATGATGAAGTCTTTGAAGGATTAAGTACACCCATGCAACGTTCATCGTTGTCGGGGAAGAAACATAGTAATTGTGAGAGTTTGTTGAAACCACATGGAGCTACTACGACTGCTGCTGGTGCTGGTGGTAGTAGTAATAGTAGTACTAGTAGTACGTGGGAATGTGCCCATGGTTCGTTACTAGTGATTGGTGAATTGATTGCTCATACTGGAAGATTTATGGTCCCACGATTTCGAGAAGTGTGTGATACGGTCTTGAAATATAAAGATGCAAAGGAACGAGTTGTGAATCGAGCGGTTTCGAGACTCTTGCCACAATTTGCGGAATTCTGTCCAGGAGCATTTGTCCAGTACTATCTAGATGTCTCGGTCGCACACTTGACAAAACAAATTCTAGAGTACTCGGCTCCACCATCGGAACGTGGAGTGGCTTTCTTAGCAATGGGGAAATTATCTTTAGCTGTACGTGATGCGTTGCTACCACATCTTCCTCCGATTTTGAAATTAGTGAAAGAATCGTTGGCACCACATATTGGAACCAAACGCAAACGGACAAGGAATAAATTGTTTTGTGTGCAAACGCTCACGTGTGTTGCAAATATGTCACGTGCATTGGGACCGCGATTTGAGCCATTCTTGTTTCAAGATGGAGTGCTGGAGACCATGATGAGTGGCGGTCTGAGTGACGAATTGATTGTTTCGTTGGCTGAAGTAGTGGCCAGTGTACCAAGTGTATTGCCGTATGTACAGGAACGTTTGCTCAATGAAATTTCGGGTATATTACGTGGCACTCCGTTTTCGCTAGGGAATGCTACTACTACGGCTTATTTACCTGGAAGTAGCGGTGGTCCAGCAAGTTCAACAAGTGGAGATGGCGGTGACATGACGTTAGATGCATCATATTACGACACGTCTAGTGAAGCCCCGCCTGTTAAGCAGACGGCTGTTCAGGCGTTGTTTTCGTCGATGAAGCGGGGATTCTCAAGTGCTGAAATGGACTTAACGACTGGAAATTGCTCACTTATGATCATGGGCGAGACAGACGATGAGATTGATATCATTCTGTTGTCCCTGCACACATTGAGTTGCTTTGATTTTAGTGGCAGCTTTTGTCTTCTGCCTTTTGTGCGCGACTGCGTTGCGCTATATTTGAAGAACTCGGATGCACGGATTCGAAAGCAAGCAGTGATCACATGCAGCAAGTTATTGCTTCCATCACCTGAATCGCCAAACACGGCATTAATGTCGTCGTGGAGACACGTCAAGAAGCGTGGACCAAGTGGTCGTGTAATTGATCTTGTTCTTATACAACTTCTTCAAGTCGGTATCTCAGATATGGATGGGGCTGTACGAAGAAGCGTCGTGGAATCTTTGGACACGCGGTTTGATGAGTTCCTGAGTCAAGAAACACACTTGAGATTGGTGTTTCTGCTACTAAATGATGAAATGGCTGCTATTCGCGAACATGCTATGCAATTACTGGAACGCCTAGCACCACGTAATCCAGCGTTTGTGATGCCATCACTGCGCCGAGTGATTATTCAATTGGTCACAGAATTGCAGTATACCTCTGATCTACGAATGCGCGAGGAAAGCACCCGACTTCTTGGATACCTTATTCGTGGTGCACAGCATTTGGTCGATCCGTATGTAATGCGCATCCTGGAGGTGCTTTTACCTGTGCTTGTCCGTGGTAATGCCCCGTCAACAATAGCGGTCCTGAGAACCCTGGGAGAGCTGGCACTAGTTTCACGTACCCAGATAGCTGCGTACGAGCGCTACCTCTTCCCGCTCATCATTCACACACTTCAAGATCACTCCTCAATCGAGAAACGGCAGGTGGCCTTGCAGACGTTAGGCAAACTTGCGGGTAGTACTGGATGTGTAGTTCGCCCGTACCTGGCATCGCCAAAACTGCTAGAAATCTTTCTCAGTCTCCTGCACCATAATGTGGGTAGCCCGTGGTCGCTGAGACGCGAAGCAATGAGAACTATTGGCATTCTTGGTGCTCTTGACCCTTACAAGTACAAGTTGTGCATGTCGCAGGCATCATTACGGCAAGCTAATGAGGTTGCATCTACAGCTGATACCTCGACGGTTACGGAGATCGAGGAGAAGGCTGCTGACAATGCCACGTTTGGTGTATCAAAATCCGTTCCTGCATCACAGTATCCAACACTAAACATTGATCTCAAGGCGTTGGGTGTGACGATTAACCTCGCGAGCTTTGATCGGAAGGCAACGAACGACGCACTGGACGAGAAACAACAAATTGAACTGCAGCTATTTACTGCTGCGCCTATTGGTACCAGAAAAATTGATGCTGGCACTGCTGCTGGAACGTTTAGCATTGGCTCACAATCGTCTCATTCTGCTAGGGGCATGTCTGCGGCCTATGCGGGATCATCATCGTCAATTTTGTCATCTTCCCGCAAGAAGCAACAAGGAGGCTCTACTGGTATGAGCATTAGCGACGATGCGTTTGACTTTGAAAGCTCACTAATGGATAGCGAACTGGAGCTTGATCCAACAGAGTTGTCGCCAGCGTCGGAGGCGTACTTCCCCACGGTAGCTATTCATGCGCTGCTGCGTATTCTACGAGAGCCGTCGCTCAACGCTCACCACCACGGAGTCATTCAAGCTATCATGTTTATCTTCAAGAGTCTCAGCACACAATGCGTGCCATTTCTCAAGTTCATTTTGCCTCCTTTTCTGCGCGTACTGGCACGCGGTGAGCCGCGGCTTCGCGAGTCGCTGTTTTTACAGCTAACTACGCTCATATCTATTGTGAACGCTCACATGAAGCCATTTTTTCCACCCACAATGGTGCTTGCGCTGCGTTTCTGGGAATCACATTTGCCTCAGATTGTGCGTCTTGTAGAGAAAATCTCGCAGGCTGCACCGCACGAGTTCCGAACGCAGTACTTTCCAAAGTTATTGCCCAAGCTGCTTGAAGTTCTTCAACCTCATTTTGGCTTGGGTAGCAGCGCTACTGACGGAGACATTTCTGGACCAACTGCAGGGGGAGGTGCTGCAACCACTATTGCTCAAAGCTCAGGAGATGGAGTAGGTGCGATTGGAGGAGGCAGCGATAATCATGGACAGGGAAACAGCAACGCTTCTGGGGGAAAGAGTGATCTCATGTCGAGTACTTATGATGGCGTTCAAAATGGTGGTGCAGACGCCAGTACTGTGGCATCGATTCAGGTACAAGTAGTTCAGTCGCTCATTGTGTTCGGCGATGCTGTGGATGATTATGTATACTTGCTCGTACCTGCACTTGTACATCTCATGGAAAGCTTGGACACGCCACTTGAAGTAAAGATCACGACAATCTATGCGCTAGCGCGAATAAGTGTGGTTGCCAATTTTGAACAGTATGCTGGACCACGCTTGCTCCAGCCTTTTGCACGAGTAGCTTCGCAGGTATCAGCTAAGGGACCATTCTTCTTTAGCCGCGCAAGTGGTAATGCCAGCGTTGGTGGGAGTAGTGGAACAAGTGTGGCACCATCGTCGGGAGGAGGATCAACTGGTGTGGCAGCAGCTCGAATTGCAACTACAAAAGCAGAGGCTACACGGTTTTCAGAAGTGATGCTGTACGCACTAAGTGCTTTAGTGTTTCAGCTGCAAGCGGAGATTTTGAGCTTTGAACCGTTACTGCAGCAGATCATTGCGTCCTTGCCGTTCTCTCACGATGGCAGTCTAACTACAGCTGCAAGTGCCCGTGAAAGCAACAACCCGTCTTCGTCTCCTCAAGCCATGGTGCAGCGGATAGCTCAGGTGCTTGAAAACTTACGACGAGGTACACGTGTTGCACGTTCATTTCTAGACGATTCTGTCTTTATGACGCCAACTTTACGCAAATTCTCGACCAAGCTACAAGCTCAGACTGCAGCGTCAATGACTCCAGCGGCATCTTCACCGTCAAATGTACGATTGCACGTCAACCAGCAGAATTTGCGGCGGGCGTGGGAAGCGTCTCAACGCAGCACGAAGGAGGACTGGCTTGAGTGGATGCGGCGATTCTCGATCGAGCTACTTCGTGAATCTCCCAGTGCTGCTCTACGTTCGTGTTGTGCGTTAGCACAGGCATATAACCCGTTGGCGCGTGCATTATTCAATTCGGCATTTGTTTCTTGCTGGAATGAGCTCTACGAACAGTACCAGGATTATCTTGTGCGTGCTCTCGAAACTGCCTTTCAGAGTGACACAATCCCGGCTGAGATCTTGCAGACATTGCTGAACCTAGCTGAGTTTATGGAGCACGATGTGGAAGCATTGCCGATCGATATCCGTGAGCTGGGCGAGCTGGCACAAAAATGTCACGCTTATGCTAAGGCGTTGCATTACAAGGAGCTTGAGTTCCACACATCGCCTAGCACTTGTATTGAGGCGCTTATCTCCATCAACAACCAGCTGGGTCAACCGGAGGCTGCTGTTGGAATCTTAAAGTACGCACAAGCATATCACAGTCGCGTGATTCAGGTCAAAGAGACGTGGTTTGAAAAGCTGCAGGATTGGCGTGCAGCCCTTGCCTTGTATGACCGACGACTCCAGTACGCTCAGGAGCATGACGATGGCGCTCTGGGACTAGATATTGAAGTATGTATCGGGAAAATGCGATGCTTGGAGGCGCTTGGGAAATGGGAGGAGCTAAGTGCGTTAGCTGCGCAAGTGTGGAGTCATTTGCACTCACCTGAACAAAAGCAGAACAAAACTAGTGCACCGCCTTCTCGCGGTCGTCTATTGTCTGCTGGTCGGGCCCCTCTCAGTAGTACTTCGGGCACTAGTTCTGGTCGAGGCAACCCCGCTGCTCTACGCAAACGCAGCAACAGCAGCCACGGCTCGTCCCCATCTCAAGCTGCAGCAGGGGCTCCCCCATCGTCGTCGTCTTCGTATCAATTGGGAGGGGATGACCGCGGAGACGAGGCCACTGCACTTAGACGAGTGGCAATGCTTGGTGCTCGAGCAAGCTGGTGCTTATCGCAATGGGACACCATGACGCAGTATGTGACAGAGTGCGCAGCGCAGAATGACTCGAACAAAACCAACAACGCGGTCATTTCGAAAGCTGCAAGTGGCAATGGCCATGGCTACGGATATGGACACACTCAAGGCCATGGGATCTTTGGTGCTGATGAAGATGTTACTGAGCTGTCGTTGTATCAGTCCATTTTGGCCGTACACCAAGGGACATTCGCGCAAGCAGAAACACTGATTGATGCGACGCGAACGACTCTTGACACAAAACTTAGCGCACTTGTGGGCGAGTCGTACAGCCGTGCATATCGTAGTATGGTGACATTGCAGCAGCTTAGTGAATTGGAAGAGATTGTGACGTACAAGAAACTTCGAGCTCAGATTTCGAAAGGCGAAGAAGCTGCGCGCTACAAAAGACATTTGATGCGTATGTGGCATGATCGTCTTTCAGGCTGCAAGCGCGTGGTAGAGGTGTGGCAGCAGTTGATCGCTGTCCGTGCTTTGATCTTGTCACCGCACGAAGACATCGATACGTATCTGCAATTTGCTAGTCTGTGTCGTCAGTCTGGAAATCTGTCATTATCTCTGAAAGTCTTTACTAACGCACTGCATATTCATGGCGGCGCAGAGTCTACTAGTTCTGGAATCTCAGCGATGTTAAAAGTGGCGCCGTCAGGATCAGGATCAGCTGCATCTTTTGGCTTTGGTGAAAAGGACCGCAATCGGGTTGCATTCGCGTACCTGAAGCACCTTTGGGCTGCAGGACAAAAGCAAGAAGCGCTTTCAGACTTGCACCAATTGGTCATCCGTATTTCGTCCATGGCACGGCAACGGTCCCAAGCTTTAGGCGGGACGGGTAGCATGCCTTCTTCTGCGCCAGCTATGATGTCCACGAAGAGTGAAGAAGAGGAGCTGCTTGTTAAGTGTCACTTAAAGATGGCCGAGTGGCAGCTTGCTGTGCACGACCAGCAGATTGAACATGTGCCCGTGGAGAGTGTTTTGTCTTCACTGCGTTTGTGCACGGAGCTGGAGCCGCGTAGCTACAAGGCATGGCACGCATGGGCATTAATGAACTTTCAGGTAGTCGAGCACTCGACACATAGCCAGCATATTTCAGCTAATGCAACGACGTCAGCGGTCGCGGCATCTGCAGCAGTGGCTCCGTACATTGCTCCAGCAATTGAGGGCTTTTTTCGGTCGGTTGCATTGGGTCGCAGTCGCTGGGCTGCCAATGTCCAGCAAGATATTCTGCGCGTGCTCACGCTTTGGTTTGCGCACGGTCACCGCACTGATGTACATGCAGCCTTGGAAAAAGGGTTTCGTTCCGTAAGCATCGAAACGTGGCTCATTGTGATTCCCCAGCTAATTGCGCGTATTCACACTCCTTACCCGCGTATCCAGAAGCAATTGCATCGTTTGCTTGTGGCTGTGGGCAAGCAGCATCCGCATGCACTTATCTACCCCTTGTCAGTTGCGCTGAAATCTTCGGTGTGCGAACGCCAGCAAGCCGCTGAAGCTATCATGAGCACGATGCGTACTAACTACGTGAAGCTTGTAGACGAAGCGTTGCTTGTGAGTCGTGAGCTTATCCGCGTTGCCATCTTGTGGCACGAGATGTGGCATGAAGGTCTGGAGGAGGCTTCGCGTCTTTACTTTGGTGAGCACAATGTGGACGGCATGGCTGAAGTGCTGCGGCCATTGCACGCGATGATGGAGCGTGGTCCGGAAACCCTTCGCGAGGTAAGTTTCCATGGAGCTTTTGGCCGAGATTTACGAGAAGCCAACGAGTGGTTACAGCGGTTCCTGAGCAATCGACGCAATGAGTCGGACTTGAACCGCGCATGGGACCTGTACTACCACGTCTTTCGCCGCATTAACAAGCAGCTACCGCAGATTACAACTTTGGAACTGCAGGTCGTTTCTCCAAATCTGTTGTCCGCAAGAAATCTGCAGCTTGCAGTGCCAGGTACATACCGTGCTGGTCACGCGATTGTCAAGATTGGTAGCTTCTTACCGACGGTGGCAGTGATTACAAGCAAACAGCGACCTCGTCGGATCACAATTGTTGGTTCCAACGGTCTGGAGTACATGTTTTTGCTCAAAGGCCACGAAGATTTGCGCCAAGACGAACGTGTGACGCAGCTCTTTGGTTTGGTAAATGCGTTGCTGATTAATGACAGAAATACGTCGAAGAAGGACCTGAAGATCCATCGATACCCTGTCATTCCGTTATCTGACAATGCTGGAATCGTTGGCTGGGTGCCACATTGTGACACACTTCACCAATTGATCCGCGACTATCGCGAAGCTCGCAAGATTTTGCTTAACATTGAGCACCGATTGATGTTGCAAATGGCACCGGACTATGACGCATTGACATTGCTTGAAAAGGTGGAAGTGTTTCAGTATGCGCTAGAGAACACGGCCGGCCAGGATTTGTACAAGGTGCTTTGGCTTAAGTCTGAAAACTCGGAGGTTTGGCTTGATCGACGCACGAATTACACGCGTTCCCTTGCCGTCATGTCAATGGTCGGCTACATTCTTGGACTCGGCGATCGCCATCCAAGCAATCTGATGTTGCATCGCTTTACGGGAACCATCGTTCATATTGATTTTGGTGACTGTTTTGAAGTCGCGATGGACCGCGAGAAATATCCTGAAAAGATCCCGTTCCGCCTGACGCGAATGTTGACAAACGCAATGGAGGTGAGTGGAATTGAAGGTAACTTTCGGTTTTCGTGCGAAAGCGTGATGGCTGTACTGCGCGAGAACCGTCACAGTCTCATGGCAATGCTGGAAGCTTTTGTGCACGATCCATTGATCAACTGGCGTCTGCTTTCAGCGACAAATGTGCCACCTACGAGTCACGCAGGTAGTTCGGTCGCATCTAGTGTTGTATCTTCATCGATCGTGTCGAGCACAAACAGCGAAAGTGACGAGAGTATTTACGACCCATCAGAAGCTTTACCTCACATTCCATCGGATAATGCGTCCCATAGAACTATGGGAGCTTCATCCCACAAACCATCATCAGATAATTCATCGCATCGATCTTCAGGAATGTCGACTCCTGGTCATGTTGAAGAAGAGGTACCGCGCCGTCGCAGCGAAAGCATTTCGATCCCCGAACCGAAACCTTCGTCGACAGCAACACTGCTTGACGATCGAGATGAGCCTCGACAAAGTGTTGATCAGGCACAAGCTACTGAAGCAGTTACTGCGCGTGGGCAGGATGAAGAGCAAAAGGCAAACGAAGTGAAAGTAACAACGGACGAGGACATGGCCACCGCCCAAGAAGATGCAGATGATAGTGATCACCAAAGAGATGATGAAACTAGTACTCCTGCTCTGCAGCGCGCCAAGCCACCTGCACCACGTCAAGTGAGCACTAGCCTGGCTGCCACGTGCCAGCTTCCGCCACGTCCGGAAGCGAAAGCAGCGGAGCCAGCTCTGTTACCGTTGCCGTCATCGTTGTCTTCACGACCGATGAGTCTTAGCAAGTCCATCCCACTTCCTATGCGCAAGCTTCCACCTCGTGCTCCGACAGGGAGCCGAGTATGCGAGGATGCTATCGACGAAAACGAGGAGGCCAATGTTGTTGAGAAGATCAACTATGCTACGACGAATTTGCACGCAGAGATTTCGTCCCTAGCGGCCAGCGTCTCTAGCGTCGGCCATTCCAGCCTAAGCCGCAGTTTTTCCGTCACGCAGGCTCAACTTCAGGCGCAGCAACCGAAGCAGCAGCTGCGACGGCAGCAGCCTGAGACCGCCTCAGGAGCTCAAGCCGATGGAAAACGTCAGCCAAGAGCGCCCAGTACTCCGGTAGGTCCCCCACTACGGATGGCTCCGACCGCGTCGACGTCATTTGTATCAGTAACGGCTGCCGAAATTCCGCCGTCGACGGATGCAGTAGCACCGTCAATAACAAACGACATGCATACGAACCGCAGCATCTCTGAACGTGAGCTTCTCAATGCTCTGGGACCCGAAGGCATTGCAGCACCTCGCGTTGCATTAAACGAAAAAGGCTGTCGCTGTTATTCGTCGTGTACAGGCAAAACTTTCAGGTCGTGATTTTGAAGGCGATGGTGGTGAGCCTCTTGATGTGAGTGCGCAGGTACAGCGTCTTATCTCTCAGGCCACGTCTCACGAAAATCTCTGTCAATGTTACATTGGTTGGTGTCCATTCTGGTGAGTCAATATAATCATAACGTTGTTAGTACAAAGGTCGATTGATACTATTGCTCCATTGATTCAATTAATTCTCATACACAATACGTCAACAATGGAAACAACCGCTATCACGGATCACAAATCGTGCGTCATGTGCACAATACACCCGATGGCTTGCGTTAAGCACGCACATAAAAGAAATTCAAAGCAAAAACTATGTACGTTCAGATGACTTTTCCACTATCCTACTTCATGCTTCGCCCCTCTGACTGTCTTGGCTGTAACTTTTTGTGCAATAATACAATGACAATACTTCTCAAGCCAAAAAAACGAAATGGACAACAAGCAGCTTAAGACGCACCTCCCATTGAGTGCGATTCCGTCGCATGGATTCTCGAGCTTGTATCCTATGGCGCAGGTGGGACAATCACTTGCGGCTGTAGCTCAATGGATTGTCCACCAAATAGCGCTTGCTTTTCAAGTTGCAAGTATAAATCCATGTTTCGATTTCGTCTTTGCTCAGCACTCTTCTTTTTCTTGAGCAAGGGACGAATTGGTAACGTCCAGAGTGAGCCATTCTTGCTCTTTGTCGAGCGTGTCCGACCTCGACGTGTGGATGGCATGGATACCGTAACACCACCACCATCTGTTGGTGGTGGTAATGGTGCTGAATGTGGTCGTCTTAAGACGGGTGGACGACTCGTAGCAAGAGCCTCAACTGCTTCTACTGGTTCACGAGGTTGTTCCGGAAAGACCAGTGTTTCACATACAACACACACTTTTTGTGGTTTCTTTAGTCCAAACTGCGGAATTAAACGACGTGTTTGACTCATACATTGCAAGCAACAACTTTCACGGCATTGACGACAGTGATGGCGACGTCGATGTAACGTATGACCAAATTTCTTACCACATACGTAGCAGCCCGTGCTTTTTGCAAATGGTGGGACGACAACAGTTGATTGTAAACGTGCACGACGAAGTTGTTGACGAAGACGTCGAGCACGTTCTTTTTCCGTCTTTTGAGCGACACGAAGGCGTGTTTTCGACGCCTTTTTCGCCACTTTGACCGCTTTTCGTTGACTTTTTCTCGCCTCTTGTTCTTGTCGCTTGGCTTCCTTTTGTTCCTGCTTGATTAGCGCCTGTTGAGCCTTGTGTTCTTTCGCAGCATCCTTGCGTTGCATCTTGGCCACACGTTTTAGTTCTTTTAACGTTTGTCGTTGAGCTTTTTCCGCTTCCGTGCGTGGTTTAAATGATAAGAACTTCATCAGAGTGATGGTCACAGGGGAAACTTCGAGAATCGAAAACACTTGCGCTTGAGTGGGTAAAAAACCAAATGAAAGGAATTTGTGGCTCAGAACGAACGAAAGAAGGAAGGCGCGGACAACCTCATGGACCTGCGAGTGTACAGCATGGATGGATGGGGTGGACCATGATGCATACTGATAAAACTTCAACGTGAAAGATGCGATGGGAAGATATGTTGTTTCACAGGAAATTTGAAATAGTATGACACTCGATTGTGCGTACTTTACGACAGAGGAAATAGATTATGAAAGGTACTAAGATTGCGGGTTCTGAAGTATGGGATCTTGGAAGATCCAGCTATATCTCTAAAAACGTACATAAATTGTAAACTGAGTAGTGTGTCAGTATTTGTTACATGGTACAAAAAGCTCAGTCTTAGCTCTTTTTAACTATTTAGTAAAGATCAAAAAACTCACTGTCGTGATATGCCAATGATTTGATAGCTTGTGGGTGGGTGGGTCATCCACGTTGCTAGAAAATGACTGTATGTTGAATAAAGGTGGGTTGTATGTGGCGAATGCGCAATGGGGGGGAAGGTTAGCTATGCGACCTTCCTGCGACAACTTTGCAGACAGACAGGCAACGACATACTGCTTGACAGCATAAACTTCAACTACTCCATCAGTGACTTTTACATAGAATACAAGAATCTGTTGTCACATATTCAAGGAAACTGTTATTTGTTGATTGCCTCAAGAAACAAGCAGATGTATATTGTAATAGTATATTAAATCTTACAAGCAAAGTGTTAAAGTACCCATCATTCAACTGACATCATAATCTTTATGTTCTTTATAAGCACAGAAACTGGCATTGCAAAGAAAATCCATGCAGTACATAGTCTTTGAGGCAAGACATGGTTAGACCTTGTCACCTGTCGATTGTTTTCATAAATCAGCTGGAGTTTATTATTAAATCTCACAGGAACTAATGAGTCTGTATCAATCAAAAGCAATTTTCCGTTTCATGTCAAAACAGCAAGCGGGAAAACATGAGAACAGATTGGTAAAAAACATCCGTGTCGTAAACATTCGCATTGTTTACAGCCACTTTTTGGTGTAGTTTGTTAGTAGCATTCAGAGTTACAAATACCATTTAAACCTTCAATAACCGTGTGTGTCTCAAACGTCTTGATTAAATAATGTGCTCTTTCCGGCTTCTGTTCATTTTTCACCCTATTGAGTTTTTCTGCCCAAACTTTGAGCTTAATCATGCATTTTCACAGCTAAGCACTGCTGTTTGACATGAATTGGCCTTTATCCTGCAACGCCCGCATGAAGATTCACCTCTGTAAATACCTACAACAAATAATACTGAGTGGGATCATTGAATCTTAGCGACCTTGTCCTAAACATCCAGATCATGCATGTCTCGTTTACGCTCCTGTAACTTTCGAGTCAAACTTAACGTTATACAATCAATACATACGTCTTGAAAATCATCGTAGATAGTATCAATATATATTCATTAGGCCTTGGACTAGAGAGTAGTTGAATCAAGCTTGATACAACAATAGTATAGACAAGTAAGACACACACATACAAGATGATGCTATTGAAATAAATTGCATACAATAGTAACGTACAAGACATAGATACGTCCATATTAATGACCTCAAATCAATGCAAAGACAAGTCCAAAGACATGTAAAGTGTCCACATACATTCGAAATTTGCATGGAAGACAAGCAAAAAACGACTTGTTTCGACTGAAGAGGTGCAATGTTCGATTCATATCGGCAGTCTTTGAACCGTACACTCTAAGTCGACGTCTTTTTTCAATAGAAGAAGAAGAAGAAAAGGATGATGCATCTTCAAAAGCTTTATGGAATGTATGTATGTGAACTTGCGAGTTTAGGATCTGTTCAACGATGTTTACGGATGAAGTGACAAGCATGTATTTGTATTTTGATACTGCTAATCGTTGTAGTTGTACTAGTTGATGGTTGGACTGAAGAATTGACAATCGAATAGATCAAGTCTCATCTTTAAAAGTAGAATCGGTTTCATGGTATTCGTTTGCGTCTTGAAAGTCAAAGACTTGATACGAATCAAACGACTTAGAGTTCAAAGCATTATCACCCGTCATCAGACACCAAGAGTGTAAGGACTTGAGTCAAGTGGCCAAAGAGGTTCAAATTCGACGTCCATATGTACAATTCCAGGTACTTTCAATGATCAATGGATGTCTCGCAGAGTTTCGACTTCAACTCTATCACAAAACAATGACCAGTAATGGAACATGTGTGACGCATTGCTTCATGCACATGAGCATATGAAGATGTGTAGAAGAATGGATTTACATCGAGGATTGATACTCACACGCAGTGCTGAGGTCACGTCAGGTCTCTCGTGGGGGACACTATTGATTGCACTGGCGTTAAGACTAGCAGAGTGATTGGTGACAGGTTCATCAATGCAAGTGAAAGAACATCTGCAGCCGTGTCCACGAGTCGGATTGCTACATCAAGGATTCTTATGCAAGTGCTAGTAGCTTGATCAAGCACCTTACGTTGTATTGGGATAGACCAAAGTCTCTGCAACAAATAATTACTACGCCGCTTTCTAATGATACGGAGCAAATGACGTTGGAATGCCCGGTGAACTATGACGTCGAGATGCTAAACGTAAATGCGGGTACTCGCCTCCTGTCATACATTCTCGACATCGGGCACAGAATTGAATCGTAGCAGCATAGCGATTGTAAATGATCATCGGTTCGCGGTAACAGCACTTAGCGCAAACATTGTAAGCACAAAGACCACAGCGACGACGACGTCGTAGCAAGTCGAACTTGGACGTACAAGCGACGCAATGCGAGTTTGAAACATCGGTACTCACGTCACAGAAGCTGATGGTGTTGCTGTTAGTGGCACTACTTGTTTTTCGATTTACGCTGTCCTTTTGGCGTTGTTGATGCAGTACTTCACCGAGTCGACAGAAGCCCTTGGCAAGACGAAAAAGTCTTGCAGCTGTAGTCTTGGCGGAACACAGTCCAAGGCTGATGTTTTTTTCAGCATCGACAAACTCTGGGTCGATACCGGCGTGATAGAGAACTCGTACACTAGCTTTACTCTCGGGAGCCTTCTCGACCAAGATCCACCCACGGTAGGGACACAGTTCATCGACGTGTTTACCGCTGGCCTTACCCACGAGAACCTCATGCCGAGGAATGGAAGCAAATACAATAGCAAAGCCATCCTTCGTCGGTCGAAACTGCTCTACATAGCACATGTGCTCATTTTTCTTGTGTGATAATCGTTTCGATCGAGCAAAAGCGCTTGTCTTGACTGTCAATAGACTCCCATCTCCAAGCATTGTCGAATCGGAAGGGATAGCGTATACGATAGACCCGTAGATAAAGTCTCGTTTGTACAGCTCCTGCATTGTGCTATTGAAAATGCTCTCACTTGGTGTCCTGATGAGCGAAACAAGCCGCTCGAGAGCACGGCCACCTGAGACTGTTCCCATTGCTAAAACTTGACCATCGGCCACCGATGCACCATTTCCACTGACAATGTTTTTAGTGAAGATTGAGAAGGCTCGACAATCGCTTTTCCACTTCCATCCATGCAATGATACATCGGAAAGAACGTTGTTAAAGTCCGTAGTGACTTGAACCCCGTCAATTCGGCGTTTGAGCTCCTCGTCGCTCACCGCCACTTTTCGAATTGTTGGCATCACGTTTGGTGTCATCCGTGCACACGCGGGGATACTACTACAGCAATCAGGCGTTGCAAACCCCGCAGTTTCAAGCATGTTAATGGCAATCGGAGAGGCCCTAACAAACAATCCACTTCCTCCGTCTCTAAGAACTGAAGCAGCCATTTTTCAATCGAGATGCGACTTAGTCGACGTAAATTGGAGAATACGTCGTAGGTGTGAGTACATATCACGTCGTTGTTGTTCGTGGTGAGGTGCATGTAGCCAACAGTACGCCTCGTACACTGCCAAATGTAGAAGGAATGAGTGAGGAATTTGAAGGTTGTGGCACGGACGAAACGGTCTCGGGTCAGTGCTGGCACTGTGCCTCATGCCACGAACACTCGGCAACAGTGAATGACGAAATGATAACAATCTGCTACTGGAACAGCCTTTTCAACTGAAGTTTTGCTGTTTCTTGTAGTTGTTGCTTGGGACAAACGTGGTTGCGCTGCCATGCTGTTGCTGGAATTTACAAGCGATGTTGCTATCATTCTTCACTCGCTTTTGTGCTTCGTCTGATAGATTTTCGGTTTGCTTTGTCGTCGTAAAACGATCGGGTTGCGCTAACAGATCGTTTGGCGACGAGATTCAACAATGCTCGAGAGTTTTTGCTCCAGTGGACACGATCTCACCTCTGTACTCGGTTGTGTAAGCATAAACTTATCTAATCTACTTAGGTCTTCCTCATGTCGGACGCTTACGTCTCCATGAAATCAACTGTTGGAACGAACATTAAGGTCTGAGATTCGATTGTTCTGTTAGATCGATGTACATGGGTCACTTTTTCGTTTACCTCGTACAACATGGTGAGCAATGCTGGGTTCATCTTACGGCAGCATCCTGTCGAATCATCACACTACTAGCACGCATGTGTCTCCAGCAGCAAGGTGAATGTATAGACGGTATTCTGCTTGAGGTGATTTGTCCGTCGCTGCCTCAATTTGATGTATCGCCTGCCTTGGTCTTCTTGACTTTACATAACGTCGAAGTCTGGACACTCGCCGCTTATTCTTTCCTACCGCAGTAGCTACTCTCGGCACACATGTTATTTCATCGAGAGAAGATGTTTGCGTTTCGCAAGCATTATTACTGCCATCATATCGTAGGAGACATTAGGAACTGGAACTTCCAGACGCACATGATCATTTGTCAAACGATAGTTGTTCCGCAAGGATGCGACAAGTTGTTGCAAGCAGGTATGATACGTCACGCAACTGAACTAGTCGTAGGCTTTCCTATTTCTTATCATCAAAAGCATGAAAGCGTAGTTGCACGAATACGATCAGCATTTTTTGTGGGGCTTGGGTGCATGAATATTACCGAGTCTAGAAGACGGTGGCACGGTACGGTAGCGTGTGGCTAATCAGAGACAACAACAACAGGTCAGTAAGAACTACAATTGACGTTTATCATTGTATCAGTACACTTGTTCCGAATGTGCATGTTTTAGTACTGCAAAGACGCCGTAACAAGTAATGGCGATAAAGCAGTTGTCATTGTCGTTTGACACGATGTTGTGGAATCTTGTGAGCGATATCGTTGTCCACTGACCTCTTGGTCACTACAATGTCTACATTTGATGTTGTGGCTTAACAGTTTCTTACATCTTCATATGCACAACAATTGCTGGGCCTAACCAACAAGAATTAACAACAATGTCGTTTAACGTTGCGTACGCGCTCCCCGTGCTGCGTCCGTTGCGGGAGAATTACTTTCATCGCCAGAGCTTGAAAAAGCGAGAGTTAGCATAGGTGGTGGGTCAGATTGAGTCCTTCGCTTACATTGCAGCCCTCCACTCAGTCGTCGATATCCATTTGGTCCCCACCTACCGTGGCTGCGGTCGGAACGATCCATTTCAAAGTCCGGTTCAAAATCACTCTCTCGACCAGCATATCGCAGACTGACACCTGTGTAACGAAAGTCTCCTTTGCTGCTTCGTATTGGATTCCCACTAGTGCGATGATCGCTCTCTCGTTCGTTAATACACTCTCGACAACGTGCACACACTGACAATCGCGCGATGTAGCGATTGTAAATCGCAACTTGTTCGTGCGAACAACACGCTGGCTCGTCGCACACTCGATACGCACACAAATCACACCGTCGCCAATTTTTGCGAAGTGTTGGAAGAAATGGCCGAGTACAGGCGATACAGTACCAATTGTGATGCGTTGCATCCGAGTGTTTATCCTTCGAGTCGACAACTCCAATAACTCGAAAGGTATTCAATAGTGCTTGCCAAACTCGACCAGGTGCTGATCGTTCCTGTCGATAATGTCGTCGACGTCGACGAAGTACTTTTTCCAATCTACAAATACCCTTAGCAAGAAAGATGAGTCGGTCTTGAGCCACTCGAACGTCGCAACCACCAGTTACATTGCCTGGAAATGCGGCTTGACACGTAATTTGAAGCATTTCTGGATTGTGATGACTAGGCTCTGCTATTAACCAGCCTGACATTGGATGTAGTGGTATCACGCGATCAGGTGGAGCTTTTCCTGCCAACACATCGGCCGCATCAAGTGTACAAAATGACAGCTTAAACCCTTCTTGTGTAGGTGTTAAGAGTTCAATATAGCAGCATTGTTCGTTCTTGACTCCGGACGTTTGCCGTTGACTTAAGTTTCGTAAATCTGATGTCCTGATCGAGTCGGACAAGATGGTAGCAGTTGATCGTCGCTGATAAAAGGCCAATCCCTTATGTGCAAAACTTGCTGTGCGAACCATAAGTTGTTGTCCACTAGCTACAATATTAGTCTCTGATGATGATGGTAATGAACAGCGTTCGGTATTCGGTATAGCATGCAAGAGCGAACTATAGATAAAGTGTGAGCCATACAAAGCTCGTAGCAGCGCATTGCTTTCGCTCTCAGTTGGAGCTCTTAAGAATGCGAGTACCTCGGAAATGTGAGCTCGAATCTCACCTCCACAGACAACTTGGCATTGTTGTGACGGAGCACTTTCTAGCCGAAAGTGTACTTTCATACCACTCGTGACCCCAATTCGAATGCGTTTCCATCCGCGTTTGGACGAGAGGGTTTGAAGTTCTAAATGACTATCGGGTACAACCACTCGCTGAACACGGTGATATAATTCACGATCACTTAATCGTACTTTTCGTGTGGATAGGTTCGAAGACGACACGGATGCATTGAAACAAACACTCAATGCCGGACCATCCGATAGTTGATGCATGAGCCAGTCAGTCAGTGAGTGAGTGACCCAGCAAATCGGAGAGTGGCGACAGGATCAACATTTAAACTTAAAGTGAGGTAGAGAAATGGTGGGATACAAATTATCTTATGGAAAAGTAAAGAAGAGACCGGGACAATGGACAGTTAGGATGGTTACATGTCAATAGGGTAGGCAGGCACCTCTCAAACAAGTCTTCTTCTGCTGCTGCTGCTTTATCTTTATCTTCGTATTCGGCTATTCGAAGATGATTGAAAACAGACGGCCCTTCCAACTGTTCCGTTTGATGCTCTTTTTTTCAGTCTATTCGAATGGGTTTCGTGGATATACCACCACGATTCGACGAAAAAACTTGCGTTGAGTATGCTTGAATCACAGCTGGTTGTGACGAGGGCATGGAATTGATCCGACAAAGGTAGTACGAATGGTTTAAAAGTTACGTCTCTCATAGGGTTCTCAATAATGTGTACATGATGATTATCTCATGCTACAACGTTTGTTGTAAGCAAGGAAGCGAATGTGTATACTTGTGTGTGTGATAGTGATAATAAGGACGCTCTTTTTTCATGTATTTCAAGAGCTTCTTGTTATGAAATGGCTACGTTTTCTTTCAATGGCGTTTCATGTAGAAGTGCATGTCAATACTTTCTCGTGTTAACACTATACTACAAAGGAGGAATAAGTCCGTCCTTATACTATCAGATTTTCTACTCTATTACTTGTTTCTTCACTTGGAAACAGCTTTCAGCAAAATAACTAGATCGATACAGAACCAGAGTATACGGCTCGTAATTGACTATCAAAATCTTCTCGGGCAAGACGCTCACGACACCGGGTGCAAACAAGAAGCGGGGTTACATGTCGGTTGCAAATGGTCACATGTTGTCGCGAACAACATTCATTACATACATTGTAAGAACAGAGTTCACAGCGTCGACAGCTTCGCGTCATGAAGATATGGTTTAGAGTGCGTGTACACACAATACAGCGCGAGTTCCGGGGTCCACTAGCAGCAACATAGTTTGTCTGGATTTTCAGCTCGCGACAATGCTCCGTTCTCCGGTCGACGAGTTTTTCTAGTTTACACACACCTTGGACAAGCTTCCAAAGGTGAGCATTCATGACCTTTGGCGGGCACGATCCGTTGCTCTCCGAACGGTGGAAACGAGCTCGAAAGATTACGTGTACCCCAGTGCTTGCCGGTTCAGCAGAGAACCATGTGCTAAACGGATGTAACTGGTGTAATGTACGACGCAGAGGGACTCGGACTTTACCTGCGATCACTTCTTGGCCTGCCAACGAAAAGGTTGAAATACTAAAGCCACCGCTTGGTGTAGGCGAGAAGAGTTCACCGTAACACATTTGCTGGTTCTTCTTGTCGAACATGGAGGTGCACGCAAAGGCAGAAGTCTTTACCAGTAATTGATTGCTGCGATCATCTCCTTGTCGAATGGAGGCCACTCTCTTGTCAATGGCGTCAGTACCTCGCTTGTGCGACCTACGACGGAACGTTGCTTTATGCACGAGTGATCCATAGATAAAGTCTGAGCCGTAGAGTGAATGCATCACCGAATTATAGTCGCCTTCGCTTGGGGAACTAAGTGGCAGTGCCAACTGATCGATTGAGCACGCAACATTTCCCACTGCCAAGACCTCGCTATCAAGTAGCAATGGTAGGGATTGTGCGCTGTTTGTGTCGCCACTTATCGGACATTGGCGTGTATAAAGCTCAAAGCCTTTCTTCTGTCTTCGCGACCGCCATCCTTGACTGACTAAGCTTGTGGACGAGTGGTTGTCGCTACTGCGAGATAATTGTTGCAAACGCTGTACTCGTCGAGCACGACAGAAAAGTTCTCGGTCATCGACCCGTACCGGTCGCAACAGAGAAGATGGAAGCAAAGACGAATTGATGGATGGTGGCGTCACTGCAATGTAGTTTGAACGTTTGCGATGTTTCGAACGAGCTGATGGGGATCGTGCAACTAGACGTAGGACTTGAAGCGGAGATCGCATGATAATTGACAATCCAGTGGTCGTAGTAGATTATCTTCCTTTCGTTGCAAAGGTAGATTGAAGAATGAGATGATCACTAGGACATGATTTAAGCAGATGCAGCCTTTGAGTCAAAGTACTCAGGTCGCTTGGAAACAGGTAAATACTGAACATAACAAACACATCGTCTCACCCTATACTTGGAGACGAGCCTAAGTGTACCATGCAAAAGCCATCTACTCGCTTCCACGACGTAAGAAATCGTGAAATAACTTTGTAGAGGTCAGCTAAAGGAGAGAGCAACAAACCAGCGCTCGGAATAAAAAAGACCCAATTGCATCCGATGAGGTGTTGATCTTTTCACACTCTGTTCAGTGTCGACTAGATTTTTTCTCTTCTCTTCAGGTTTGAAGAATCTTCCACGAGTTGCAGCATTGTCGGTTATAGTTGCGACTCGAAAATCATTGGAACTCAGGTTTCCAGGTCCACAATTCAAATGTCTGTCCTGATTGAAGAGGCAATGCTGGATATTTAGATACAACTTGTGCTTGGACTCATTGGCAATGGATGCACGAGCTTAGTCTTGCCAGATTTTATCGTGGCTTGAATCTACATATGGAAGACGCTGTGGATCAGTCTCATTGCCAATGCACGGGGTTAACATTGACAACACGTATGACAACAACCAATGCCTTTTGAATCGATCACATTCGATCTATCGAGGTCCTGGTGTCAGTTCGGGAACAACGCACATTCTTGACCGCCACCCAAAGATAATGTCAGTATCAATTATCATACGTGGCACTTCCACGCATTGAGCGTGTAAAATCTTTGTGAGTAACTGCAATGATTTTCCTTCGGCTTCATTCACTAGTTCCTGAACAGGATTGACCATCAACTATGACACACAAAGCTTAACCTTTATCACCTGTCTTAACAACGTGTGGTACATCTGACAATTCCTACGTTAACACATCCTAGGGATGGTAAGACAGACTGCAAGTAAGAGGATGTTTGAAGCAAAAACTAGTGGAGAGTAGCATCATGCCCAGTACGTGGTAGCTTTGAGCATCACAACAGCACTTAAGCATACAAAAAGTCCATGTCATCAACAAGCAGGGGCGTGGTACGATCAAGACATCAAAAGTGTGGTCATGCAAGTACAGAGCAACAACTATTGAGATACGTGCGGTCTGTATCAAATGGCGTTGTTTTCTTGCAGATCGACAGCCTGCAGGAGCTCATGTTCAAGCGGCTATATGAAGACGAGGTCTTGTTTGTGCTGATGCTGAAGAAACTAGAGAGAATGGCAATAGACACAAGCACTGGCGCCATTGCAAACAACTATCGCAGTAGCGCAAATGCGCTAGCTCGATGTAAGATATCCGAGAACAACAATTGAAGACAGTGGAGTTTCTTTGTCGTGTGTGCACAGAGAGTATCGTGTTTAAAAAGAAGAAACACGAGCATATAAAGTGATTGCTTGAATGCCCTGTGGCAACAGAATCACACTTCAAGCTGTTCGGCCTTCGACAAGATCAGTTTGTCGCATGGTGTTGGGAGCTGTGGAAGAACTTTCAATTACAATACGTACAGATCATGGAGCTGAAATGAGGTTTAAGACTCTGGACATCATTCTGCGTGACGTCTTTTGGTGTGGAGCATGTGGATGGTCTCAAACTCACCACAGTAATCGTCAGACGCTACGTTAGCACGATTGTGACCAGGAACAAGTCAAATGGACTGCATTACGGCATGTAAAGGAAGCATTTGTAGCGACACATGGCGATGTTGCGCTGAGTCCTTGACATACGCGTTTGCTTGTAAAGTGTTGTCGAGTTGCCCGGTAGAAGAGTGATCGACTGTTTTATACTGTCAGAGACCGCGGGTGCCAACGCAACTTCTACATTTGACCCAGTACCATGAGACTTATGTCCATCGGGCAATACGTGCTGGATGGTGCTGAGATACTGGCCACATCGAATATGTCGCGATACTTTTCAGCTTTTACATTAATGAGCAGCAATTTCATTCGTTATCGTAGCTTGAAGAGCCTTTCCACCTGATATTCCACGAGCAGTAGCTACTACTGGCAGCTAATGCAATGCTGCTGACGTGCTGGTTATAGCAGCAGCACAAAGGGTCACGCTAACCTTATTTGATGCTGTAGGTGAGAATTGGACACGGCTAATGCTCAAACACTGCGACTTGTTCACGAGCAAGTTTGTGCTCAAACGTTGTGTCAAACTGTAGTTAAGCTTGTAATATCTGCTTGAACATGACCACATTCGAGTTCTTTCACCACATTTCAAGGAAATCAAACGAAATTGCTAATGCATTGTATTACTTTGCCAGCAGAAGAACTATCCTATCTACTGCTTGACTCTGCTGGCAACTGCATGTCGCTTGCTTGACGTTTGCTTCCAAATTGACCAACTCATAAACACTACGTACTTCTGGTCTGAACACGTGTCATGAATCAATTGATACCATATCCTACTCTGATCAGATGCCAAGACAAACGCATTCTGGTGAAAGATTTGGTAAAGACCGAATACATCCAAAGACGTCGTCAGTTTTTCCAACGACTTCCTGAACAAACGAGGCAGTAGATCATCTCGTATTAACGATATAAATTGCAGTTGTGCCAAACACTACGAGGAAAATGGCACTACTCTAGTAAAATGAAGCTTCTAGATGTAGCACATTGCAAGAGACATAGTCACTCCATTGCAATGGTCATAACACTGACGTGACAGGTTTTCACCGATCAAACTAGGATCTCGTATGACAAGGTTCAGACCATGTCTGAGTGAATATTTTGCAAGACCGGATATTGCAACGAGCAGTATTTCAATCTGCAGCAACGCAAAACAGTGACACTAGAAGGAATACGTCTGCTTTGTAATGAGACTCATGCTTCCTAACGCGTATTCATTGTTATCACCATTGAACCCTGTTACTATAATTGACTGGGTTTACTATTGAATTTACCATTGGAAGTGCCATTGAGCAGTTCAGCTTTTGTCTCAACATCCTACATTGCAAGACCTTCTCACTGATCCTCATTATACTAATAAAGGTGCCCAAATGACAACTCTGAACTTGCAACTCGTTGTGATTGGCACAAAAACAATTTCGACATAGTCACATTTTGTCATTTCTAAAACAGTATCACGTATGGTGTTAGGTAATGATTAGACCAATGTACTAAATTGTCCCGTCATGTGTCCGTCACTTGTCAAACTAATATTCCTTGTACAACTTATACACTAAAATTGTCATACCAAGTCACAAACGCTTTTCTCTTTCTATATCCTGTTGTTTTTCATACACTCGTTACGACTATAACCCAACGTGCTCAACTGTACCTTTCAATCTTTTCACTCTGAGAAACAAACCATCATTCGTCAACTTCTCCCAAGTGTCCAATGGCTAAAATACCGTACCCTCTCAAAACGCATTCATACTCAAACCTACATGAAGTAACATTTACGCATCTCAATTGGGTCATTGCTCTAGATTTTCAAGCACAGCAGCTTCAAGGTTACGCTGAATATACATTTCATCATCATCTTTCAACTCGATCCTCTTGTGTTGTGGTGCTTGATACGCATCATTTAAATATCGCCAAGGTTTATGTGGATGAGAAGGAGACAAGGACCTTCACTCTGCCCGAGACTGAACACGCTGTTTTTGGTCGTCCACTTGTAATTACGACCCCGAACCACGCGACTAAAATTCGTGTGGACTACACCACATCCGTTGCTTCCAGTGGTCTCCAATGGCTTCAAAAGGAACTCACGGCGGGTAAAATGTATCCATATCTATTTACACAATGTCAAGCCATTCATGCACGTACAATTGTCCCATGTCCCGATACACCATCGTGTAAATTTACTTATACTGCTACAGTAACAGTACCCGATTGGTGTACGTGTTTAATGAGTGCAATTGCTGATCCACAAGGTCCAAAGCATCAAAATCACGTGGAGAAGACGTATCAACTCTGTTTTTTTCAAACTGTTCCAATTCCTTCTTATCTATTAGCTCTAGTAGCTGGTAAATTAGAAAGTGTTGATCTAGGACCACGTAGTCGTGTATGGGCAGAACCAACCGTTGTGACAAAAGCTGCACATGAATTTGCACAGACTGAAGCTTTTTTACAACATGCAGAGGACATTACAGGACAAGAATATGTCTGGAAACGATATGATCTGGTATGTTTACCACCATCCTTTCCCTATGGAGGTATGGAGAATCCATGTTTAACATTTGTCACACCAACGTTATTAGCAGGGGATCGATCACTTGCTGATGTTGTGGCACATGAGATTTCACACTCCTGGACGGGCAATCTTGTAACAAATCACTCGTGGACAGATTTTTGGTTGAATGAAGGATGGACAATGTGGCTTGAACGTAAAATTCAGAATCGCATTGCTCAGGACCCAAAGGCATACGATCTAAAGGCTGCGATAGGTCTACGTGACCTTGTCGAAGCCGTCGAAGAATTTGGACCTACGCATCCTTTTACGGCACTAGTGCCTGACATTGAAGGCATGGATCCGGATGATGTCTTTTCGTCGATACCGTATGAGAAGGGCTTTAATTTTTTGCATTACCTGTCAACTGTGGTTGGAGGTCACAAAGTCTTTGACAAATTTGCACAAGCGTACATTCAGGAGTTTAAGTTCAAGACAGTCACGTCGGGTGAATTTCGTGCATTTTTCGAAAAATACTTTGCGGAACAGCCGGAAGCATTGAGCAAAATTGATTGGGAAACGTGGTATTACGCGCCTGGCATGCCGCCTGTTGCAAATAAGTTTGACACGACCCTTACTAGCCAAGCAACGTGTCTGGGCGAGCAGATGGCTGTGAGTAGCGACCTAGAAACGTGGACGAGTGTCGACAAGGACATGTTGCAAAAGTGGCCGACTACTTTGTGGATCTTGTTACTCGACACGTTGTTGTTGAAGCAACAAGATGCGACGTTTACGGCTGCCCACTTGGATGTAATCGATTCCTTCACGCACCACCATCTGACGACTACGAACAACTCAGAGCTGCGATTCCGCTGGTATACGCTATGGCTTCGCTCGGGTGACTTGCGTTTGCTTGAGAAAACCGTCGAGATGCTTAAAGAACAAGGCCGTATGAAGTTTGTGCGTCCGCTTTTTCGGGATCTATGTACAGCTTTAGGGGCTGCTCAGGCTGAGGCCATTTTTGCGGATTGCAAGAATCTGTACCACCCGATTGCAGCTAAGATGATCCAGCGGGACATTGAAAACAGTATTGCAAAAGCTAAAAATAGCAAGATGAAGTTTGCGTCGCCGACGACCCCAAGTGCTTTGGCACAATGGCTGGGTGTGTCGGACGAAGTCGTAGGTTACACTGCTGTTGCAGTTACCGTCGCGACGGTGGCGCTTATTGTCATGTCCCGTCGACAATAGGTGGTGGTGGCACATTTGCTGTCAAGCCAGAATCTGGAATTACTCACGAGACACACAAACTTGCGAATCCTTGGTGTTCAGAACAACGCTGAGATGAAGGAAGAAACACCGAAAGCAGAATTGGTCAATGTGGAATATTCGCATTGCAAGCAAAAGAACTTTGTTGCATGAAAAGGAGAAATAATGTCGCATGAAGAGAAGAAAGAATGTTGCAATCTTGAAACGTGTTTGACTCTGGCCTTCACATACGATGGATGAATGCTAACTTTTTGCGTGAAATATCTCCTTGTTGCAAGCAGCAAGCAGAAATGACGAAACGTCGTGTGGTGCTGCAAGTGGCACTTGTCTATCATTCTTGTCGCGCTTTCAAGCAGGTAAACTTCAGTTTTTTTCATCATGTTAGCTTCACATTCACTGACAGTGGACAAGTATATTTACGGTGCTCAAACCCATCATCAATCAGTTCCTGCATCTTGTAGTTTTCAATGCAGTTTCATGATCTTGAAATGCCGCAAGACTCAAGTCATTTGGCCACTTGTAAAGATACTATTTTTGTATGAAACGCTGCATGCTGAAGCAACAAATGTGCCTTGTTCATCATACTAGACAACCGTTGCAAACGTCTCATGAGTGGTATCAAATATGGTCAGTACGACGACTAGGTTGGAAGGTGATGATGACATATTGCTGACCAATTCAGTGCTGCGTGAGATCGTACCCATTGTCGATAGATTGGCTATGATGTCAATGATGACATTACTTCGAGTGGCTCGTAAGATCAATCAAGTGTCGTTTGAAGTTCACCGATATGGGTATTGTGTGTCAGGATTGAAAACGACACAGTCCACGCGATGCTTCTATTTGTAATGAACAAATTCCATGCGTTTGTAAGACTACGTGTCGTTTTTCTTAGCTACTTTGTAGTACATTGGCGTTTCTGAAACTTATTAACGGGCTCAGCGTTTCAGATCTCCCACCATACGTCGAGAGTTGACTTATAGACAGACAATCATTGTTGTCTCATGTGGGGCTACTGTTTCATATACGCAATTAGCACGACACTTGACCTTTTGCAATCACTCCATCAACCACAATCGGGACTTGATTGAAAGTGTTTACTATCTTAGAACAGTCCGATGACGATGCCATCGCTCGACCAGATTTTCTGTACCGATCCAAGTGAACGAAAACCACGAAACAGTCTTCATAGCGTATGCGGTGTAAGAAACCAGCGCAATGCATTGCCCATTGATCGTCGAACCAAGGCGAGTTTGCGAAGATGCAATGCCCCGAATTGTCGCAAGACTGCGAAACGTGGTGGACGCTGCATTGCACATGGAGGTGGCAATAAATGTGCTGTTGATGGTTGTATTACAAGTGTAGTTAGTCGAGGGCTTTGTGTAGCACATGGTGGTGGTAAGCGATGCCAGACTCCATCGTGTGCCAAGAGTGCTCAAGCTGGAGGGTTTTGCTGGGTTCATGGTGGTGGCAAAAAGTGTGGTTATCACGGTTGTCCCAAGCGTGCTCAAAGCGGTGGAGCGTGTATTGCTCATGGTAAGCTATTAGCATGTGCTTGAAAGATGTGGATGTGAACAGGTGATTGAAACTAACGTTTTTGTTGTTGAATTGATACTGTCATTTGTAGGCGGTGGTAAACGGTGCCGTATCGGTGGATGCAACAAGGTTGTCCAATACGATGGGCTCTGCGTCGGCCACGGTGGCTACCGTCGATGTGTTTACATGAATTGTAATGGACGTGCAATGGCCAATGACCATTGTCAGCAACACGGTGGTTCCTCTATTTGTCTACTCGAGCGTTGTTACAAACGTGCTGTTCGTGGTGGAATGTGTTCCGAACACAAGGCTAACGCCTCACTTCAAGGTGTGATTTCAGGCGGATTCCCGGCATCAAATCTTTCGTCTGATGAAGATCAAGATCGTCAGATGGACAGATTTGCAAACTACGATCGTCTGACAACCAAAGAGCAAAGTAGGATGCAGTCAAAGGACGTTTCACGGAAATCACGCTCCGAGCATGAGCCATCAATATCACGCCTCATTCCGATACATGACAAGGTATCGGGATCAATTGCATTGACCGCTGACCGATTTTCACACAAAGATGAAGCGAGGAATCGAAGAACGGACGCTCCGTTTGCACCCGGATTTTCTGCACTTTTGGACGCCAATGACACTTGTATATCGTTGTCAAGACTGCGCGATTTGGAAGATCCGAAGCAGTCTGATTATCCGATACTACCGAGCATTCGATCGTTACAGCCTTTTCATACTGGCAATGTCGAGACTACTTTCCATAGTCCAACAACGTCTGATTTTCGACTCATGATTTCTCATGATCAAACGCTATTGAAATGGGAATCCAATGGTCGAGTTGACGAACAAAACAAAGCAAATTCATTTCGAAATACCCATGAAACGACATTGCACCAACTGTTTGTGCATTCGTATAATACCAACGAACAAATGATTCATCCATGATTTTTATAGGGTGGTATGTATGTATATATATGTATACATAATGCATATACGTATACGTCTAATCGAGCTAATAATTTCTATTATAACTCTATCATGGTGTAACTTGTATACCGAACAAAAACCTCAAACATAACCATCAAACTTATGTATTGTCTACATCACGTTTCTACTCTCACCATCGTCGTTCATTTCTAAATCCATCTTTTTTCACATATTTAGACGTTTTGGTCCCTCACTTTGATATTAGAAAGCATATAGACCAATAATGAACATAAATATGGATCCAAATGCTACCAGTCCGTGGTTTACAGTCCCTGAAGAAGAATTTCCACCCATGAACGTACAAATGCAGCAGCAGCAGCACACAATGCACAACACTTGTAGCTCTAATATGAATCAGATATCGGCAATAGGAGCATCTAGTGGACTGAATGGAACGCTTGGGGTCTCTTCTTCTAGTTATTATGATGACGTGGACGACGAGAACGAATTTGCCAATGAACCGCCTCTTTTAGAAGGTATTGTGATAATAGTTACTCTTTTTTGCTCTTCAAGTGTATGTGTGTTTATTTTTTTGGGTACTTACTATTTTGTCTTTTTGGGTCTTTTTGGATAGAATTGGGCATACATTTTGAACATATTTGGGCAAAAACAGTCTCTGTGCTCCTCCCGACAAAACAAATTAACGAGCATATATTAGATGATGCAGACCTTGCTGGACCACTTGTATTTTGTTTTCTTTTTGGTACTTGTTTGCTCTTGGTACGTCCAATGAAAAGAGGTCATTTTTGATGTTTTTGGTACTCATTTTTGATCACATTTTTTTGTACTTATATACTATTTCTGGTATCGTGGAATAGGCTGCAAAAGTTCATTTTGGGTACATTTATGGATTTGGTGTACTCTCATGTCTCTTCATGTACTTACTCATGAATTTATTGTCTCCTGAACGGACAATTGACATTTATCGAGTCTGTTCAGTACTGGGTTATTGCTTGTTGCCAATTATTGGCCTTGCAGCAATCAATATTGTCATCTCCGTGAAGGATTTGGGGATTATGGGCTTTGTACTCGCTAGTGTCTGCACTTTATGGAGTACGCATACGGCATCACGATTTTTTGAAAAAGCACTGTACATGACAGAGCAAAAGTATCTTGTTATGTACCCAACTATGCTGGTATATGCTTGCTTTGTGCTCATTGCCGTGTTTTAATTGTCTTGTGTGGCGCATCAAGAGTGGACGTACGCACGTACGTACGTTCGTATATTATATACATGTACGTACGTATGTACGTTCGTACACAAACGACAACATCCATGAATGACAAAGTTAAAATGGTATGAACGTTTTGCTTTATTTCCTGCTCTCCATGATGTAAAATGTAAGCCAAATGTACTTATATCAATCCATTCATGATAAATCAACTTATGCCGAACGGGCCACGTGCGTGCGTGCGTGTGTGTGGGTTTTTCTAAATGAGAAACTCCAGCGAATAATCCTTGTAAAACGCTCGTACAGCCTCATCGTTACGATTCTTCTCAGCCAGCAGCGCCATAAAGTCGACGCTGTCCGATGCAAGCAACTCCTGCACCTTTATCTCGTCCTCACACGATATAATGGCCTCAAGGGTCGATCCAATCAGCTTTGCTGCCTTGCCGTTGTAGCACAAGTGCTCCGACATTGACACAAGCTGCGGAATCGTGATACTGCCTGCCACCACAGAAGGAGCCACCATCATGCTCAAGTAGGGAAGCGTCTTTGGAATGTCAATTTCAATATCCTCAGCAAACTCCAGCATCTGTTGCACCGCGCTTCCCAAAGCAGCGCCAGTCACCACCTTGCGATCATACAGACCAGCCAAGAAGCTTGCAATAGCCTCTCGCTCCTTGTCTCCCTTGTCCAGACCAATATTCAAAACCTTAGTAGGAATCAGGCCGTAGTAATTCGACGCATTCAGCTCGGTAAAGCTCGTGTAAGCCTCTTCTAAGTCCTCCAGCTCCACATATTCATCAAGAATAGCTTTTACCTTCTTTTCAAAAACTTCAGCCGTAAGGGACAGAGTAGCCTCAACCTTGGTTGCCTTTGCCGACTTGGTAGATCGGCTATTGCTCGATGCCATTGAAGATAATGACGTAGGTGGGCGGCCACCGTCCTCACGTCCACGTAATGAGCGAGATGATGTGGACGAGGAGCTGTTGCTGCGAGCGCGCTCTTTGCGTCCATTTTCTTTTCCACTCAGAGATGCAAAGGCGTTACCAATTAGGTGATCACTCGGGTGACGAGGTGCACCAGATAAGGTAGGAGGGAATAGTCGGTCCGAGTTGCTGCGGTGCTTCATACTCTTCGGACGCGCACCACCCGTTACAGTCTCCCAGCCGTCTGCGTCCACAACAGGAGCAGTGCTTGTGGAAGCCGACGAAGAAGTGGACACAGCTCGCGCTTTCCAGGCAGCAGAGGCACCACCACCGCTGCCTCGCCGCCGGTCATTCGAGCTAACTGATCCTGTAGAGTTCATCGAATAGCTGCGTTGCAGACGGGTCTGGCCACCACCTTTGCTGTTCGTACGTTCCTTCTCCTTTGCCTCACGAGCAACCTCTTCATGCACCTCAGCAATAGTCATTGCCTTTGTCTCTTTGCGACGTGCAACCCACCGGTTTGAACGCAGCTCCAACAAATCCTGAAGCATAAAGCGCACACGAGTGCATAACAGCTTCGACTCTCCACTCAGTTTTTTTATGATAGCGTAGTAGCCGTTAATGCGATTCAGCTCGGCCTTCGCGGACACGTTGCTCTCAAAGGCCTGGCCAATCGTGCTCAGCAAGTTGCACAAGCACTCAAGTGACTCTTCATCGGGAGCCGTAATGTCACCAAACAGAATGCCGACACACTCGTGCATGATGCGCGACCTCAGCATACGCTGTTTGAACAGCTCACCAACAAAGCGAATATGACCCAACGAAGCGCGTTTTATAATCAACTCCTTCTCCCGGCGCTCATCCTCACGCAAATTTTCAAGGTCCTCAACGTCACGCTTTGTCTCAAACTCCTTTTGACAACGCAGCAGCAGCAGCTTGCGAAAAAGCTTATGTGTGTCCGTCACGACTTCGTTGTCTTCAAGGGTAATCGCAGGCATGGCAGTCTGCGCAATCTTGGCGCACAACTCAGCATACATGGTCGAAAAGTGCCATTCATTCTGTGCCTTAGCAATGACCATCTCAATTACGCCCTTCAGAACTTCTAGTCCGCGCACAGCAACCTCAATCAGCTGATCCGACAGCTTGTCAAACTTTTCAATTGACAGCTTGTTCAAAATGGCTTTCGCCTCTTTCAAAGACGCAACGGTAGTCTCAACTGGGTCATCTAGACGCGACTTTGCATGTGACGGCTTCCAACGAGTCTCTTCATTAATATCAAGCGGAGCGCAATCCTCAAGAGGAGGAGCTGTGTCCTGGTGGCTACGACCACCGCGACCGCTACGGCCTCCACGACTGCTACCACGACCGTCACGGCGTCCACGTCCATCGTTAAAGCTACCACTGCTGTTATGACGACCAAGAGATCGAAATGAATCGTTGCGACGCAAACCCGTACCTAATGCATCCGGCATTGAGGCAGAAAGAGCCTTTGTCGTTATTTCAGATGCAATTATACTGCTCTTAATACACTCGGGCATGGGGCACATTTCAACGTCAAGTTCCATCTCTAGTAGCTGTTTAATGGTGTACATGATACGTTCACTGATCACCGCCTGTTCAGCAACAACTTCCGGTTTCTCACTCTCTTTTCTCTCTTCGTCAATAAACTGAGCCTTCGTCGGAGTATCCACCTTGTGCTGCTTGTGCATTTCCTCACGTTCCGACATTTCCGTCTGAATCTCCACGTCAATAACTTTCTCCTCTTTCACAATATGATTGTGCTCTTCCTGTTCCGATTCTGAGGAACTTGAAGACGCTACAGATGTCGCTGGTGTCCAATTTGTCTCCAAAGTACTAGTCTTCATCTGTTCATCATCCACAAAAGTAGTAGCAGCAGGTGTAGTAGTAGTAGTAGACATAGTAGTAGTAGTAGTAGACGTAGTACTACTACTGCTACTATCTGTCATAATAGTTCTCGTCATGTCACCAGTCACCAATGTCTTCATCTTGATATTCTTCTTCTCTACAACTGGAATCTTCAGTGATGCAGGCACAAATGTAGGTGCATGATCTACAAATATCACCAAAATAAACATCAATTAGTACTCAATCAAGGACTACTATTTACAATTACTACTATTTACTACGAGTACTAATTATTTGCTCTCTCTCTTATTATCGATATAAATTCTTACATGAAGGGATAAATGGTTTTGCTGATAGTTTGAGTTGACTCTTCATTGGAACAGGTGGTGATGATACTTCATGAAGTATGCCATTTGGATGTAGAGGTGATGAAGTAACTGGTATTCTCGAAGGTGTCCAGACTGGTGCTGCCGTATTAAATACAAATTCTTTTGCTGTCGGACGTAATTTTGAAGATATGCCTAATTTAGGCTTTTGGCTGAAATTTTCAGGCTGGGTTTCAGTCATTTAGAGACGAATACTTTGTGTAAACTCTTAGAAATCGAGAAAAATGATTGGTTTGACGTGAGGTGGAAGAGAAGAATGACGCACAGACAGACACACACACGCACGATTTGCGCAGGTGTTTGAGATAATGATCGAGGGATCGAGAGAGAAGACACAGACAAACGGGAGACACTTTGTCGCTCTCTTTCTAACTAACCACCTTCTTTAAATGTTTTGTATAAACTCATTGAGTAAAATGATTTGGACCAATCAAGATGGAGATGTAGTGTATTTTTGACTGGTTGGGACAAACTGGACGGGGTGAAGTAACGATTCCGACACCATTTTGAGACTCTTTTTGTCAAAAAAAAAAACAGATTGAAACGAACGAAAAAAAAGTTATGATGAATTCTTGGTGCAATTATAGACCTTCTTTTACCAAGTCCGATTTACGTGATCCAAATAATAATGATAATAAACCTTCTTTTTACCAAGTCCGATTTACTTGATTCATGAAATCAAGTATTGTCAACTGTTGATCACTCGAAAATAACACCGAGTTTCCATTATTAGTGCAGTAATAGCTATCGATTCAGTACTGTCTGGCGTCAGAATCTTCGTATGTTACTCGTACGATACAGTACTGAGCATGTACGATGAGAATGAATAATGTTTTTCTATATCAAATCAGAATCAATGAATGACTCGTGACCACTATGCTCTTCACAACTTCGACTAATATTGAGCAATCCAGATTCTTCCACCCACATCTAATTCGAAGTAATAGGGGCAGGCATCATTCTCCATAACTTCTTGCTACTTTTTCGATAAACTCCTTATCATTCTACCAAACGTGTTTTCTTCTGATACCACCACCTCCTTTTTCAATACACGTAGTGGTACAACAAGCTTAGTCAATGTACTCTATCTGACCACTCTGTTCCATCTCGTCCTAGCTTATCTTGTATACGACTTGTAACTGAGCTTAAATGAGAACTGACGTTAGTATAGTTTGCAAATAGTTCCTTGTTCATGTCTGAATGATAACGCAAGTTGGTTTGTTGCCAGCATAGCGCAAGTTCAACCAATACATCACCATCTTTTCTCACAGCCCAAATGTGGGCGTAAAAACAAACCAGCATACAAGTCACCAGCATGACAGCAATCAGCGTGAAACACAAGAAAAAAAAAAGCACAAGCATGCGGTGAGTGCGTCATGGAAATGCCCAGACGTGATCCTACACAGCGACTTTTTCATGAAATGAAATTTTGCTTTCAAGACCGAGAGGAGAATATGCCTACAAGCACGCTCATGTACAAGCTAAGCTTCATTGGAACCTTTTTGCGCACTTCCTGCTTGACTTGGTTATCCATGTGTCACATTATTGAAGTCTTTGATTCATCAAAGTCGAGTTATAAGACAAGTCAATTTGAAACAAACAAAAATTTGAAATGAGCAAGTGTTCTAGAATCATGTACATCTAGTGCGTGTTGCAGTTGCTCTGTAAACAGCAGCTACTTGAAAGACTTTAGACTCACTATCATCTGAGTTATCTGACCACTTTTTTTCAAAAGCACCAATTTTCTTAGTGGCTGCGTACACATGGCAGAAAAGGATAGACGTATTCTCATCTTCATGCAGTCCTTCTTATCGTAACAAACTGTTGCTCAAGCTTGAAGTTTGCGTGGGGTAAGGTCATAGTTCCAGCAGAATGTGGCCGAGCAGGCAATCAATTGCCCGCTCATGCGAAAAGCTACACGTGATTTCGATCGGAATTTCGCATCGATAAAGGCCGATTCAGATCTACAGCTTATCGCATCAACACAATCTAAGCTCCAATGCACAGACTGAAATTTAACTTTCAGGTACGCCCAGTGAGCATGATGCTTAATTTTCTTAAGTAGCCATCTTAAAATTCTACTTTGACGTGGCAGCCGCAACGAAATGCAATATTTGCGGTGCAAAAAGCCTTCATGAGGCTTTCCATATCAATCACCTCCGTCTTAGCATCGTTCTTCTTTTGCTGCAGGTACTATAGCAACGACTACATATTTATGCCCATAAGTTTGTTGTCATATGAAAAATAGCGCTCACTACCACTTTTTGATAGACAGCTTTTTTTCTCACGATCGGTGTCGTTTCGATGGGAGCATCGTCTTTTTGAAACGCATCACAAGAGGTGATCAAACAGCGGTGCTCGAGTATCCCACGCCAGCGAAAGCCTGTGACAACATCTGTGGCCAGGAAAGCTTGCCACATAAAGCTTGGCAGTATCTGAACTGTCCACAAGGAAGATGTTACGATGCGTCGGCAGAGAATGGCGTTAGATGGGGACATGTATAAATTCTTTAGCCAGCTTCAATCCGACATACCCAGTGTTTCATTTTTAAATCAGTCGAGTAGATCACAAGTCTCACATTGCACATTTGCATCAAGTACACGGCAATGCCTCTCAAATGGTTCCGGAGTCACCGAGACAGCAGTTCCATTAATACGGAAGATGAAATTACCCGGTCATCGACGGAGGCCACAAGCACCAAGCCAAAAACCAAGCGGAGCAAGTCTATGACACATCGATCTCGACGATCGCGCTCGCAGGGTCCTGGTCTGCGTGCCATGATTGGCATGGGCCGATCGATGCAGTACGAGCTCGACATGTCGACTGCAGTTGCAGCTGAGGAAGAGCAGCGACGTATTTTGTACCAAACCAAGAACCATCGCCGATTTACCATCCACGGTATCTCCACTCATCACAAACATAGTGATGCAGGCTCGAGCTGCAACTCTACGCCAGCAGGATCCCCAATGCCGCCGACGACTCCAAGTCATGCACGCGCATGGCATTACGGCTTGGGCTCTAATCGAACGTTGCATGGACGCAGCCCACGAACTCCGCTGAAGAACTCTCTCACGTCGGACTCGCACCCGTCGATCATCTTCATCGACTGTCCGCCGTAGAAAACTTACACTTCTAGATTCGATAATGTCGCAAGACAATCATACCATATGAGTGTAGCTCTAGAGAAGGCTGCACATGTAAACTAATAAGATGTAGACAATGAATGCAAGCAACTAGTGTGTGATAACTCCTTTTGCACTTTAAACTAGTAGTCGACTGAACTAATCAAGTTAAATCTTTCTGCCGTGAACTTCTTGTCGAGTGAGGAATCTAACACTATGTAGTAAAGTAAAAGGAAGTTGCTTTGAACGCACGTATTCAAAGTACTCAGCAATACAAGTTGAAGTCAAAAACACCTACAAGTCTGCAACAACTTGAACTCAACTAGGCAAATATCATGCAATTGTTTCTTGTCATTGTACAAGGTGCTGGATGCAAAGCACCATATTGTTTCTTCTTGCGGTAAGAACAGTGTTACCAACAGCAAATCGCTTATTACCTACGACGCCTACTTCTACGCTCCAAATTCATTTAAAATCCTTGTAGCTCTCGATTGGATAGACTAAAAATACCTTGCGATCGTGTTTGTATATACAGTGAGGATAGCCTTTTTGACTTGCTTGCGTTGTCGTTACGTACAATTAAGCGGTAGAAATACAAAGCCCTTCTTGACCTACCTATAGTACCAAGAATCTCCTATCTTTGTCAATACGACCCCGTCATCGACTCTTGTTTCTTCCAGTAACTTTGATATTCCAGCGTGAATTTTATCACTTTGCAAATAGAAATTTCAACAAAACCATGGCTCGCTAATGTTCGCACTAACGTCTGTTTCTTCGAATGACCAGAGAATCAGATGTCGATGACAAACCTATTCGAGTTTGACCATCGCATCTAAATCTTATCACTGCATAGTGCTCTTCTTAGATTCTTTGCACCTATAGTCCGGTCGAAACGAATTTCCATGATGAAATATCATTTACTTGTTGACTCTCGTGAGCTTTTTCACCCCATCTTTCTTGAAACACTGAAATCACTTGATCACGGTCTCATTCTAAATCGTAGGAGATGATGAAGCAAAACCTAAATCTAACGACACCCGTACTGATTGGTAAACAATGCATCTTGGTATACCGACACCAGTCTGAAACATTGAAAGCGACTGTTTAGCTAATCAAGAAAAAAAACGACTCGAATCAAACTGAACTCAGAACTCGGACCATTTTGGAATCGTTGTCCACCGTCCTAAGTGCTTTTTTTTTGCTTCACGATGACGTCTTCATTACCCGTTCAAGCTTCCTGTCTCCAAGACCAGCGCTATAGTGATGGCTATTTCAATAATGGTCGTAATCAAAAGCTCTTTTATTGCGCGGCTTTTCCTCCTCCTTTCGTACCTCTTCGTGGTGTTGTACTCTTCCTGCATGGTATTGGAGAACATTCCTTGCGGTTTACTCATGTTTACAACCATTTGTGTAGGAATGGATACGGAGTGATTGCGTATGACATGTTGAGTCATGGGCAGAGTGAATGTGAGAGACCAGACTTACGAGCTCATGGGTCTGAGTTTCACTTTTTTGTGGATGATACGAACCAGTTTGTAACGACTGCCAAGTCGACAATATATAGCAAGATGTTACCGGAAGGAGTCTTGGATCCACCTTTGATCATTATGGGCATCTCGTTTGGAGCCTTAGTTGCTCTAAATACAATCTTGTCTGAAAAGCATCAATTCAGTGGCTGTGTAGTAGCGTCACCAGCTATTGCAGTCGAGTATACTCCCATGCTTCGCATCATGGAGATGATGTCCAAGCCACTCGTACGTATGGCGCCTGAAGCAAGGTTGGTGGCAGGAGTAAATGTTAACAAACTAACTCGAGATCCAGATTTCTTGAAGGATTATATGATGGACCCATTAAACGTCTCGGACAATTTGACGGTGCGCATGGCGACACAGGTGAGTTTGGGAATGACGCAGTTACAGAGCAATAGACAGATTGAAGATTACACGAGCACGTTTTGCAAAGTGCCGCTTCTTGTACTACAGGGCACCGATGATAAAGTCACGAGCGTGACGGTCGTAAGGGACTTTATGGGTCGAGCTGCAACTAAAGACAAGGAGTTGAAATTATTTTCGGGGCTTTTTCACTGCCTTTGGAATGAACCGGAAAAGCAGCAGGTGATGGACTATGCGAGTAAATGGCTCAACAAGCGTTTTGGTCAGTCGATAACAGACTCTCACGCAGTTTTAACCTTCCTAGGGACCTCAAAGATTTAGAGGGGAAGAGATTGTGGTGTCACTCTTGATCTGTGCGTTTTGTATTCTTTCCAAGGCGAGTTGCTTGTAACGTGAATACAAATGAAGCTGATTGAAGACGTGATTCAGTAGTTTGCCAAATCATGTTGCATACATGGAGCGCCATGGTTATTGTGATAACATGCATTAGCTTATTACATGGATCCCAAGGCAAACTTACATCTTGTATACGCTTCGTCGCCATTACGTACCGTATGTACTTTGGAGATGTTTAAATAGTAGGATCGCTCATTACTTCGCTTACGCCATTCTGTTTTGAATTGGTCCACATTCCAGGTCCGGAGACTTGCAAACAAACTGATAAAAGCAAATGGTGTTTACAAATGGGTCATAGAGGTTCAGTCTGTTAGTGCCAAGTAAGAATGTAAGGAAGAAAAATGTGTGGAAACCTCAATGCGCATTTAGTGGCATTGACGGGATCACACAACCGTTTGACTACAAAATGGTCTCGACAAAACGGCACTCGGTCACGAAAGCTTCTGAAAAAATTACTCACAAATGACAACAAATGCTTTGAGAGGCTTTAACGTACGAAACGTGCTGTCCGACTGCAGCTGTAGCTTTTTGATTTTTCTACATTTGTAGCCATGCTTCTTCTGTTTCAAGGCTAAACGGTTAGTTCAACACTACATCTTTCTAACGCAGTGGCAGGAATGCTAAATTGCTTTTCATACGAGCTCTAATGCTGTCAAACACCTTGAGTTGACACCAACACAATGCCGCATCTCAAAAGACAGCAAAGTGTACGACAAGACTAGAAAGTTAAAGGTTGATATACACTGCAGATTCCAAAAAGAAGAATGGAAGCAGCACAGGCTAGCTAGTTTTATTGTTGTTAAGAGCGTAGTAGACCCACCAAAACACCATGTACCTGATAACCTTTGTAAGGTGCTAATCAAGCATATCCATGACCACTGCTGTAGACTGCTATATACTAACCTGGGAGCTGATAACCGTATTGAACTGCTCCAGAGTTCAGTGATATCCGTTTACAAAGATTGACCAAGCTTCGAATCATACCAAACATATAAACATTGTGCGATACGCAGTGACGTTTTCCCACTTCATTGCAGCATATATATCTTTCATACAAGATACAGCACATTGGCATCAGTTTCTACATTGCAATAAAAAGTCTCTCTGTTCACGATCAATACCAATGACTGTTAACTACAGTATTGCAACTTAATATATCATGTCAAAAATGCACCTTTAGCCGATTCGCAGGAACTCCTTTGCCTCGTGACGGTTCCGCAGTTTTAGCAGTTCAATCAACCTTATTACTATACATTTACTTTACATACATGCTAGTAAATACAGCGCCAGTTTCCGCAGGTAGTAGCAAGACGTGTTCAACCTTTTGACTTCGAAGAAGACGCAATCTCATTTGGCAGTCCAGAAACAGTCAAAAGTTTACTTAAATCACCAGAACTTATTGTGGAAACTGCTGAACTTCGTTCAACAAGCCAACTGTGCTCGGACAGACTGGGTAACAAGGTCGTGCGGCACATTGATCTTGTAATCGCGGTAACTTTCAAACAATGCTTGACTCTTATCTTTGATTAGATTATCTCCGATTATCTTTTTTCCACAAGGAAAATAGTCTTAGCTGCAATTTCTTTACCACATCAGTATTGGAGACTTCTTGTTAAGCGCATCGTTTAGACGCTGCCCAACGTTGAGATCACCTTGGCAGTGTTTGCGTAACGCAAAGAGGATCTCTGTTGACCCATCTTATTTGGCCTAAGTGACGATATTAGCCCATGCGAGAACTTGTCTACTAAATAAGTATGCACGCTTCAAACTCAATGCCAACTTTTCCTCGTTGGCGTTGAGTTTGAAACGTGCATACGACACTTCCGCAGTATTCGTGAACATAACCTACACGTTATATGGAAATGTAAATATCGTTGAAAGCTTTTGTTTCATCGGTTGTAAGTATTCCCCCAAGCGACTAGTAAGCTCTTCGAGACCACTGTTACCCGCCCTCGCTTCAAGAGCGTTCCTTTCGTCTCTCAATGTGGCGGCTACGGTAGATTGCAAGTAGCACTTAATTAACACGCTTGCATCCAGGGTTGTTTAAGATATTATTCACGCTTAGCATGGCCATCTCTAATGTGGATGCTGCAATGTGCAGGGCAACCGCACTCCTTGCCTTCGGGACAGGTATTATTCAAATTATAAATTGTAGCTAAAATAAAATAATGAGGCTATTTAGACGCACATGCCGGCCGGGGGGGGTAGGGGAAGGGGTGGGGGGGTGGTGGGGTGCGTCCTAACCACTAGACGACACTGACACAATGCATAAACACGATGCCATCATCCAAACACAGACCATTACAAACATTCCCGCACCATTGGCCTCTACCTCTTTCAACATCCACACTCGATCACCCTTTCCAGCTATGAACGCCATTCCTACACCAAAGCTTCTACCAACCGTTTTTCTTCCTGTTGTGACAATCTCCTTACTGCCACATCTCTTGCTAAACGTTCATTCAGCTCACATCATTGTCCTCTTAGACGCTACCACCTCACTATAGGATGTATTGGCTTCTTCAAACACACTGAAGACCGTCTCGTCAACTGCGTGTGTGCATCTGTGTATGACACCGCCCAGTATGAACGCTGGATCCCAGAAAACCTCCCTTTGCGGGTGGCCGCCACTGAACGAACCGCAGAGCATCAACTGAGCACATCAAAACGAGTGGTAGGCTGTTGACTGTCCGATGTGTACTATCAAGCACGAGAGCAACGGTCACCACATATACAAGAGATCGGCAAAAGGAGCAAACAAGATATCAGAGGAGGGGATCGAACCCTCGATCTCGAGCGTGTAAAACTCGCGTCCTAACCACTAGACGACACTGACACACAATGCATAAACACGATGCCATCATCCAAACACAGACCATTACAAACATTCCCGCACCATTGGCCTCTACCTCTTTCAACATCCACACTCGATCACCCTTTCCAGCAATGAACGCCATTCCTACACCAAAGCTTCTACCAACCGTTTTTCTTCCTGTTGTGACAATCTCCTTACAGCCACATCTCTTGCTAAACGTTCATTCAGCTCACATCATTGTCCTCTTAGACGCTACCACCTCACTATAGGATGTATTGGCTTCTTCAAACACACTGAAGACCGTCTCGTCAACTGCGTGTGTGCATCTGTGTAAGACACCGCCCAGTATGAACGCTGGATCCCAGAAAACCTCCCTTTGCGGGTGGCCGCCACTGAACGAACCGCAGAGCATCAACTGAGCACATCAAAACGAGTGGTAGGCTGTTGACTGTCCGATGTGTACTATCAAGCACGAGAGCAACGGTCACCACATATACAAGAGATCGGCAAAAGGAGCAAACAAGATATCAGAGGAGGGGATCGAACCCTCGATCTCGAGCGTGTAAAACTCGCGTCCTAACCACTAGACGACACTGACACACAATGCATAAACACGATGCCATCATCCAAACACAGACCATTACAAACATTCCCGCACCATTGGCCTCTACCTCTTTCAACATCCACACTCGATCACCCTTTCCAGCAATGAACGCCATTCCTACACCAAAGCTTCTACCAACCGTTTTTCTTCCTGTTGCGACAATCAAAACTTGTCCTATTATATCATCAATTAAAATTGAAAAATAAATAAAATTTAAATGAATTGATATCTCCTTACAGCCACATCTCTTGCTAAACGTTCATTCAGCTCACATCTTTGTCCTCTTAGACGCTACCACCTCACTATAGGATGTATTGGCTTCTTCAAACACACTGAAGACCGTCTCGTCAACTGCGTGTGTGCATCTGTGTATGACACCGCCCAGTATGAACGCTGGATCCCAGAAAACCTCCCTTTGCGGGTGGCCGCCACTGAACGAACCGCAGAGCATCAACTGAGCACATCAAAACGAGTGGTAGGCTGTTGACTGTCCGATGTGTACTATCAAGCACGAGAGCAACGGTCACCACATATACAAGAGATCGGCAAAAGGAGCAAACAAGATATCAGAGGAGGGGATCGAACCCTCGATCTCGAGCGTGTAAAACTCGCGTCCTAACCACTAGACGACACTGACACACAATGCATAAACACGATGCCATCATCCAAACACAGACCATTACAAACATTCCCGCACCATTGGCCTCTACCTCTTTCAACATCCACACTCGATCACCCTTTCCAGCAATGAACGCCATTCCTACACCAAAGCTTCTACCAACCGTTTTTCTTCCTGTTGTGACAATCTCCTTACTGCCACATCTCTTGCTAAACGTTCATTCAGCTCACATCATTGTCCTCTTAGACGCTACCACCTCACTATAGGATGTATTGGCTTCTTCAAACACACTGAAGACCGTCTCGTCAACTGCGTGTGTGCATCTGTGTATGACACCGCCCAGTATGAACGCTGGATCCCAGAAAACCTCCCTTTGCGGGTGGCCGCCACTGAACGAACCGCAGAGCATCAACTGAGCACATCAAAACGAGTGGTAGGCTGTTGACTGTCCGATGTGTACTATCAAGCACGAGAGCAACGGTCACCACATATACAAGAGATCGGCAAAAGGAGCAAACAAGATATCAGAGGAGGGGATCGAACCCTCGATCTCGAGCGTGTAAAACTCGCGTCCTAACCACTAGACGACACTGACACACAATGCATAAACACGATGCCATCATCCAAACACAGACCATTACAAACATTCCCGCACCATTGGCCTCTACCTCTTTCAACATCCACACTCGATCACCCTTTCCAGCAATGAACGCCATTCCTACACCAAAGCTTCTACCAACCGTTTTTCTTCCTGTTGTGACAATCTCCTTACTGCCACATCTCTTGCTAAACGTTCATTCAGCTCACATCATTGTCCTCTTAGACGCTACCACCTCACTATAGGATGTATTGGCTTCTTCAAACACACTGAAGACCGTCTCGTCAACTGCGTGTGTGCATCTGTGTATGACACCGCCCAGTATGAACGCTGGATCCCAGAAAACCTCCCTTTGCGGGTGGCCGCCACTGAACGAACCGCAGAGCATCAACTGAGCACATCAAAACGAGTGGTAGGCTGTTGACTGTCCGATGTGTACTATCAAGCACGAGAGCAACGGTCACCACATATACAAGAGATCGGCAAAAGGAGCAAACAAGATATCAGAGGAGGGGATCGAACCCTCGATCTCGAGCGTGTAAAACTCGCGTCCTAACCACTAGACGACACTGACACACAATGCATAAACACGATGCCATCATCCAAACACAGACCATTACAAACATTCCCGCACCATTGGCCTCTACCTCTTTCAACATCCACACTCGATCACCCTTTCCAGCAATGAACGCCATTCCTACACCAAAGCTTCTACCAACCGTTTTTCTTCCTGTTGTGGCAATCTCCTTACTGCCACATCTCTTGCTAAACGTTCATTCAGCTCACATCATTGTCCTCTTAGATGCTACCACCTCACTATAGGATGTATTGGCTTCTTCAAACACACTGAAGACCGTCTCGTCAACTGCGTGTGTGCATCTGTGTAAGACACCGCCCAGTATGAACGCTGGATCCCAGAAAACCTCCCTTTGCGGGTGGCCGCCACTGAACGAACCGCAGAGCATCAACTGAGCACATCAAAACGAGTGGTAGGCTGTTGACTGTCCGATGTGTACTATCAAGCACGAGAGCAACGGTCACCACATATACAAGAGATCGGCAAAAGGAGCAAACAAGATATCAGAGGAGGGGATCGAACCCTCGATCTCGAGCGTGTAAAACTCGCGTCCTAACCACTAGACGACACTGACACACAATGCATAAACACGATGCCATCATCCAAACACAGACCATTACAAACATTCCCGCACCATTGGCCTCTACCTCTTTCAACATCCACACTCGATCACCCTTTCCAGCAATGAACGCCATTCCTACACCAAAGCTTCTACCAACCGTTTTTCTTCCTGTTGTGGCAATCTCCTTACTGCCACATCTCTTGCTAAACGTTCATTCAGCTCACATCATTGTCCTCTTAGATGCTACCACCTCACTATAGGATGTATTGGCTTCTTCAAACACACTGAAGACCGTCTCGTCAACTGCGTGTGTGCATCTGTGTATGACACCGCCCAGTATGAACGCTGGATCCCAGAAAACCTCCCTTTGCGGGTGGCCGCCACTGAACGAACCGCAGAGCATCAACTGAGCACATCAAAACGAGTGGTAGGCTGTTGACTGTCCGATGTGTACTATCAAGCACGAGAGCAACGGTCACCACATATACAAGAGATCGGCAAAAGGAGCAAACAAGATATCAGAGGAGGGGATCGAACCCTCGATCTCGAGCGTGTAAAACTCGCGTCCTAACCACTAGACGACACTGACACACAATGCATAAACACGATGCCATCATCCAAACACAGACCATTACAAACATTCCCGCACCATTGGCCTCTACCTCTTTCAACATCCACACTCGATCACCCTTTCCAGCAATGAACGCCATTCCTACACCAAAGCTTCTACCAACCGTTTTTCTTCCTGTTGTGGCAATCTCCTTACTGCCACATCTCTTGCTAAACGTTCATTCAGCTCACATCATTGTCCTCTTAGATGCTACCACCTCACTATAGGATGTATTGGCTTCTTCAAACACACTGAAGACCGTCTCGTCAACTGCGTGTGTGCATCTGTGTATGACACCGCCCAGTATGAACGCTGGATCCCAGAAAACCTCCCTTTGCGGGTGGCCGCCACTGAACGAACCGCAGAGCATCAACTGAGCACATCAAAACGAGTGGTAGGCTGTTGACTGTCCGATGTGTACTATCAAGCACGAGAGCAACGGTCACCACATATACAAGAGATCGGCAAAAGGAGCAAACAAGATATCAGAGGAGGGGATCGAACCCTCGATCTCGAGCGTGTAAAACTCGCGTCCTAACCACTAGACGACACTGACACACAATGCATAAACACGATGCCATCATCCAAACACAGACCATTACAAACATTCCCGCACCATTGGCCTCTACCTCTTTCAACATCCACACTCGATCACCCTTTCCAGCAATGAACGCCATTCCTACACCAAAGCTTCTACCAACCGTTTTTCTTCCTGTTGCGACAATCAAAACTTGTCCTATTATATCATCAATTAAAATTGAAAAATGAATAAAATTTAAATGAATTGATATCTCCTTACAGCCACATCTCTTGCTAAACGTTCATTCAGCTCACATCTTTGTCCTCTTAGATGCTACCACCTCACTATAGGATGTATTGGCTTCTTCAAACACACTGAAGACCGTCTCGTCAACTGCGTGTGTGCATCTGTGTATGACACCGCCCAGTATGAACGCTGGATCCCAGAAAACCTCCCTTTGCGGGTGGCCGCCACTGAACGAACCACAAAGCATCAACTGAGCACATCAAAACGAGTGGTAGGCTGTTGATTGTCCGATGTGTACTATCAAGCACGAGAGCAACGGTCACCACATATACAAGAGATCGGCAAAAGGAGCAAACAAGATATCAGAGGAGGGGATCGAACCCTCGATCTCGAGCGTGTGAAGCTCGCGTCCTAACCACTAGACGACACTGACACACAATGCATAAACACGATGCCATCATCCAAACACAGACCATTACAAACATTCCCGCACCATTGGCCTCTACCTCTTTCAACATCCACACTCGATCACCCTTTCCAGCAATGAACGCCATTCCTACACCAAAGCTTCTACCAACCGTTTTTCTTCCTGTTGTGGCAATCTCCTTACTGCCACATCTCTTGCTAAACGTTCATTCAGCTCACATCTTTGTCCTCTTAGATGCTACCACCTCACTATAGGATGTATTGGCTTCTTCAAACACACTGAAGACCGTCTCGTCAACTGCGTGTGTGCATCTGTGTATGACACCGCCCAGTATGAACGCTGGATCCCAGAAAACCTCCCTTTGCGGGTGGCCGCCACTGAACGAACCGCAGAGCATCAACTGAGCACATCAAAACGAGTGGTAGGCTGTTGACTGTCCGATGTGTACTATCAAGCACGAGAGCAACGGTCACCACATATACAAGAGATCGGCAAAAGGAGCAAACAAGATATCAGAGGAGGGGATCGAACCCTCGATCTCGAGCGTGTAAAGCTCGCGTCCTAACCACTAGACGACACTGACACACAATGCATAAACACGATGCCATCATCCAAACACAGACCATTACAAACATTCCCGCACCATTGGCCTTTACCTCTTTCAACATCCACACTCGATCACCCTTTCCAGCAATGAACGCCATTCCTACACCAAAGCTTCTACCAACCGTTTTTCTTCCTGTTGTGGCAATCTCCTTACTGCCACATCTCTTGCTAAACGTTCATTCAGCTCACATCATTGTCCTCTTAGATGCTACCACCTCACTATAGGATGTATTGGCTTCTTCAAACACACTGAAGACCGTCTCGTCAACTGCGTGTGTGCATCTGTGTAAGACACCGCCCAGTATGAACGCTGGATCCCAGAAAACCTCCCTTTGCGGGTGGCCGCCACTGAACGAACCGCAGAGCATCAACTGAGCACATCAAAACGAGTGGTAGGCTGTTGACTGTCCGATGTGTACTATCAAGCACGAGAGCAACGGTCACCACATATACAAGAGATCGGCAAAAGGAGCAAACAAGATATCAGAGGAGGGGATCGAACCCTCGATCTCGAGCGTGTAAAACTCGCGTCCTAACCACTAGACGACACTGACACACAATGCATAAACACGATGCCATCATCCAAACACAGACCATTACAAACATTCCCGCACCATTGGCCTCTACCTCTTTCAACATCCACACTCGATCACCCTTTCCAGCAATGAACGCCATTCCTACACCAAAGCTTCTACCAACCGTTTTTCTTCCTGTTGTGGCAATCTCCTTACTGCCACATCTCTTGCTAAACGTTCATTCAGCTCACATCATTGTCCTCTTAGATGCTACCACCTCACTATAGGATGTATTGGCTTCTTCAAACACACTGAAGACCGTCTCGTCAACTGCGTGTGTGCATCTGTGTATGACACCGCCCAGTATGAACGCTGGATCCCAGAAAACCTCCCTTTGCGGGTGGCCGCCACTGAACGAACCGCAGAGCATCAACTGAGCACATCAAAACGAGTGGTAGGCTGTTGACTGTCCGATGTGTACTATCAAGCACGAGAGCAACGGTCACCACATATACAAGAGATCGGCAAAAGGAGCAAACAAGATATCAGAGGAGGGGATCGAACCCTCGATCTCGAGCGTGTAAAACTCGCGTCCTAACCACTAGACGACACTGACACACAATGCATAAACACGATGCCATCATCCAAACACAGACCATTACAAACATTCCCGCACCATTGGCCTCTACCTCTTTCAACATCCACACTCGATCACCCTTTCCAGCAATGAACGCCATTCCTACACCAAAGCTTCTACCAACCGTTTTTCTTCCTGTTGCGACAATCAAAACTTGTCCTATTATATCATCAATTAAAATTGAAAAATAAATAAAATTTAAATGAATTGATATCTCCTTACAGCCACATCTCTTGCTAAACGTTCATTCAGCTCACATCTTTGTCCTCTTAGATGCTACCACCTCACTATAGGATGTATTGGCTTCTTCAAACACACTGAAGACCGTCTCGTCAACTGCGTGTGTGCATCTGTGTATGACACCGCCCAGTATGAACGCTGGATCCCAGAAAACCTCCCTTTGCGGGTGGCCGCCACTGAACGAACCGCAGAGCATCAACTGAGCACATCAAAACGAGTGGTAGGCTGTTGACTGTCCGATGTGTACTATCAAGCACGAGAGCAACGGTCACCACATATACAAGAGATCGGCAAAAGGAGCAAACAAGATATCAGAGGAGGGGATCGAACCCTCGATCTCGAGCGTGTAAAGCTCGCGTCCTAACCACTAGACGACACTGACACACAATGCATAAACACGATGCCATCATCCAAACACAGACCATTACAAACATTCCCGCACCATTGGCCTCTACCTCTTTCAACATCCACACTCGATCACCCTTTCCAGCAATGAACGCCATTCCTACACCAAAGCTTCTACCAACCGTTTTTCTTCCTGTTGTGGCAATCTCCTTACTGCCACATCTCTTGCTAAACGTTCATTCAGCTCACATCATTGTCCTCTTAGATGCTACCACCTCACTATAGGATGTATTGGCTTCTTCAAACACACTGAAGACCGTCTCGTCAACTGCGTGTGTGCATCTGTGTATGACACCGCCCAGTATGAACGCTGGATCCCAGAAAACCTCCCTTTGCGGGTGGCCGCCACTGAACGAACCGCAGAGCATCAACTGAGCACATCAAAACGAGTGGTAGGCTGTTGACTGTCCGATGTGTACTATCAAGCACGAGAGCAACGGTCACCACATATACAAGAGATCGGCAAAAGGAGCAAACAAGATATCAGAGGAGGGGATCGAACCCTCGATCTCGAGCGTGTAAAACTCGCGTCCTAACCACTAGACGACACTGACACACAATGCATAAACACGATGCCATCATCCAAACACAGACCATTACAAACATTCCCGCACCATTGGCCTCTACCTCTTTCAACATCCACACTCGATCACCCTTTCCAGCAATGAACGCCATTCCTACACCAAAGCTTCTACCAACCGTTTTTCTTCCTGTTGTGACAATCTCCTTACTGCCACATCTCTTGCTAAACGTTCATTCAGCTCACATCATTGTCCTCTTAGATGCTACCACCTCACTATAGGATGTATTGGCTTCTTCAAACACACTGAAGACCGTCTCGTCAACTGCGTGTGTGCATCTGTGTAAGACACCGCCCAGTATGAACGCTGGATCCCAGAAAACCTCCCTTTGCGGGTGGCCGCCACTGAACGAACCGCAGAGCATCAACTGAGCACATCAAAACGAGTGGTAGGCTGTTGACTGTCCGATGTGTACTATCAAGCACGAGAGCAACGGTCACCACATATACAAGAGATCGGCAAAAGGAGCAAACAAGATATCAGAGGAGGGGATCGAACCCTCGATCTCGAGCGTGTAAAACTCGCGTCCTAACCACTAGACGACACTGACACACAATGCATAAACACGATGCCATCATCCAAACACAGACCATTACAAACATTCCCGCACCATTGGCCTCTACCTCTTTCAACATCCACACTCGATCACCCTTTCCAGCAATGAACGCCATTCCTACACCAAAGCTTCTACCAACCGTTTTTCTTCCTGTTGCGACAATCAAAACTTGTCCTATTATATCATCAATTAAAATTGAAAAATGAATAAAATTTAAATGAATTGATATCTCCTTACAGCCACATCTCTTGCTAAACGTTCATTCAGCTCACATCTTTGTCCTCTTAGATGCTACCACCTCACTATAGGATGTATTGGCTTCTTCAAACACACTGAAGACCGTCTCGTCAACTGCGTGTGTGCATCTGTGTATGACACCGCCCAGTATGAACGCTGGATCCCAGAAAACCTCCCTTTGCGGGTGGCCGCCACTGAACGAACCGCAGAGCATCAACTGAGCACATCAAAACGAGTGGTAGGCTGTTGACTGTCCGATGTGTACTATCAAGCACGAGAGCAACGGTCACCACATATACAAGAGATCGGCAAAAGGAGCAAACAAGATATCAGAGGAGGGGATCGAACCCTCGATCTCGAGCGTGTAAAACTCGCGTCCTAACCACTAGACGACACTGACACACAATGCATAAACACGATGCCATCATCCAAACACAGACCATTACAAACATTCCCGCACCATTGGCCTCTACCTCTTTCAACATCCACACTCGATCACCCTTTCCAGCAATGAACGCCATTCCTACACCAAAGCTTCTACCAACCGTTTTTCTTCCTGTTGTGGCAATCTCCTTACTGCCACATCTCTTGCTAAACGTTCATTCAGCTCACATCATTGTCCTCTTAGATGCTACCACCTCACTATAGGATGTATTGGCTTCTTCAAACACACTGAAGACCGTCTCGTCAACTGCGTGTGTGCATCTGTGTATGACACCGCCCAGTATGAACGCTGGATCCCAGAAAACCTCCCTTTGCGGGTGGCCGCCACTGAACGAACCGCAGAGCATCAACTGAGCACATCAAAACGAGTGGTAGGCTGTTGACTGTCCGATGTGTACTATCAAGCACGAGAGCAACGGTCACCACATATACAAGAGATCGGCAAAAGGAGCAAACAAGATATCAGAGGAGGGGATCGAACCCTCGATCTCGAGCGTGTAAAACTCGCGTCCTAACCACTAGACGACACTGACACACAATGCATAAACACGATGCCATCATCCAAACACAGACCATTACAAACATTCCCGCACCATTGGCCTCTACCTCTTTCAACATCCACACTCGATCACCCTTTCCAGCAATGAACGCCATTCCTACACCAAAGCTTCTACCAACCGTTTTTCTTCCTGTTGCGACAATCAAAACTTGTCCTATTATATCATCAATTAAAATTGAAAAATGAATAAAATTTAAATGAATTGATATCTCCTTACAGCCACATCTCTTGCTAAACGTTCATTCAGCTCACATCTTTGTCCTCTTAGATGCTACCACCTCACTATAGGATGTATTGGCTTCTTCAAACACACTGAAGACCGTCTCGTCAACTGCGTGTGTGCATCTGTGTATGACACCGCCCAGTATGAACGCTGGATCCCAGAAAACCTCCCTTTGCGGGTGGCCGCCACTGAACGAACCGCAGAGCATCAACTGAGCACATCAAAACGAGTGGTAGGCTGTTGACTGTCCGATGTGTACTATCAAGCACGAGAGCAACGGTCACCACATATACAAGAGATCGGCAAAAGGAGCAAACAAGATATCAGAGGAGGGGATCGAACCCTCGATCTCGAGCGTGTAAAGCTCGCGTCCTAACCACTAGACGACACTGACACACAATGCATAAACACGATGCCATCATCCAAACACAGACCATTACAAACATTCCCGCACCATTGGCCTCTACCTCTTTCAACATCCACACTCGATCACCCTTTCCAGCAATGAACGCCATTCCTACACCAAAGCTTCTACCAACCGTTTTTCTTCCTGTTGTGGCAATCTCCTTACTGCCACATCTCTTGCTAAACGTTCATTCAGCTCACATCATTGTCCTCTTAGATGCTACCACCTCACTATAGGATGTATTGGCTTCTTCAAACACACTGAAGACCGTCTCGTCAACTGCGTGTGTGCATCTGTGTATGACACCGCCCAGTATGAACGCTGGATCCCAGAAAACCTCCCTTTGCGGGTGGCCGCCACTGAACGAACCGCAGAGCATCAACTGAGCACATCAAAACGAGTGGTAGGCTGTTGACTGTCCGATGTGTACTATCAAGCACGAGAGCAACGGTCACCACATATACAAGAGATCGGCAAAAGGAGCAAACAAGATATCAGAGGAGGGGATCGAACCCTCGATCTCGAGCGTGTAAAACTCGCGTCCTAACCACTAGACGACACTGACACACAATGCATAAACACGATGCCATCATCCAAACACAGACCATTACAAACATTCCCGCACCATTGGCCTCTACCTCTTTCAACATCCACACTCGATCACCCTTTCCAGCAATGAACGCCATTCCTACACCAAAGCTTCTACCAACCGTTTTTCTTCCTGTTGTGGCAATCTCCTTACTGCCACATCTCTTGCTAAACGTTCATTCAGCTCACATCATTGTCCTCTTAGATGCTACCACCTCACTATAGGATGTATTGGCTTCTTCAAACACACTGAAGACCGTCTCGTCAACTGCGTGTGTGCATCTGTGTATGACACCGCCCAGTATGAACGCTGGATCCCAGAAAACCTCCCTTTGCGGGTGGCCGCCACTGAACGAACCGCAGAGCATCAACTGAGCACATCAAAACGAGTGGTAGGCTGTTGACTGTCCGATGTGTACTATCAAGCACGAGAGCAACGGTCACCACATATACAAGAGATCGGCAAAAGGAGCAAACAAGATATCAGAGGAGGGGATCGAACCCTCGATCTCGAGCGTGTAAAGCTCGCGTCCTAACCACTAGACGACACTGACACACAATGCATAAACACGATGCCATCATCCAAACACAGACCATTACAAACATTCCCGCACCATTGGCCTCTACCTCTTTCAACATCCACACTCGATCACCCTTTCCAGCAATGAACGCCATTCCTACACCAAAGCTTCTACCAACCGTTTTTCTTCCTGTTGTGGCAATCTCCTTACTGCCACATCTCTTGCTAAACGTTCATTCAGCTCACATCATTGTCCTCTTAGATGCTACCACCTCACTATAGGATGTATTGGCTTCTTCAAACACACTGAAGACCGTCTCGTCAACTGCGTGTGTGCATCTGTGTATGACACCGCCCAGTATGAACGCTGGATCCCAGAAAACCTCCCTTTGCGGGTGGCCGCCACTGAACGAACCGCAGAGCATCAACTGAGCACATCAAAACGAGTGGTAGGCTGTTGACTGTCCGATGTGTACTATCAAGCACGAGAGCAACGGTCACCACATATACAAGAGATCGGCAAAAGGAGCAAACAAGATATCAGAGGAGGGGATCGAACCCTCGATCTCGAGCGTGTAAAACTCGCGTCCTAACCACTAGACGACACTGACACACAATGCATAAACACGATGCCATCATCCAAACACAGACCATTACAAACATTCCCGCACCATTGGCCTCTACCTCTTTCAACATCCACACTCGATCACCCTTTCCAGCAATGAACGCCATTCCTACACCAAAGCTTCTACCAACCGTTTTTCTTCCTGTTGTGGCAATCTCCTTACTGCCACATCTCTTGCTAAACGTTCATTCAGCTCACATCATTGTCCTCTTAGATGCTACCACCTCACTATAGGATGTATTGGCTTCTTCAAACACACTGAAGACCGTCTCGTCAACTGCGTGTGTGCATCTGTGTAAGACACCGCCCAGTATGAACGCTGGATCCCAGAAAACCTCCCTTTGCGGGTGGCCGCCACTGAACGAACCGCAGAGCATCAACTGAGCACATCAAAACGAGTGGTAGGCTGTTGACTGTCCGATGTGTACTATCAAGCACGAGAGCAACGGTCACCACATATACAAGAGATCGGCAAAAGGAGCAAACAAGATATCAGAGGAGGGGATCGAACCCTCGATCTCGAGCGTGTGAAGCTCGCGTCCTAACCACTAGACGACACTGACACACAATGCATAAACACGATGCCATCATCCAAACACAGACCATTACAAACATTCCCGCACCATTGGCCTCTACCTCTTTCAACATCCACACTCGATCACCCTTTCCAGCAATGAACGCCATTCCTACACCAAAGCTTCTACCAACCGTTTTTCTTCCTGTTGCGACAATCAAAACTTGTCCTATTATATCATCAATTAAAATTGAAAAATGAATAAAATTTAAATGAATTGATATCTCCTTACAGCCACATCTCTTGCTAAACGTTCATTCAGCTCACATCTTTGTCCTCTTAGATGCTACCACCTCACTATAGGATGTATTGGCTTCTTCAAACACACTGAAGACCGTCTCGTCAACTGCGTGTGTGCATCTGTGTATGACACCGCCCAGTATGAACGCTGGATCCCAGAAAACCTCCCTTTGCGGGTGGCCGCCACTGAACGAACCACAAAGCATCAACTGAGCACATCAAAACGAGTGGTAGGCTGTTGATTGTCCGATGTGTACTATCAAGCACGAGAGCAACGGTCACCACATATACAAGAGATCGGCAAAAGGAGCAAACAAGATATCAGAGGAGGGGATCGAACCCTCGATCTCGAGCGTGTGAAGCTCGCGTCCTAACCACTAGACGACACTGACACACAATGCATAAACACGATGCCATCATCCAAACACAGACCATTACAAACATTCCCGCACCATTGGCCTCTACCTCTTTCAACATCCACACTCGATCACCCTTTCCAGCAATGAACGCCATTCCTACACCAAAGCTTCTACCAACCGTTTTTCTTCCTGTTGTGGCAATCTCCTTACTGCCACATCTCTTGCTAAACGTTCATTCAGCTCACATCATTGTCCTCTTAGATGCTACCACCTCACTATAGGATGTATTGGCTTCTTCAAACACACTGAAGACCGTCTCGTCAACTGCGTGTGTGCATCTGTGTATGACACCGCCCAGTATGAACGCTGGATCCCAGAAAACCTCCCTTTGCGGGTGGCCGCCACTGAACGAACCGCAGAGCATCAACTGAGCACATCAAAACGAGTGGTAGGCTGTTGACTGTCCGATGTGTACTATCAAGCACGAGAGCAACGGTCACCACATATACAAGAGATCGGCAAAAGGAGCAAACAAGATATCAGAGGAGGGGATCGAACCCTCGATCTCGAGCGTGTGAAGCTCGCGTCCTAACCACTAGACGACACTGACACACAATGCATAAACACGATGCCATCATCCAAACACAGACCATTACAAACATTCCCGCACCATTGGCCTCTACCTCTTTCAACATCCACACTCGATCACCCTTTCCAGCAATGAACGCCATTCCTACACCAAAGCTTCTACCAACCGTTTTTCTTCCTGTTGTGGCAATCTCCTTACTGCCACATCTCTTGCTAAACGTTCATTCAGCTCACATCATTGTCCTCTTAGATGCTACCACCTCACTATAGGATGTATTGGCTTCTTCAAACACACTGAAGACCGTCTCGTCAACTGCGTGTGTGCATCTGTGTATGACACCGCCCAGTATGAACGCTGGATCCCAGAAAACCTCCCTTTGCGGGTGGCCGCCACTGAACGAACCGCAGAGCATCAACTGAGCACATCAAAACGAGTGGTAGGCTGTTGACTGTCCGATGTGTACTATCAAGCACGAGAGCAACGGTCACCACATATACAAGAGATCGGCAAAAGGAGCAAACAAGATATCAGAGGAGGGGATCGAACCCTCGATCTCGAGCGTGTAAAGCTCGCGTCCTAACCACTAGACGACACTGACACACAATGCATAAACACGATGCCATCATCCAAACACAGACCATTACAAACATTCCCGCACCATTGGCCTCTACCTCTTTCAACATCCACACTCGATCACCCTTTCCAGCAATGAACGCCATTCCTACACCAAAGCTTCTACCAACCGTTTTTCTTCCTGTTGTGGCAATCTCCTTACTGCCACATCTCTTGCTAAACGTTCATTCAGCTCACATCATTGTCCTCTTAGATGCTACCACCTCACTATAGGATGTATTGGCTTCTTCAAACACACTGAAGACCGTCTCGTCAACTGCGTGTGTGCATCTGTGTATGACACCGCCCAGTATGAACGCTGGATCCCAGAAAACCTCCCTTTGCGGGTGGCCGCCACTGAACGAACCGCAGAGCATCAACTGAGCACATCAAAACGAGTGGTAGGCTGTTGACTGTCCGATGTGTACTATCAAGCACGAGAGCAACGGTCACCACATATACAAGAGATCGGCAAAAGGAGCAAACAAGATATCAGAGGAGGGGATCGAACCCTCGATCTCGAGCGTGTAAAGCTCGCGTCCTAACCACTAGACGACACTGACACACAATGCATAAACACGATGCCATCATCCAAACACAGACCATTACAAACATTCCCGCACCATTGGCCTCTACCTCTTTCAACATCCACACTCGATCACCCTTTCCAGCAATGAACGCCATTCCTACACCAAAGCTTCTACCAACCGTTTTTCTTCCTGTTGTGGCAATCTCCTTACTGCCACATCTCTTGCTAAACGTTCATTCAGCTCACATCATTGTCCTCTTAGATGCTACCACCTCACTATAGGATGTATTGGCTTCTTCAAACACACTGAAGACCGTCTCGTCAACTGCGTGTGTGCATCTGTGTATGACACCGCCCAGTATGAACGCTGGATCCCAGAAAACCTCCCTTTGCGGGTGGCCGCCACTGAACGAACCGCAGAGCATCAACTGAGCACATCAAAACGAGTGGTAGGCTGTTGACTGTCCGATGTG